GCTGCTGCCAATCATTTAAAACAGAAATGTGAAGGGCTTTTTGTCAATAGTGTCTTACATTGGTTCAGGAACAATAAAGAACCACTGTCATTTCCAAGTTTTAAATTTAATTGCTATTTAAAACATATAAATAACTGTGGTTCTTTCTCAATGGTGACTGACATTGATTCAGAAAAAAAACCACTGTCTTTTCCATGTTTTAAATCAGTGGCAGCAGCAATACTAGAAAGACAACTGAGGGAATTGAAAATTTTAAATTTCAACTTCCCTTTGAATTTTGGTTTATATTCCAATTCTGGATTCCCCGTTGAGAGTATAGTGTCATACAATGCTTTATGTTGTTGAATATCTTTGAGAAAGTTTTGAAGAGACCAACAAAATTATTAGACTGACATAGGGAGAAGTTTTGACTTCTGATTTAGGGCTGCTTTTGAAAAACTAGGCTGATATTGCTTGAGACAAAAAAATCAAGTTAGGAAGGTTTTCTGCTCAAGGGAGGTACATAAAAAAAAAGGTCCAAGATGCATATTGAACAAGTACAATTAAAATACTTCCGATTTAAAAATTGTTTGGTTTCGCCTGTTTTTGCAGTCGATTCCTCAAATCAGGTTTGTTACATAAGATGCTTGCTGAATATCCGGCATTTGGTTGCTCGAAGCCACACTGTTGCATCGAATTCCAACCTGCATTCATCATGGCAATTTCCTCCCCATTAGTACTTGCATGAAATATCATGTTTTCCACAATGTGCTTCTCTGCAGTTTAAACACAACGCGTTTTGTACTAAAAGGGTTACAATTTAACTTTTAAAAATTTAGACAAGGTCTGTGAGCCCATTACAGGCACTATTTGAAATTTTTGACGCGCAAAATCGTCGTACGGTTTGTGAATTTAATATTGATTTAAAAGGGAGTTTAAACCAAACTTGACAATTTTGATCACTTGACTAAAATTCGCGAATGTTTAGAAATACAAAAGGCAAAGCGAAACGCACGACTTTCCAGTCACAGGGATTAAAATGAATGATGAACCCAACTACCCAGGATTAGTTACACAAGAACAGTTTCCGTTCCACCTTAAAGCTCATCCAAGGATATGCATCGCTGCACATAGATAAGACATGGAAATGCTACACGTCAAACATTTCCTCTGTCGTGAAATCCGTCCAAGATTGATAGCGGCCCAATAAATCCATAAAAAAAAAGCGGAGTAAAATGAGCAAGAATTGGAAGAAAAAAAAAAATCAAGCATAGGCAAAAGGCGGAATAATTTCACGCCTGTCGAACAAATCCCCGCGGATCCAACGGAAACTATTATTTCCACCCGGGTTCACAAGGAACACTCGAAAGGCTGCGATAGCCTTTGATGTATTCTGAAATGCAAGCACGCGTCAAATAACGCAAACAATTCCTTCACAGAACAAAAAGAATCATCAAGAAAGAAAATTGAGCTTCATTTCGAAATCAAACACAACTTCGGTCCGTTCTTCAAATTGCTGATGCACCAGTTCAGATTACAGGCCGGTCAGCATCATGTCAAGATACTTCATTTCACACGGAAAAAGGACCAAAGTTAAAAACAAAAATCACAGCAGTGTTTTTTTCCTCAAATCCGAGAAACTAAAGTACTCTGCAACATGAATTTACTCAGTGCACAGGAAGATTCTCGGAGCATAAGCATTATACACGATCAAACCCGTGGGTAAAGCTGACTATATGGATTGATCATTCATCACATTACATGCGACGCTTCTCGGGATCTTGAAATAAATAAGATAGAAAATCATTTCCTTTATAGTTTTGAGCCTATGAACCGTCTGCCTTAACGAAGGAGCAAAGACTTCTGTCGTAGCAGCTAAGAACTCGAGCCTGAAGGGAGAAGGGCGTTGGTAGCGAAGGACTACTACTGTAGTGTGTAACAATGAATGGAAAAGGATGAGAAAAAAAATAAAAGGATTCATCATCGGATTTTCTCGACATTATTCAGCATAAACACCAACATTTGATCGACTTTCCCTCGCGGTCCTTCCATGACTCCTTCCACTGTTCCGGTTCTCGTATTCCGGCACCATCCCGTCAATCCCAACTGCTTTCCTTTGGATTGGGTATGCTGAGGAAAGATGGGAACATCGGAACATAAATTACTGTATTCCTAATAACGAGATTCATTGTAACGGGATTTTACTGTACGGTACTGTATTTCTTTTTCAGAACCAGACAAATTGAATCGTGAGTTCGCAACCTCATCTAATGCCGTTTTCCCAGCAGGCGAACACGACTGAATCTATCTATCCTGTAATCATTCTAGAATTCAGGAATCTTCATGAAGTATTATTTCAAAAACAAATAAGTCTGAAAATAATTTTTAAAAATTGTCCTTCCGTCCTAAGCGATAATGATACGGAAAATTCGGTAAATTTTCCGAAGTCCACTGGATTTTTAGAGGCGTTGCAAATTTTTTGCTGGTTTTTTTTCTACTGAAAAACGTTCCTGTTTTCATGTCAAAAATGCATGCAATAAGATTTTGCATCACATTTGCGAGTACGGAACAGGTGGACTCCATCCACAACGAAGTTCAAAGAACCAGAAAATTCGTCGTAGAGTTCTCGCTGTAGAAGACCCCTATAATATGGGGAGAGAGAAAAATAATGGGACGAACATATAAAATCGCAATACATTAGATCATTGTTGATTTGTTGCGGACAAGATCATTGTAGAGAGTGTCCACCTGTATTGTACACATTTATACTGCAAAGCACAAATTCATGTAAGGTTAAAAGTCCTAAGGAAGTCATGCGGACGAAAAAAGAGATTACACATGTTCATGTAAACATGTTCTTATAAGGGCATATGCTAGCAATAACGGCTCACTCAATTAGTCATGGGTATACCCAACCCCTGTCGTCCCTTTCATTTTCGTCAACTCAAGGAGTAAAATACTGTGCTGCAGAATTTATAGATTATATTCAGAATGAACGATAGCTGCATTTCCGAAAATTTCGACTACTTTATGGTCTGTTAAAATTTTACTTCCGCTCGAGTTGAGAGAAACAGTCCCAAAACGTTTTTCAATCACTGTTCGCACGATGACATGATCACCACAAAACGCACCCTTCCAACGAATTTCACAATAAGAAAATACAGTGAGACCCCAAGATGTGGACCTAATTGGTGCATCAAGAGTGTCACTAAGTCAAAATGTCCTTAAGTTGAGTCTCATTTTCCCTTAGACTTACATTATATAATTTTAATTGATGTTTTATGTACAAAATACTCACCATAGTTCAATTAAAATAAAAATTGTCTCCCAATTTAAACTGATTAAAATCAATATATTTCAACACAATATGGGCATTTGGAGAATTGAAAAATGATACCTGTGTACAGTAGATAAAACTGTTTGCATTCTCTGTAAAAATTATATTCAAGTGAAAAAGAGAGAAGAAAGTCTCTCTCTGCTGGAGGTAATTTTTTTTAATTAGCTAAATGGATGGTAAATTGTCGAGAGAAATGCCCAATAACTTTTCTTATATCAATTTTAAGGTTGGAAATATCTGTTGTTTGTAGTTTGGCCAGAAATATATTTGCAATTTTACAACAAAATGTCCCCATGTTGAGTCAGTGTCCTCATTTGGGGCCTTTTTTAATGATAAAATAAGTGTCCCCGTGTCTAATTGTCCGCATGCTGGGGTTTCACTGTACACTGAGTTTAAAAAGAATCATGCAATAGGAATTACGCAATAGGCGGTAAAGTCATGCTTAGCTTCGAAGATTTCTTTTTCTCGTTAAACGTCCCTTCTGCGACGTTGCAGAAAAGAAACATGAGAAGACTTTATTAATACCCCTCGCGCTTTTTCCAAGAACGACTCAGGGCAGCAATCCTCTAGTTTACCACAACCTAGCAAGGCTAACGTCTCGTCTATTTCGAGCAAGAACACTGAAGGGATTCCTGGTCCTGAAACACAATAAGCACAAGAAGCCATACAAGGCGAGGGGGAATACGGAGCAACAACTCACCTTCCGGAAAAACACGCCCTGGACTCTCCCGTAAACCTCGAATTCCACGCTTATCAATTCCGTCATACTTGGTCCGTTTTCACCACCGCCGGTCGTACTGAAAGCCTTTAATCCGAGAAACCCCAACGAACACAGACCCACGATCGATAAGCACGTCACCTTCAATTTCGACAAATCACTTCGCGTACGCGGGATAAAATCGTACGAGGGAACAATTTTCATAGCAGAAAAAAAAAACCCTGCCAACGCTGTGAAAGCCTCGCAATAAGGGTGATAATCGAAGCGTGAATAGAAACGCATCAAGCAACTGTGTTCAAATAATTTTTCGGCCTCTATTATAACATTCTTCAGGAATAACCCAGAGGCAAAAATCTTTCACGAACACAAAAAAAAAAATGCTCTCACATCACGAAAAAATAAGCCAATTGTCAAAACAAAACCACCGAAAAATACACATCGTTCTTAGAGCCTTTCCGAGATTAATTGCACTTGAGATTTCCGAGCTTCACGCTGCTGGGTCACCAGAGAAGTACCCAGACGATTAAACAGGAAGTTCGCGGAAAAAAAAGACTCGATTCGCCTTCGATCTTGCATACGGGTTTCGTATATCACAACTTCTTACACTGATTCACAATACCCACGGATTTGTCCGTTCATTTCATTTCTCCCCCGCCCTCCCTTCAACAAGAACTACGAGACATGAACCTCACGATCAAAAGAAGTGCTTCGAGCAGCCCTTAACCTTTTTTTTTTTAGGCGCGCATAAATAATAGTAGCATACAACAAAATTCTAGAGACAACACCAAAAAGGTTGACTTATTACAACGAAGCGTCTCCAAAAGGGGGAATCAAAGATAACCCCCGCCTTGATTCGACGTTAACGCGGATATTTTTTTTTCAGAGACGATATGAAACGAAGCTCGATTGCGGAAAAGGAAAACAACAAAATATATTCAACTTCGAACAGGGTTCCTTTGCAGCAAAGCCATGCGTTGAGTCAGGTCAACCAACTTCTGTCCCATTCGTTTGTTATGGTCCTCCAGATACTCGATCTTGTCCGCTTGTTTGCTCAATAATGCTTCCGTTTGCGATCGCACGCTGTAAGATAATGGGGAGAGAATCGATTAAATCACGCAAGGGTTGAAATAATTTGTACATAAAATACACATGAGAAAAATTACAACGCCATGAAAATTTGAAGATTCAACACGAATGCGGAATGCGTCAAAAATTCTTCCCACACAGTAACCTACAAGTAAACGCTGTATTTTTTATTCATACTNACCGAAAAATACACATCGTTCTTAGAGCCTTTCCGAGATTAATTGCACTTGAGATTTCCGAGCTTCACGCTGCTGGGTCACCAGAGAAGTACCCAGACGATTAAACAGGAAGTTCGCGGAAAAAAAAAGACTCGATTCGCCTTCGATCTTGCATACGGGTTTCGTATATCACAACTTCTTACACTGATTCACAATACCCACGGATTTGTCCGTTCATTTCATTTCTCCCCCCGCCCTCCCTTCAACAAGAACTACGAGACTTGAACCTCACGGTCAAAAAAAATTGCTTCGAGCAGCCCTTAACCTTTTTTTTGAGGCGCGCATAAATAATAGTAGCATACAACAAAATTCTAGAGACAACACCAAAAAGGTTGACTTATTACAACGAAGCGTCTCCAAAGGGGGAATCAAAGATAACCCCTCGGAACTAAGCTGCAATTGCGCCTATAAAAAAAAAGTCTCTGCTATACTTTGCTTCGAGCTAACGCCTTTTCCTTTTGTTGTTTTATATAAGTTGAAGCTTGTCCCAAGGAAACGTCGTTTCGGTACCGTTGAGTCAGGTCAACCAACTTCTGTCCCATTCGTTTGTTATGGTCCTCCAGATACTCGATCTTGTCCGCTTGTTTGCTCAATAATGCTTCCGTTTGCGATCGCACGCTGTAAGATAATGGGGAGTACAAGTAGAATCGATTAAATCACGCAAGGGTTGAAATAATTTGTACATAAAATACACATGAGAAAAATTACAACGCCATGAAAATTTGAAGATTCAACACGAATGCGGAATGCGTCAAAAATTCTTCCCACACAGTAACCTACAAGTAAACGCTGTATTTTTTATTCATACTGTTTTTCAAACCCAATCCGCATCGATAATCGATCAAGAACCCGTTTTTGCCTCTACGTCAATCGAGCGCATTTCTGGATGCACATAACGTTTCAAGAAACTTGGGCACTCATTGATCCGAACTAGTACTGTAGTAGTGTACTGTAAATAAGCTGAACATGAACAGCAAAAAAATGTAATTGTTTCTCGCTAAAACGATCGATTTATTGGCAAAAGGTTCTTGCCTTGTAGTCAACAGCCAACGAGCTCTTTTCATGAATGGACTGTGGGTGAAGCCGTAAGCCAACTACAGCGTACATGCTTCAGTCGTTAAGGAGGAGTTCCATGTGCAGGCCTCCTCCTTAGGAGCTCACCTTAGACTGGTGAAAGTGATTAAATGATAAAAATAAAAATTTCAATAGAACGAAGAGCCCCAAAAAAAAAGAAATTCATGGCAGGATTTTTCTCTTTCTCTAAAATAACGATGATCCCAAAAGAAAACTTGGTATCATAGTTAAATTCTTTTCGTGAATAGATTACTGCTTTAATTTTTCTCGCGGGAAAAATCGCGGAAAAAATGAAGAACAACACAAGGTAAAATCTTGTTAGAACAAAACCATTGGGACCAGTAAAATAGCTTCGCTACAGCGAAAAATTAAAAATCTCAAATATAATTATTTTGACAATCGGACAGGGACCTGATAAAATTGTTGTTAGCAATTATTCGTTATAACGACGATTTGTTCTAATGAACTCACTTCAAGGCAACCTAAACAATCCAAACCTCAACAGAGTACCTTGAACTCATTAAAAGCATGATTATAACAAACATTCTCGATACAGAATTTCATATAATATTGCGACTACAAATAAATCATTTCACGACTTTATCTGAATAACGATTTTTTCGGTCCCAAAAATAATTAAATAAGGGTTCCCCTCAGCAAATTTTTTTTACCGGTCTTCTAAATTTGCTTGTAGAGAGAGAGAGAGTCCACCTAGATTAAGCAGGCAAAAGATTTTTTATAGTGTACTAAGATTTGTCGTAACAAGTTTCTGCTGTATTAAAATGATGTCAATTTCCATCCAACTAACAAGACCAACTGCAATTATGAAACAAAATTCTCCGAAAGCACAGCACAACCCATTCTGATTTCGTGTCACATTAATCAACTCACATCACTTCACCTAGTCATCCTCGACTTTAGGTACGTTTTTAATTGGGGATACAGTGGAAAAAAAAATACTGAGAAATGATACCTATATAAGCGAGGAGAAGAGGCAAGATCAGCAAGACTTGGATGGTGATCAGAATCGAATACAATTCCACACGGGCGAGCTTGACGCCGAAAAGCGACACCCGCCTTCTCAGGAAACCCACCGGCGACAACCCTGTGTTATTCTCGTCGATGAGCACCGTCTGCGTAATCAGCAATCCCAGTGTACCTGCAGAAAATAAAAATGCCCACAATATATTTATACATATACAGTACAATATATACAACTCCTTGCATTCACTTCAAACTTCATCCCTTTCGACCCAATGTCGAAGAAAAAAAAATGAAAGAATCCTTCTCGACATAAGCCGCTCTTCCTGATCCCTCCAATCGTCTCGGATTTCCAGAACATGGAAGAAAAAAAAGAAAGAAAATACTGTCTTCAAGTTTCATGATGTGCTTATCATCAGCATGGAAAATACTGTACAACATACTTGCATCGTTTCTCAGTGCACATAAAATTTAATGATTACAGAATAGTATTCTTTTTTTCTTTCTTGAAGACGTGCAGGATTACATTTTAGAAAGATTATTCGTGTGCACCGAACTCTTCCGCGTGGATATTTTTCACAATGACGTCACTCACTCGATTCATCATGATCCGAGTTGCTACTGTATTATAATTTCTTAAATTCATTCCATTAAAAGGGGTGATCAAGTCGGACAGCTTTCGGAGGATAGAAAGGCAAATTTCTAATCTTTTTATGATACCACTGGATAAATGAGGATGTTTGCAAAAATGGCCTGTTTCTGAAGGCCAGTAATTGGGTTTGTTACCGCCAATTATGCGAAATTTTGAACTGTTCTAACGCTTTAGCACCTAGCGGAGTAGTATGAAAGAAAACACACGCAACCCTGTTTTCCGTGTTCACAAAGGACGAATTCCGTATCTCGCTTATTGGGGGCTGTTCTCGGACTTGACGGAGGAATTCAATACAGGAACAATGTAATTTTCTTTTTGACACACTTCTTCTCAATGCTTTCAAAACCTTTCAGCTTCCTCGAAACGACTCACGTCAATTGCAAAAATTCGAAAACACGGTTTTAAATTCCTCATCGGCTTCAACTGCTAAAAATGAAGTCGAATAAGACGTGAAGCTGCGTTTGCTTCAAAAGAGGCAGTTTCCTTCCTGGATTTTTCTGGAAAAGTACTCCTTTTTCTCAAACGTTCGAACTTGATTTCTGGCATAGTCAGGCAGAAGCCGCTTAAATTGGTGATCAACATAAAACGCCCTTACAGTATTTACGCCAGAATCGCACGCACTTCTTTCTGCAAAACTAAGGCAGAAAAGTGGGGTGTGCGTGATATGCGAGTAATGTATACATAAAAAAAATCAGAAAATCTAGTCATAAGGGAGTCATTGTGGGAGAAAAATCATGAACAGAACATTATATATGGTCTTTATCCTGTCACAATGCTTTTAATTATTACGATTATGCACATGATCATCAAGTACTTAATAATCATGATGTTCAACGTTGAACATCATTATTTAAAAAATAATATTTTGAACCAGCAAAAACTTGGGTACTCGTCATACACGGGGATGGGTTTCTAGAAAGATTTTACAAATCTTAAGTTTTTAGAAAAGAGTTTTTGGCAAATTCTGCGTCAAAAAATTGAGGTGAGCGTCGTGGTACTTGAGTAAATACGGTGTGTAACCTATGCAAAACATAAACTTCAACCTAATAAATGTCCAAGATGAAACTGACTTGGACCAAACCTAAACCGGACCAAACATAAACCTGATCTGAACTTCAACAGAAATACAAGCACAGTACGGTATTTTGAATAAAATATCAAAAAATATCAGGCGAAAACTGTACTCTTCTGAACAGAAAAAAAAACTGTCCAGCCTCCAAAAATAAAATTTAACCTCAACGAACAAACAAACAAACAAACACAAAAGGATAAGCACACTGTCACTAACGCAAATAATTTGATATTTTGCAGCAAATTACACTGCGAATTCTGAAAAGAATTATTTCTGTTCGAGTGTGCAGATAAAAGCACACTCTACCCAACATCACTGTTTGGTATACACAGAACCCAATAGAAGTCAAAGGCACAGTTGAAAAAAATTAAACACTAGCAATCAGCCAAGAACATTTATTTAAGGGCTCACCTTGAATATTCACTCCAAGTATTTCCAACTGATTTATTAAACGATTGAGCATCAAAGAGAAAATTCACAGGAGAAATATTGATAACACAACATGGTAAATGAAAAGAATGACTCCTTGCAAGTTCACAAATTAAAATTAGAACCTTCATCAGGTTTCACTTCCCCTGCCTCTCAGAAATGCATAAAAAAAGAATTCACAGTGAGCAAGAAAAGCCTTCGCTGGGTATTCCTCAGAGCATTCTCTACACAATTAATCACTTCAGTTTTCCGGAAATCACGAGACGAGTTCGAAAATACTGTAATCTCAAAAGCATATACGATCAACAAAGAAAAGAAAAAATGAACCTTCTCACTTCATCACACTCACCAAAGGCATACATGACAACCGGCAATCGTCGCAACAGCTTCGTCTCCTCAGCAAACCCCAGATACCCAAGCTGACGATGCTTCGCGTGCAGGTACTCCACGACCACATGAACCAACTACAGACGAATAAATCGAAAAAAATCAAATTAAATACAGTAATAACACCGTTCAACGAAGAAAAAAAAACAAGTTCACGGGAATGATGGTGGGAATAAGAGAGAGAGCAAATATGACAATAGGCGGATACGAAAGAGAGGAGGAAAGAAACGGTTCTATTCCCTCCGTTGAATAATTGAGAACGCATCAAGTTTCCAAAATGGATGTGTCGTTTCAATCACGCAATGCACACATTCACGTGCAGAGAAAATGATCTTCGACGAGATAATGGCACGAAATCGTGAGACCGGAAGGAAGTCGTCCTCGTCATCATCAATCCCTTTCCAGGAATGCTGGACAGATGACACCAGAATTCCTTAGTAAAACCCGAAATAAACCTCAGCTGAGAAAGCCCGGCGTTGCATATTACAAACCCTCACTAAATCATAAAATCTCGGCGACTTCCAATTTATGTTGAGGGAATTCTCTGCCGTAAATTACATCATCCTGTTCAACTTTTAAAATAAACTGACTTGAAAAAATCAATAATAGGAAACTTGAAGTAAATATGGAACTAATGTACAGAATATTGCACGTGAACGGGAGCCAAAGTCAAAGAACTACCAGTTCTGGGAGTTTTAATAGAAAGAAAACACAAAATCGTACATAAATCCAAGTTTATTCGAAAATCTTATAATTTACTCAGTATACAGACTTATTTACAAATATTACAATTTACATGATTCAGAGGACCAAGTTCCAAGTTAAATTCCAAGTTTTTTATTTCTAATCATCAGCTTCAAAGGATATTTATTTTCACGGCCAAGTGCTTTTGTAAAAAAAAAAAAACCCGTAGCGCAGTTAATTTCGAATTCGCGAGAAATCCCAGAATGAAACAGAATAAGAAAATCTACTGATAATTCGAAAGATTCTTAATCAGCATACTGTACATTGCGACAACTTCTTCAATTTTTTCAGGAAAATCAAAACGGGGGAATTTTTAAAAGCAAATACAGTACAGTACTATATTGTACTGTACTTTCAAAACCGAACGAAAACCGCAACAAATCAAAAAAAATTTATCCGAAAGGTTTCAAGAATCTCACGAGTCATCTTGAGATTCCGCTGACCATGCATCATTGAATTTTGAAAAAAAAAAAATCATGACTTCCGAAGGACGAAAAGAGATACGTCGACTTGAAAATGACCTGCATCAAAGACAGGTTAAAACCGGGGAAAATATACTTTCAGCCGTTTGTGCCTCAGAAATTCAGTACAGTATATAAAACGAACAGAAATTGACTTTGATCCGGGGTTTGGTTCACTTGTCTTATGTTCTCATCGCTGAAGTCTCATGGGAGAGACGGAGATGGACACTATTGTCAAGAATAAGTTCTTGACAAATGTAGAAGATCGAAAAAAGGGTTAGTTTTACAGAATATTTAGGAAAAAATGAAACACAGAATTTGGCTGGGCTGCAACCGGGGTGAAGTTTCACCCTATTTCAAGTTGGTGTACTTCGAGAATAGTGAATTCCACAAACAAAAATAGTCTTGCACGCAAATCTTCAAGTGTATCACACAAGAGCTCAAATGGAAGTGAAGTTTTCTTGCAAATTTGGGAAAAAGGAAAACTGTCCAAGGACAAAAAACAGCAACAGGATTTTAGCAATAAAATGAAGCCTTGGAGGCTCAGAAAGAAACGTGAGAACCAAGGTCTTTCAAGATTCTCACAGAGATGAGATGAAAAAAGATTCTACTGAGAATTCGGGTTCTCAAATATTGTGTGACAAATTCAATACTGCCATTTATTTTTGCAACAGCTATATATCCACCAAGTAATTCTGCATTTGGTCGCTTCCCGAACACTCCCGTTCACACACCGACGTAGAAACGCTACGAAGACAGCATCTTTTCACTGCCACAAATTGTTTGCGAACCCTTGCATGTTTTATGAATTACTGTAGCAGGAAGTCCGGCCAATTATAAAAATAAAGTGATAATCATCTCGCTGATAACAAAAGCGATCTGAAAACCATATTAAAAATTTTTATTTTCATGTTCGGAACTCGGAAATATTCAAGTTAATGATGAACAGAAATGAATATAATAAACAATTGATTAAATAGACAAAGCTCACTTGAAGTACCCATGTTAATCCCTACACCGGCTTTCAGAATTCTGAATGAAAAAGTTTATTGATTACTCGAAGAAAGTAATTTAAAGTTTCCAATAAAAAGTTTGAAATACTGTACTTCATTTTCCACCTTTTTTTTTACCCCCCAAAAAGCAGCCCGAGATAATGAACAAGTTTCCTTCATTTCAGCCCTCGTTCCTTTGAAGTATCCGACACATTTTAACGGGATAAAATCAACAGAGAGATCTGAATTCATTTTTTTGCGCATTCCCTCATTAAAAAAACGCACACACGCAAGCAATAATGCATCGGGGAATACAATCAAGAAAAAGCCGCGAAATATTCGATTTGATTAACCAGCGGAAAAACCCGTCCTAAGCATGCCTTCATTTTCAAGCGAACATTGAAAAGAACAAACGTTCGTTGGTATAAATACATGAAGAGTACATTAAAAAAAAGCTTTCCACATTTTTGTTCTCATCAACGAGGAAATAAATTATCATGCTGAATCCAAGACGGGAATTTTCAAAAATTGTGACAAAGAAACTCAGGAATTTCCAGAATTCAGAAGTCCGCACACTATTAAAAAACTCGCTAAGCTGTTATCAAAAACAAAATCAACATTCTTTCGATCCATTCCTCATTTTTCTCAACACTCGAACAAATTTATTCATTTCTTCAATCTACATCCGAAGGGGCACAGAAAACAGCTAAAGTAAAAGTTGTGTCACGAACATGGCTGTTGTACTTCTCGAATCTAAATCAATTCCTACAGGAATATATCGTGCTTCCAGAGTTATCGAAAGAATGATAACGTGTCTGAGAGAAAGCTCGAAATCGAACAGATTCACGTACAATAGTTTTCAAAGACAAAATTTATTGCAACAAGTGAGCACAGGAGAAGTCCTATAGTGACGTAGAGAAATATTCATTGCATCGTGAACGTGATTCATGAACTTTAAAATGCAATGAAATACATGGAAATCACATCGGAGAAATACAAAAAAGTCTTGACTTTTGCTCCAGGCTGATTTTCCTCCACATTTAATATATTTTCAGCCACTCGACTGAGGTAAAAAAAAAAATTCAAAATGCCCTCACACAAAAATTTAAAAAATTACAAAAAGTCCAGCATCTGAATTCATCTTTCTAATAAAAGCTACAAAGTCTTCTTCGCCAGGAAATACATTTTCGCAAACCGACACGCCCAACAACGAACTGATAAGACCAGAAAAACCTTCGCGGAGGATTGCGTGACAAACTCCGTGTCATTCGATATCCTGGCAAGTCAACCCAAGAATAAGTCCATGTCACAACTGATGCGAGAGAACCCCAGAAAGAAAGAAAAAAATCCTCTCTCCTCTGGTAAGCTTTTTCTTCTTCTTCAAGGTTCACAGAGAGAGAGAGAAAAAAAATTGAAAAATTGCGAATCCGTCGGTGAGTGATCCAATGAAGACGTTTTTTTTCCCCCCCAACACCTTCTTTTCAGGACACGCGATGAAGCAGAGCGCAAGTCATCAACCCTGAAGCATGTTCCCCATAAATCGTGAACCAGGGGCCCGAGTATAAACGTCAGCGTTCATCGACGCATGGAGCCAGAAACCTAGATTAAAGCCCGTCATCGTCAAGAGCGAAATACGCTTGATGGGGGATATTAAAATTAGCATACATTAAAATCAAACGCTCTAATTTCATCCTACGCTTTCTACGGAAAGCTGCAACCCCAATCCTTTCGACACAACCACTACAGGAGGACTCGCTCTCTACAACGAAATTCAAGGGACTGCAAAAAATCCGCCGTAAAGACAATTTCGTCGTAGAGAATTTCGTTTGATTCTCTACAACGAAACTATATTTACAGCGGATTTTTTCTGGTTCTCTATAACGATTATTTTCTGGTCTCCTGAATTTCGTTGCAGAGAACCGAAATTCAAGGGACCACAATATATAACTATGAAATTAACGGAGATTTGAAAAGAACAACCGTTCTCAAATGTTCTGGTCACTTCGGAGGTAGACGAAGAAATAATTAATCTCGATACTCATTGAATTTCGGTTCTCTACAACGACGATACAAAAAAAAAATCAATTGTAGAAGAAAGTTCTCAGTGGAGAATCGAAAGTCGAGGGGCCAGAAAAAATCCGCCGTAGAGAGAATTTCGTTTTAAATAACCCCATATATCATCGGGAGAGAACCTTGTGGGACCACAAAAAAAATTCGTTGTACAGAGAAAATCGCTGTAGACAAGATTGTTGTAGAGAGTCCACCTGTATATTGTACTAAAATACCTGAAGAGGGAAATTTCTGCACCTATTACCACAAATGAGCAAGCATCAAAAGCTCAATGGGACGAAAGTGCTTCAATATCATGACTTCACGTAACCAGAAGTTACTCAGACTTCCTCTTCCATATAATTCGCTCATTAGTGCAGCTGCTAACTTGCTCATCGTCATTTTGAAACTAGATTTGCAAGATTTTTTCCTCATACGCGCGATTCCCGAATCTGTTGCGGGAATCGCGCGTCCCGTTAATCAAGGCCAATAGAAGCAGTTGACTTAATTCCCAGGAAAAGCAATGATTAGTAAAATATTTTCAGACCCATTTTATTTTCCTTCTGGATATCGGACTATACTTACTACAGTACATTCTAAACCGTGATGAAGGCGAGTTGTTCATAAACAAGAAGTCGAAAGGCGTAAACTATTTTTCAGTAGATCCATCAATCCTCGAAGTTTGTGAGCATTTTGGCTGAGAAATTATATAATCGCGCATTTGAATTTTTAATCCCTCTGAATCTAAAAAAAAATAATGATAAATCCTTTGACTGATCTTGCCTTCAAATTCTGTCGATTGGTTTTGTGCCTCAAAAACATCCGAACCTAAATTTACGAACGAATGAAAATATTTTTCATGAAATGTAACGTGCTGCTCATTGAGATAATTCCAATGATAGGAAATGTCAGGAGAGATGATACCGAACATTGAATTGCGGGGGTGGATTGTGAAGCAAATACTGTACTCCAGTTCTCCACATAATTACTGCACTAATTGAACCAATTAGCGGTAGATCCCTCCAGGAGCATGATAGTTGGAATCAAAATAAGATGAAAAATGCGCCTAAAAATCGTTCAATGCGTACATTTCGAAACAATATTTACTCAATTTGCGAATACTGAAGTAAAACTCTCCAAAACTCCGTCACGACACAACAAGATGAGAAGAGAATTCTACGAAAGCCAGTGTGGCATTTTTTTTACAAATAACTGACAAATTGCGAACATCAGCAACTTGAATACTCAATAATTGAAATATTGAAACTTGTTTCCAACCTTTATCACATGCCATTGATAGATACTGTATGAAGTAAAAGAAAAAGATTGAGATTCCCGTTTTAGTTGGACATCATCTAAATTGTGCTCATGAGATTATCTTCCGCGTGCCGGTACTGTACATATATTTCTTCTCTCTCTGGTCTTTCCTTGCAGCGAGATTTTTTACTAATTCCAATTTCACAAATCCTTCTTTCTATTCTTTCAATCCGCGCAATTGTGGCTTTTGACGATGGAAACCTGATAAGCTACCGTATTTCCACCCAGTAACACGAATACCTGCCATCCCATTTTCCAAGGTATTCATTCCGAACAATGCGTAGCAGTCCGAATATGTCAGTTGTAGTAACTCATTTTAGTAGGGATAATAAAATGCTCAACTCCAGTCAGTAACCAGGTCGCACATGTCAGATACGAGAACTGCTTCAATAAGCTACGGCTTATGAAAATAAACGCACTGACGCAACTACCACTATCGTATTCCAACCTCGTTTCAGAGGCATAAAAAATATTTTTTTAAAGGTTTGTGAAAGAATTCATAAGATACGCTTCATAATTTTCAGAGTGTACTGCATCCGAAGGAAAAGAGCTTAGTTCCAGAAGCGACGTCATCTCTTCACATGCCAAGTCATCAACAATAAAATACGAGGGTCTTGACAAAAGTTCATGCAATAATTCAAAAGATGTCATACAATTGACCTGAAAAAAAGCCGCCACTTCGGCAGCTGTGAAGGCGGCTGTTGATGAAAATGGCGGAATTACCTCGGAAGACCAAGAGGCAACCCTTAGAATTAATGCCACGTTGATTTCAAGAATTCTGAGGGGAAAGCTGGGCTACAACAAAAAAAATCTGCAGAAAGGGCGACTCATCTTTTGAGTGGAGAGCGAAACTCTGCTAATAGGATGAATTTTGCAAAACATTAAAACAAATTCTCCAACAGGACTGACTTTTTTTTTTGGACCAAAGAATATGTTTTCCTTCCAGAATAATTTTTTTCAGATCAATTGTATGACATATTTTGAATTATTGTATGGACTTTTATCAAGACCCTCGTATATTACAGTAGTACTGTCGTTCTAAACCAGTTCCTTACGTAATTATATTCCGAGAAATTATTCGCGAATTGAACTGAAAAAAATAACACATTTGAATGCCTCTAAAAGTCTAATTCGAAACAAAGCAGGTTCCTAGGCTTTCTCATATCGCAAAATAAAGAAGTACCCATCTTCACCGATTCGGTAATCTTTCAGCACAGTATGTTACGGCATACCGCGCGGCATTAATCAATATAATGTGGGGTTTTCCAGGTAATCAAAGGAAATCTTTAGCAATTGTCATCGTAAAATCAAGAATTGGCCTGCGGAGAAAAAGGGAATAAGTGCGAGGATGGCTGACGATTCTCTCAACCGAGGCAAGACTGAGTGGGAAAATATTAATCGATACAAACAAGTAAAAGTAATGAACTCTTCAGTTGATCCGATAATCCAAAGATTTCAAATTACTATAACCTATTTTCACTTTGAACAAAGTGTTCGCACTTCAATTCAGCGTGAAAACCAAATTCTCTCACGCCTCTTCGTGTACTACAAATTCAATACCAACAAACAATACCCCACAAGTGAATTTTATATACCCATCTGAATCCCTTTGTTGGTCGTAGAGTTCTGAATTTTTAATTTTTTAAAGAGCTTTCGGATAAAATAAAAAAGGCACACGGTTTGAATGACCGTCGATTGAGGACACGTACAGAAGTTTCATTCGAGGAAATCAAGAGACCCAATATTTTTTAATGACAATCACTCAGGAAAATTCGGAAAAATGATTCCAGTTGGCCAACATAATCTTTAGAAACGCTGATCACATCCAGTCATGAAGAAAAATTCGTACACCATTTTGACTCGCTTAAAACTCAGAAGGCTCGACATTTCGTGAATTTTTAATCACAGAAAAATCTGTAGAATTTTTTTTTTCCAATTCTCGAAAATTCTAATATCAACTGTTCAAACGTCGATTAAGGACGGTTTCAACAAATTAAAAATTTCAAATTACAAAAGACAAATTCAAACGTCTTCTTGACTCGCATACTGCACAGTCACTACACTTCTTACATTTTACATGCTAGAAAAATTTGCCAATTTTTCCAAAAATTCCATAGAATTGGAATCCCAGCCCCTGAAAAAGCACAGCATGGACGAATAACAGAAAATAACAAATGTTTGCAGTTTTGTAAAAGAAATATGCCCTCAAACGACTTCAAGAGGAAAAGGTTGAAGGGAGAAGAAAAGTCTTCCCCGAATCACTCATTCCGCATCAGGGACAACAACAAAAAAAAGACTCAAAATTCTCCATTCAGACGGTATTCAATCACACTCACCGAGTGCAAGACGTAGGCGGCGACGTGAAGAAAGACGACGATCGATGATTCGGGATAATTGCACTTCAGTCGGTCGCACAGATGGGGCAACAAGTACACTCCCGTGACAAGAGCGACCTGTACACGACGGCGAGGAACGGAAGAAGATACGATTCGTTAGAGCTCAAGGAGTAAAGCTGCCCCAAGCCGTCATTCGCAGGCCCAAAAAAAAAAAATAAAAAATCGGTGGGCTCGGGCAGAACGTCTTCCTTCAAGCTAATTTGAAACTGAAATGTAAAAATGGTGCGTTTTTCCTCTTCATAGTATGCCCCATTTCCACATAATTTCCATAGTAGGGCCTAACGTGCTCCAATGTCCATACATCCATGGTGAAAATGTTCATTTAGGTTAATTCCAATTATTCAAGTTACGATAGTCAGGACAGGTTTGGTTAAGTTTTCAAGATAGGTTTGGTTATGTTAGTTATGAAAGGGCTTGGATAGTCAGGAAAGGTTTGCTTAGTTGGGAAAGGTTTGATTGGTGAGGATAGCTATTGCTTCATCAGTTAGGCGAGGTTTGGTAGTTCAGTAAGGACAGGTTTGGAGAAGTTCTGAAGGCAACAGCACATAGTCACCAGTTCAATGAACACAGTGCTGCTGCTGCTAATCTCTGCTAATTCAACCAAATGGCCCTTTCCAGGGCACCCATAATACTGTTATGAAACTCTCATCCATATATTGTTAATTTGTTTCTTGACACGGTAAAGAGAAAAGTTATGAAAAAAATGAACTTGTAGTATTTTGAGAGGAAGTGAGAGTCATTGGGCAAATAAACCCTTTCTTCTAAGTTCAGCATCCTGTAAACTCATTTAAGAAACAATTTAAACCCCAGAATATCCCTATTTACAATATCCTGCAGTTATTTGCATTTCCCACAACACAAAATTTTCGTTTCCCTAACTCGGAACCTCCCTAAATCGAATCTTTTTCTAGTCTCCTGAAATTCGTCGAAATGTACCCTATTGTAATCCGCTGGATTTATAGATGAGAATTTCCATCGTTCGGACCAGGAAAACCCGAACAAGATCAATGCAATTCTGAAGGACGAAGACTATTGCCCGGGAATACTTCCAGGGACTACTACACTGAAATAAACCCAGGTGAATGGGTCCACTCACCGCGATGATCTTCTGCACCAAGACCAAAGGGATCGTGTTCAGCCGCTGCACTTTTCCATCACGAGCCTCTGCACTGACAGGACTCAGTAAGCGCAAAGTATCCGAATCCATCATCATCATAATTGCTGTTAAATTCCCAAATTAACACAGTCTCATTCTTTGGAGAGAAAAAAATCAGACGAATTAAGCAATTAGATGAGATAAAAAAAGACGCTTTTCAACGGCAGAATGCACAAACGCAGAACCAGAATTCAGAATCATTTTTCAAGGCTGAGACAGAGAAACACAATAGTTTGTTTCCGAATTTTCTGAACGAAAGTAGGGAAGCTTTTTGGAAACTTCTTGCAGAAAAAAATCAGGTACATGTACCGAAATAAAAGTACATTTTCCTCACGTGAAAGACTCACGCAATTGGCTTGACAGAGTCCTGAATTAAGCTGCGTTTGGAATATCTGCCTTCTTCATAAGGATAAGAAAACTCGTGGCTTTTAGGCCAATCTTTCCGTTATTTCCTTTAATGAACCCACTTCCCAGAGTCAACACACCAACAAAAAAAAAAAATCACCCAAATCCGCAGGAACGCTGACGGAGACTTTAACAACACCGATGAAAAATCCACCACTCCCTTTCAATTACGCGGAAGAAAAAATTGGGTTTCATGTCGTCTATGCAAAAATAACAGGCTGAGCAAGACTTGGCATAGGAATCAGTTTTTTCCCGAGGAATTCATCATCTCTCGCGCAGTTTTTTGACACAATGGTCTATAAAATCACACCAAACTAGACACCGTATTCAAATTTTTTCTCACAAACCATCCATCAAAAAAATAGTAATCTCTTCCCCACTGGACGCCTTTCCGCCGACATCATCAAATTGCAACACTGAAACGCTTCTACACACAAGAACCGAACTGTCACAAAAAAGACGTTTAATTCGATTCTCAAAAAACAAAACGTCTTCAGTGATTTGATATTGAAAAACTCACTCGTCCATCAAAATATCACGTTTCCAATGTATGCTAACGAGTAAAATAGAGAAACCTGGCAATGACTTGATTTGTCAACAAAATTTCAACATCTACTGAATAACTCGGGTACTTCAGGGTGGCAACGAATTGATTTTAAATCAGCAGGAAACAATCGGTTAAAAAATAATCCCGTAGTTTCGACAGAAATGCCCTAGGGTGTTTTTTCTTCTCAGAAATATCAGCTTTAACCCTTTTTGCAAGCACGCCGTGTTTCGACACACAGTTCCATGGTCCATTTTTGCTAGTTCATATAGGTGCAGTGACGAAGCACATGAGCAATTTGGTAACAAATATTGTCCCGAGGTACACCAAATTATTGTCCTAATCACATTCAACGTACGTCTATCTCACAAATTGAAACAGCTCAACATCAGAATTAAGAACGATCACCAACGAATCGTTTTCGTTCCCTCGCGGAATGCCCTCGGGTTACCGCAACGAATGAGCAACTTTGTTTTCCCCCAAATCCCAATAAACATGAGGATTCTTTTTTACATTATCGGCTAAATCTCGTGGAAATATTGCATGTATTTTCCGGTGGAGATCACTAGGGAATCGTTTGAGAAGCCCAGCAAAATAAATACTTTCTTTCAAGCATCAAAAAACACGCGCAAAATATTCAAATCAGGTAAAAACTTTTACTGCGAGGTAAAAAAAAAAACTAAAGCTGTCAAATGGTCAAACCGAAGCGGGGGAGACTTCCGCGAAAGTAATTAAAAACAAGTAGCAACGCTTTCAATGGCATTTGTATAGTACGAATGAGATCAAAATGAAGCAAAAACGGGGTACGTTCGAATTTAAAATCAACATAGGTCGTCCATCGCTCATAAAAATCAATTTCCGCTCCTCAGCAGAGCGGAAATTTTACTGACAAAAACTATGGTAATTCAATAATTTAGCAATTTATCAGTAGAATCATTCAATTGAAAAATTTTCATCCTCTCGATGAGACAAGGAAACAAAATCTTATACCACAACACATTGATGTACTCGAAGACCATAAAACGGAACATAATTCGGTACAGTTTCAGTACACGTACAATTCACCAAAGATTGATCAAATTTGCACCTAATACAGCATTATCTAAGTTACCAACTCCGGATACTGTAACCAATCAAAACATTGATGTGATAGTAACACAAGATAATCCATACTGGGATTCAAAAACGATGATGCACTAAAGGCAATTGACAATTAACCTGGACATGTTTTGCCGTAGCTAAATTTGATTTTGTCACAATTTTAGGGAAAATCTGCAAGATAACCAGACTGGCCTTTTACTGAATTGAAACATCTTTTGGGCCGTCGCGTGCTACAGAAGAGCTACCGCATAACAGCATCAATGATTTTCCATTCAAGCAAGGAGACCAGAAAACACCGAAATATTGCAACGAAGAACAATCAACGCCCTTATCATTGAAATGTTAACACAAAATTCGCAGAACTTGGTAAAAGCTATATACTTCCCCAAAAACGAAATGAGGAGTTTCAGGCGGGAATTAGAACAGTGACGCAGCGCATGAACGCCAGCCAGGGAATGATTGACACTTCCTTGTACTAACGACACGAACGGTATCTTACCTGTAATCAAATCCTACGTCAAAGGCCATGGAAGACCCGAATAATCGACAGGGCCCCCGAGCCCAGCATCCACCTCAAGCAATCGCATGATGACTGCCATGGCAGCTTCATCGTTTCCTTCATTATCCACACTACTCCCACTGGGAGGCAAATCTGTATGAATTTCCGGGGTTTCCACCTCCCCCACAAGATCTACGGGTGAACGTTGAGTGGGTGCAGAACTACAACCAGCTGCGTCTTGTAATGACGGACGATGAACGGGCAACAATGGCGGTTGTTGCTGAATCACCGTATCTTCCAAGGTAGGAGTCAAAATGCCTTGTTGTTGCTGCTGGGGTTGAGCATCACAACACGAACTCATGGATACACAGGGGTTCGTCATTTCCGTCCCCATTCCTATTGAATCGCAAGCGAACTCGAGATTCGGCGCGGAACCGAACGGGTTTTCTCCTACAAGGTTTTAGGGAACCGTTAAAATCATTACGAAGTTCAATTCAAAAAGTCCCGTTGAAAAAAATCAAGGCATGTCTTTTCTAGCTTTGTTTCAACCGAGGTACATTACTTTGCACTTTTTTTAACAATGATCTCGCTTTCCTTCATTTCAACGTTTCTCTCGAATTTGATCATCCTGACTCATGGAATTCGAACAAAAACAAAACCCTATTCTAATGATACACACATTCTAAGAAAATGGATAATCGCTTCAAGTTTTTTGAGAAACTTCACAAATTCATCGTCACGCACGCTTGGCATCTTCATTGTTGAAGTGAACCCCACACGGACGTGTAAACATTATCATAGGAAAAAAGAATTGGACAAAGAAAAAGGTAAGCTCACCTTCCTTGAAGGGAAGAAAATTCCGAGCAATGATAAATTCGGTATCCTTTGTCCAAGGATTTCGAAAAGCTTTGAAATGAGTTTGAAAGAAATGATGGAAACCGTCCTTCGCCTTAAACCTGTAAGCTGGAGATAGGACACCTGACGGCTCGTTCAGGGCACGCCGATGAATGTCAGCAAGCGAGGCAGCATCATCAGGATGATGAAAATCAGATAGGTTCAATCCAACAACTTCTTGAGGAAGATAACCCAGTATGTAGGTAATGGTGGGATCAACGTAAACGTATTTCCCATCAAGTGAATGACGTGAACAGAAGGATAATCCAGTTTTCGGAGGCTGTTGCGAAGAATTTTGAATGACTGATGAGGCATCAGTCCTCGTAGTTAACGGCATGGAATGCGCTGAAGGAGGTGGCATCACTCTTCCAACCGCGACCAAACAACTCATGTTACTGCTGCCTTCCTCGTCATCGATAGGAGTCCAGGCCTTCAAGTATCCAACACACCGAACGACATTGAAACGTTTCTGATTTCGGTTTTGTCGAACTTCCGCATCTTTAGCTCTCATGCGACAGAAGAAAGCTCTTCTGGCTCCTGGACAAAGACCTCCAGTACCCTGATTGCTGTGACTAGCTTCTGTTTTAACAGGAAGCATCGTCTTTGAGTCGATAAATCGTTCTCTGGGATTCAAATCGGACGAAGCGAGTTGCTCTTTCATCTTCTGAATATCTTTGGGATGAAGTATGTCGAACCATGACTGACCGAGAAGTTCTGAACGAGGGTACCCCAGCACAGAAGTTACGGACTCTGACACAAATAAGAGTTTCCCACGATCACAGCCAACAACAAATACAAAGCCATCCGCTATACGTAAAAGAAGACTTCGAAGTTCTGCATCTGTTACAAAACTGGGCTTATAGGTTCCTTCGGTATACGAATGAACTGCCCCACGCACTGTTTTCACATATTGCACCACCATTCGTAGCACGGTAAGCTTGTCAAGCTTTTTCGCCATGGCAGAACACATGGGAACAAGCGCAGCAAGCTCATTTATATGCATATTCATTTTATCTCGGCGACGTTTCTCGATTTGACTATGATTCTGTCTCGCGTGTTTCCAGCATTGTCCTCCTGTTTGCAGTTGATTTGAACCGTGGTTTGAGTCCGCGTCGTCCGTTTCGGACGGATCGAGACCAGAAGCATTGGACACTGATGGTGAGAACGGAAATGAACGTTTCCTCGCGGAAGGGCTCGCAACCATATCAAAAAAGTCGTATTTCTCAAGTTCATCCATGCCAATCAACCTACCAAGATGAGACCGGTTATTCACAGATAGACACGCTAAAAATGCATCGGAACTCACCGGGAGGTCGTAGATGACAGCAGTGCAAGATAATGTTTCTCAGTTAAAAGGCGTCAGATAGAAAGATCCTCGCAAAAGATGACATTGCTTCAAAAATTACCGCAAAAAGCTCCCGATAATACATCTTTCATATTCTCATCTATACAAGGAAAATCGCAAACAAGCGTCAGATACTCCAGAATCGACTAAATACTGTAATACCTAGATCACTACACTTTCCTCCTAAAGTCTCAGGATCCACCAGTCTTTCCATCACGTTGCGCCGCACCGGCGGGAACGAATGTCGTCTGAATAGCGGCATTCCTTCCGACACCTGGCCCTCCCTCTCTCTGTTGCAACACTAATCCACTCTGCAGGTTTGTAGGACAGTATGACCGCGAGTGTCCATTTTTCCCACTTCAAAACTCGGCTAGAAAAACATTTGATGCAGTAAACTGGATTCTGAAAATGTTTCAATTGAGAAAGCTTTCTCAGTACCGTATTCAAAAAGTCACAGGAATTAGGTAATCTTGTTTTGAGTTGGTTTCAATGAATTTTTGTTTACAGTGTTTTAAAATGTATTACGGAGAGCACACCGTGAGTCGTCAGTTACCCCGACAACTGCTACAGCGCATTCACGTGGGAAGCAATGTTTGCATGATCGGAAGTCAGCGCTTGTATTCCTACCCCGTGTAGATGGTGAATACAGTATGAAGCTACGCACAGAGAGTAAACACCTTCGCCTTAGTTCGATTGAAACCCATACAACCCCGCAATGTTCTCTAGGTCACGAACTTATCTTTGAAAACCCGAACCTATCACCCTTATTCTTCATCCCGGCGGCGTTCATGATGATATATGAATGTGAGAATTCTGCGTAACAGTTAGCTGGAATTCCATTTCGAAAATAATTTGTTGACTTCCTTCCTTTTTTCTTTCTTTTTTGGGCGAGTTTGCTGATTTTCGGATAGTTTTTTGATTCCGCGCACTTACAAGCTTTCTTCATAACTACTGTACCAGTTGGTTTGTGCTTTACGTGCGCTATTTCCTCAGCGTGTTTATTACCTGCTTTATTCTCACTGTGGACGTTCGGCAGATCTTCATACTAAGGATGGATGATTCGCCAATCTTTCTGAATACTCAGTGTGCTGGAAGATTGGGTGTTCGCTGGAAGTCGTTGTGATCTGGATTCGGTTTCACTGAAGACGTGCGCGTGTGGGCCCGAAATAAGTAATTTGCTTTATTCTCCTGCAGGTTGTTGAAATGTTCCGTTGTTTCTAGTCGCGAAAATTTTGCAGCAGATAGATTTCGCTGTCCACCGACCGGATTCGAACCCCCTAGAACGGAGTTCGGAATCTGTGCGTCGGATGGATGCCAAGAATGAAATGGCAAAAGCATTGAAGCCAAGCATTAATCGAATCCTGGGAGCCCGTGTTGATGGTAGCCATGCAAGGCCAAAATCACTCGGACCATGTGCTCCGAGCAATCCAAATGACTGTCGAACAAATTTTCCATCCGCCAAGCCGTCTATGAAGAATGCAACTTTACCAGCGAAAGGTGTGGTCCTGGATGGTTCTCCGGTGCCAGTTTCCCGATCCAAGGTACGCAGCTGTTTTGGTGGGCTTGGTGACTAGCTTAACTGTGGGGTTTATTTTCAGTTTTACGTGGAAGATTCCCCTTTGGCCCCAAAAATACTTCCGAAGTTGCATTTGTTAGAAGGGGAAAAAGTCATGGATACGCCGACGACGAATGTAACCTACGTCGGTCCTTACGACGAGCCTATCAGTGGAGATTTGCTGATAACCAACTATCGATTGTATTTTTCGAGTTCTGAAGCAGCTCGTCCCCTTCTTTTCGACGTACCTCTTGGTGAAGTAAGTTCTGGATTCTTCTGAAAATATAGTTAATTTCATGGTTCTTCTGTTGAATTTCAGATAAAGAAAATAGAGAAATGCGGGAAAGTTGGGAGCCGCGGAGATTTTTCGTATGGGATCGACATTTACTGTGCTGACATGCGGAACCTTCGATTTGCTTGCCGTCGAGTTAGTTCGACTGTGTCTACTATACTGCTGTGTTCTTTTTAAAATCAGTTTTCTGTTTCTCACAGGATTACCATTCACGGAGATCTGTTTACGAAACGCTTCAAACGTACGCATTTCCGAAATCCCATAAAATGGACGTGTTCGCCTTCGACAACCGTGAAAGGTTTATATCCGACGGATGGGAAGTGTTCAACGTGGAAAGAGAATTCCACCGCATGGTAAGATTGCCATTTTACACGAAATGGACCGAAGCTCAAGGCATGCTGACTCTTCCAGGGTTTACCCAATCGTCAGTGGACATTTACACATTTGAATGAATCGTACAAGTTGTGTGGCACTTATCCCAAAGTGCTTGTAGTACCCAGTAGTACGAATGACGAAGAACTGCTCGCAGTTGCTTCGTTCCGCTCACGACGTCGTTTACCCGTGCTGTCTTGGATTGACCCCGACGGCCAGACTACCATAATTAGATGTTCTCAGCCGTTAGTTGGTGTCCAAGGCAAACGAAGTCGTTTGGACGAAGCTTATATCCAACGGATTCGTGATGCAAATGATTTATGCAGCCGTCTCACGATCATGGACGCGCGTCCAACGTCAGTGCTGAGTTTTCGTGTCCTTGATTATTTGGGGAGATTTTCACACAAAAAATTTTCACCAGGGTGAACGCAAAAGCTAACAAAGCTCTCGGTGGAGGATACGAGAGTGAGGATTGTTACCAGAGTGCTGATGTGTTCTTCTTGGACATTCACAATATTCACGTAATGAGGGAGAGCTTGAGAAAGGTTTGTTAATCTTCAATTCCGATTGTTGAATGCGCAACTGCATATGATTGTGTGATGTGCTGGGAAATAAGGTGAGTCTAGGTCTTATCCCGAGAATACATCGTTGCTTATTTTCAGACTAAGAACTCTGCGAGAACTTGGAAAATTCTCTGCCATTTCAAATTGAAAATTTGTGGGGATGTCAAGCTGAATTATTCATTCCTTGCATAATCATAAGAATAGCCTACGTTTTAAATTTAATGTGGTTTTTTTGTAGTTATCTGAGAATTTTGCTGGTCTTTTTTCGTGAAAGTTACGAAAATCCGCACATCCACTTCGTATGTGGTTCTTCTGTGATTTAGCTTATTATCTTATAATATTTTTTCATTATCTCTCGTTGGGCAACTGTTCGACGCAGCTCGATCGAATTTTTTAGAAATCTCGTGTTCCAATTATCTCGCTAAAATTTTCTCCGTTTCATCATCTTCACCCAAGATTACTTTCAAGTATTTGCATCTTTGTTTTGGCAGGTGAAGGACATGGTGTTCCCTTGGATTGACGAATCACGTTATTTGGCTGAGCTAGCCGCAACATCCTGGTTGGAACACGTGAAATGTGTGATGTCGGGGGCTGTTCGTGTAGTGGAACGCGTACATTCCGGCAGATGCTCCTGTATTATCCATTGTTCGGATGGATGGGATCGGACTGCGCAACTGACCTCACTTTCTATGCTACTTCTTGATCCATATTACCGCACGCTCGAAGGCTTCCAGGTGTTGATCGAGAAAGAGTGGCTCAGTTTTGGTCATAAATTTTCTCAGGTACGCGACTCGTGGTATACAGTACTTCGTGGACTAAATATTCAGAAATGTAGTTTACTGTGCTATATATGTAAGCGTACATTGGTATATACTGTATAAATGTGCGTATGTCGTAATGCTTCTTTTCTTCGTCGGAAGTGTGGCCAATTTCGGGAATTGTTCTGTTGTTTTCTTTCCAGTTCTACTGTACGTTTTTGATTCTTTGGGGGAACTTCAGTCGATAATATTGGTTCTGGTCAGATCGTGTATTACGCGTAGCTTTTTTTCTTCTCCCAAACAATTCAGGCAAGAAAAGCGAAATGTTGCGGGTGCAAATCAAAATTAATTTCTGCCGAAAACGATTTTTATTTTAAATACGTGTCTTTGAAAAATTATGGTGCGCATTGTACTGTATACGAGTACAGTATCAGAAGTATCTAATGGCCGCAGAAAAAGGTAGATTATGCCTAAGATGAAATTTTATCGGTTGAGGCCTTTTTTCCCTATGACGTCGGTTGCCAAATGAGGCTTTAGTCTGCCTCCGTCCGTCTCCTTTCAGAAGTATTTTGCGTGTCCTGGATGCGAACCAGAATTATTTCATTTTATCGCAAGAAAATTTCCGTTTTTTATAATTTTCGTTCAATTTTAGAGGATCGGTCACGGGGATGACAAACATGCTGATGCCAATCGAAGTCCGGTTTTCCTCCAATGGATAGATTGTATTTGGCAAATTATGAACCAGTTCCCGTATGCCTTTGAATTCAACGAGAGTCTCCTTATATTTATTCTGGACCACTTGTATTCTTGTCGATTTGGAACCTTTCTTTGCAACAAGTAAGTAGTATTTTTAACGTATTGAAAACCTGTCTTCGATGTCTTTCGTACTTCAGCGAACAGGAGCGTGAGGATGTTCACCTGAAAATGAAAACTGTTTCAATTTGGTCTTACGTTAACGCGAATCGGGAAAAATTCGAAAGTCCGGATTTTTATCCCGAGTCGCAACAGCCCAGGGTGTTGATTCCAGTTGCCAGTCTTCGGCATATACGGCTTTGGAGCAATTACTACTGTAGATGGAATGTGCTTTTTACGGAAAGGGTGAGTATTTCTTTCTGAATCATTTACAATATTGTTGTATTTAAAGATGTAGATCACTTGTTTCTGAGCGTGATTTCCTTCGTCATTGTATGCGTGTCGCTTGAATTCCAAATTTTTTTTGAATGGTTGTTCCTCAAGTTTTTGAGGAAGAAGAGAATCAGCAATACTTCGAATTTTTCTCTAGATTAAATCATGTCGAATAGATTGAAGAATTTCGCTCGTTTTTGAGGTGCGCGAAAAAGAACAAGACAGCGACACCGTACTTCGAAAATACGTGTGAAAAGTTCACAAGTCCACTTACCTATGCTTTTAGATTGACATATTCGCTTCTAATTTTTGAAGTATTATGTTCTGTTTCTTTTCAGAGTTTTGATACCGACACAACGTTGGAGATGACTTCAACGAAATCGTTGCTGGAAAGAAAATTGGGTCAGTTTCTCCGGTCCCGGAAGACGAGTAATCCCTCTCATAGTCGATCTGCTGAAGTCTAGCGGAACTCTCGTTTAGAATTGCGTGATGTTCTCGAACTCACTGCTGAATCGAAATATTTTGCGAAGAAATCAGCAGTCTTACGAGGGAAACATGCTTTAGTTGACTCCTGCTCGAGGAAAGACGGGTGAAATTGCCTAGTTATTCGGATTTCTTGATGATAGTTGACGTAACGAGCACCCGTTTCCCTTTCGCTCGAAGCCGTTGCTTCTGGAATGTAATTTATGATCGGTTAGATGAGAGCGATTCGCACCAAGGATATCCTTTGTTGAGTAACGATTGCTCAGTAGTTCTTTTTTTATGAGCCAGAAAAAGCGAAGCGTCTTAGGTACGCCGTGAGTATTTTATTTCATCATTTTGCAATGATACAGGCGTTCATCAAGCTGAGAATTTTTACGGATTTTACTTTTTGCATCAGAGACGTACGTTCCCGTTTTATTTGAGAAAGAGAGAAAGAAATGGCGTGTCTACTTTTTGACGGCGCAATACTTCTCTTGCCAATTGAACCCGCTGGTTCGTATGGGTGGGTATGATTGTGATAAGATTATGTATCCGGAACGATTGAGTGAGCTGAGCAGTTTTGTTGCCAGTTGATGATCCTGACGCTCTTATTTTTGTGGAGATTGCGAAGAAAAGTGCTCCGCTGCGTTAAGCTTTTACTCTTCGATTTTACGTGATTTTCGTCGAGAAAAAAGTCCTACAACTGTGCGATATTTGGTTCATCACTTCGTTTCCTCCTTGTTCAACAGGATTGATTTAAATAGTGATTCGAATAGTTAGTGCTGGGTGCAATTGTTCGCATAGAGATATTCCTGCTGATCTATCCGTTTCCGACCTAATTATCAGGACACATGTTGGTAAGTTCAACTTTCAGTTCTTTTTAAATTTTTAATTTGAATTTCCGATGAACTTTCCTTGGGGATACGCAGATGCGAACACGTATTCAAAAATACTTGTTGAGCAATTAAAGGTAATGAGAATTGAGAAGTCCTGTGATGTGTGCATTCAAAATGAATGCATGATCCTGCCTTTTTTTCGTGCACGTTACTGGTGCTGGTCTGTAAGGGGAAAAATTTATAAACTACCGATTTACCGATTGTAATGAAATACACAATCGAAGGACAGAAACGTGGTGTGCATTAAAATCTCGTTACAACGAAGTTGTTTGGACCCAGATGAAGCTTTATTGTGACAAAAAATTGCAAAGGAATTTGGATAAAAGTGTATCTGTTGGTCAGGAACCTTAAAAAAATTTAACTTCATCAAGAATCCGGTTTACAGGTGAGTTGGTTCTCCTTGGTAATACATTGCAGTTAACGACGTTCTTACGTTATTGGTTGTGTATATATGGCTGGATTAAAAAATATATATATTGTGGCAGTCTGTGTCTAAGAATCTTAACGAAGACAGAACAGGGCTGAAAAAAAGCTTCGAAACTATCCTGGTTTATTATTGTTGGATTTAAAAATGACTTGCAGGAAGTGGAACATCACAGGGTTTACTGTCTTAAAAAATTGGCAATTAAGTGGACGCTTTTTCTTCTCGCGGAATGAACGATTTACACTTGGGACAATGGTTCTTGTCGTCTGGAACGCGGGAATTCCTCCTGGTCCTTTCGAAATGCATATTTTGGAACATGCAAAATACTGTACGACAGTAGGCTGATCGGATGCGCGTTCGGGCAGACGGTCGTTGAATTCATTCTCGTGTGATCCATGAACCCTCTGTATAAGCACCGCTGAATTTCGATACCTTTGATGTGTGCGTCATTCAGAAATCCAGCGTCTCAAGTTATGGTGCTGTTGATTCTTTAATCTAGTTGCGACGCAGCTTGTCTCCTCGGTAACCCTGACCGTGATTTCTTTTATGCCTGTCCGTCCCATTCCGAGTTATTTTTGGTGAAAAGAAAAAGGACTGTGGGCTCGCGTTTTAGGATTGGACTGATGATTCATACGCATTCCTGGTTGATCCTTGTACTCGGGAGACGCGGAAATCTTGTGTGGGCCCTTTGGTCGCCAGTGAAGCAGCACACATTCAGACACGAGAATAAAATTGTTTTGTAACACATTAACGTTATATTAGGGTTATACTGTGTTGAATTCTTGAGCGTAACGTCCGCGTCATGCGTGAACATTATTTAGAGCAGTGGTGCCCAAGATACGCCCCGCGGGCCAGATCTAGCCCCTGGAGCATTCGTGTCCGGCCCCCAACAGTCACCCTTCCAGCCACAATATCTGCACCTTACTTTTTTCACAAACCAATCCAAAGCATGAATATAGATTTCTAAAACGCTGGGAAGATCAATTAAATATTTCCTTGTTGTTCCTTGTTAATTAATTTAAAATATCAAAATGAAAATATTATTTTAAAATTCTGATTAATTTGAATACTGTATATCCAATTGCTTTGACGTGATCACTCTGACCATTGCGTAAAAATTGAACAAATATCAGGCAACTAAGCTTTTCCAAACTGTAATCTGATTCCATCTGCTAGTAAAAGTAATGATCAGATGCGTTTTTAAATTTTTTAGCAATGGGTTCAAGCAAAAAATGCTTTTCCTGTTGTTTTTTTTTAATACAGTATGCGTGTTTTTTGTGTGTCTACCATGCCACTCTTACCATCAGTTAAAATATTTTTGCAAAGGCAGGGAATCCAACCTTAATTTGACCCATTTGCAGGGCATTGTAGCTTGCATTGAGAACAAAATTGCAGAATGTGTACGTTTTCTGAACCCTCCCCCTATAACAATTTTAAAAACGAGGACTGTCCTCTTTACCATGTGGCCCGCCACCAGATCTGAGTTGGGCACCACTTGAGCAACACCTCTTGATTGAAATGATTAAAAATCTTTTTCGTTAATTTTCATGCGTTGAATTTTTTCTAGGAACGCCAGAAACATGGATATCACGTTTTTCAAAGCTCACGGCGAAGATGCGAAAAGGCGTGCCATGCCGTTGGAAGAAAATCTAGGCAAGTACGGGAGTTTCATGAAATAGTGTGTGCAAAGGTTTAGTTCGTCAGTTCTGTACAGAAGAAGTGTTTCTGTGGATAATAGCAGACTCTTTTTTGTAGAACACTTCTAACCTCAGTCTTCCATCGATTTTTTTTTTTAGGAATGCACGAAAAGAATCCGACCGCAATCCCGTGCACATCTTTAGGAAAGGCGGAGCCACTTGATTATGTGGTGAGCTTCTGTGTTTCCGAATCGAAAGTTTCTAATGTTGTGTGAGATTCGGTCTGTCTGTATTTCAAGGTTCAAAAAACCGATACGATGAATAGTATAGCTGCAAAATTTGGATTGACTCCGTCTGAGCTTGCAAAAGTCAATCGACTTTCTTCGCGCTATGTTGTGCTCCCTGGTCAGACCCTCAAGATTCCGAGGACTTCGTCAAATCTGGATATTGTTTGCATGCATATAGAAAGTGTTAGCGCTGGAGGTGATGGCGACGCTCGGGAAGGATTGCGATCGCCTGAAGCAGGTTCGTGCAGTATTTCATTTTTTTCCGTCAGCTTTGTTTAGTTGTGCTGTATACTGTGTTTCTGTACAGACAAATTTTCATATACTGTATCATGATTCAGAATTCATGATCAATTTCTCCTTTAAACTGCGATTTTTTTTTGGATTCGTGTTATTTCTTATTTTTAGTGATTGATTTTGCGCCCAATGTGGTTTTTTTTAGTTATTCGGATCTTACAATATTTGCGTTTTTAGGAATTTCTTTTTATACATTTTACAATGGGTGTTCAATAGTTAGGAGGAAGCATTTTCAGATAGTTAATCATGTTCTTCGTTTTTATTTAGAAATTCTCAGCCGATTTAGACATTTCTCAAGTCATCTGATCCGAGCCTCAAAACATCCCTGAACTATCGATTTTCCGGTTTTTTTTTAAACATGAAATTTAGTATTGAATATCAGTAAAATACTCTACTAAATCGTCAAGATCACTTGCATGCGCACGAAGACCCATCTATAATTATTTCGTTGGTTTACTTGGATGCTGTGTGACGAAAATTTTCAGAATATTATGATATTTGAATTACTGCATGGATGAAAAGGGTAGTAGGTGAGTCTTGTGATGCCGTAGTGTTCCAATAAATAACGGTTTATTTTGTATATATACTGCACTAAACTGTGTACTTTTAGTTATTTCATAACAACAAAAATGTGGACAACAGAAAATTATTTGCCCATTCTTTGGAATGACCAGATCATTGTAAACCTTCCTACTTTCGCTTAGAATAGTGGGAAAATTGGACATTGCTTGTATCACATGTCAATTTTGTATCGTCCAATCATCTGAACTCAGAAATGCTAAATTTGGTCTTTTTTTTGTGGTTAATTCTTGGAATTTCGGCCGTTGAATAAGCGTATGACTTGAATGGGTGTCCCATTGTTTTCAGCTCAAGTCTAAGTACGAACCCTGAAGCAGTTCCATATGTAGGGCTAATATATTAAATGACCTTGCATTTTTTTCCATTCGGAAAATTCCAAATCGTTCTTAAGACTTCGTCTTCTCATTCGGAAATCCAGTGCGAAATCAAGCTCCTTTGGAGTTCTTCTCCGTAAACTTTTTCTTGACTCTTTGTCTAGCTAGTAGGTCGTCTGCGCTTGATTTTCCGAAAACCATTAAAATTTCAGAATATCCATGAAGAATTCTGTTCTGATTTCAGAGCAAACTGAAAGCCTGGAAACTCGCTTGTTGCCGGAACCGACCGGACGTCATTCAACCCGCGAGTTGGACGAGATGGATCGAGAATGTTTGGAGAAATTTTTCAAAATAAACGTGCGGCACATTTCCGATGGGCAAGGCGTTGTCGAAGGCGTACTTTTGATAACCCCAAATGCTGTTATGTTTGATCCGAACGTGTCAGACCCCTTGGTCATCGAGAATGGCACGGAAGCCTATGGTATCATCGTGCCAAAAGAGTCTGTCGCGAATTCGGCGATATTTTTCGACTTCAGCCCGACTATCTGCAAGACCGGGGAAGACGCATCCGTTAATTCGTATGTTTAAAACTGAAAATGTGCATTCGTGAGTCGAAATATTTTGAACGACTATGTGTTTGTGTCTTACAGATCAGAAACGCCCGAGAATATAAAACCTTTCTACCAGGCCTCGTCCTCATGTCACCCAAAATTGCTTAGGCTACTTTACCCAAGAGGTTCTTTTTTAGTGCTGCCGGACAGAGGGTAAGTTTTAGTCGTCAGTCACCTTCGTAATGAAGCTTCAAAGGCTCACTTGCGGGAAACAAGATCGCCTGGAACTGGTAACGCATTCTTCAGGTGAAGTATTTTTTCTTCATTAATTTTTTCTGGAAGATACTTGAAAAGCTTGCTTTTTGAACATCAGACCTCATTCACGAACTTCAAGAGTTGTCTCCCTAAATTCATTATTGATGGAAAATAAATCTTGCTGAACATAATTCTAGGTAGAACAGATTTTAATGCATCGATGGAAGTCATGTGAAGATTTCTTTGTGTGGAGAATATAGCATTTGTAGGAAGAGTTCACCGACATTCCCTGAACTGACGTATTCCAGCCAAATATTTAGCGAAAAATTTGGGCGATACCTACGCCGTGTAAATTGAAAACGGTATTTTTAATTCCAGCATAAATTTAAAAGGACCCATAATTTTACGCAATGCTCAAGATCAATATGGTTTCGACAATGAACCTTAACCGGGTTTTTAATGTTTCTAACGTTAAGGAGATGCGTGAGTACCCAAGAGACGTAGTTAGATCCAAAAAGGGGATACTTGGAATTTGAAATGAACACAAATTCGAAGCACTGTTCGCATGTCATAGAAAACTTCGTATAGAAACATACAAACTTTTTCAGGCATTCAGTGTGACCCAGGTAACTATACGTCGATTCTTGACAATTCAGTGAATGCTTGAGGCGTTTTAATATGACATCTTAATCAGACTTTTGACATCTTGGTCCAAAGTCTGAGCTTTTTTATGGCATAAAGTTATTTTTATAAGTAAGGTAAAACAAACGTAAAAGGACGAGTCAACAGTACTGTATAATAGTTACCGATCGTGATCAGTCAATTATTATGATTGATTGAATTTAATTTTAAGATTTTTGTCACCTGACCGAATTTAAAAGTGCAAGTGTGTATATACGGTACAGTATTTCATGATATGAACATCGACCGAGTTACTCATAGGACATGAACTGTTAGTTCAACTCGGGATAAAACCATATAAACGCGAAGTTTGCATTGATCCGCGACCGATTTTTTCTTAGGTCATGCATACAGTTGCATTCTAGCACGATACAGTTGATCGTAGTAATAAAAGTACTGTACTGTATAATCGAGAGATAAAAACCTTTCCATGTGACAATCCTGCTAATTGAATTTTCTGCTATGAAAATTTCAGTCTGAGCCCGAGAGAACTTCTGAAAAGCATTAGCAGCGACGAACGCCTTGCGGACCCGCCGACTCTGCCGAAACGATCACCATCTCATCCAACGTCTTTAGCGCGGCAAGAATCCAGGAAGCAAAATGTTCTCAAACGCCTCTCCAATCCACTTCAATGGATCGACAGTCGGAACTCCACGGAATCGCTAACTTCGCCAAATGCGAGCACACCTATTTCATCCAGTCTTACATCCCCGACGACCCCGGGCGCCACAGGTAGCGCAGGGAACGTGCTCACACGGATTTTCACCAGGTATTTATTTTTTATTTTTTGAATTGCGGCTTTAAATAAGTTGGCCTTGAGAGTAAAGTTGCGCAAAATTTGCTGCGATCGCGTAAATCGAAGTGTTGCTAAAGCGCCGGAGGAACTCGGCCATGCGGTTTTGGATCCCATCATGGCGCTTTCATTAGGAAGCGGGTCCCAAGCTATGGACATTGTTGCTCGAGTACCTTTGAGGTACAAAATGCAGTCCCCTTTGCCCACTCTCCTCTACGCTACTAACATGGGAGCACAAAGAACCCCGACCTAATAAAAAAATTCCACAGCGAAGCATCAGAGAACAGACTTTTACTCTGCTTACGCAATTCCTGGACGCTAAAAAATGGATGGGTTCGGATTTCCGATCCTACAATAAAAATATGCTTCACACTACGAATTTTGGGAAGCATTGAATGCACAAAACAGTTTGTTTCAGGTACTGTACTTCCGAACCGATTCAACAGCAGAAATACATTAAAATCTCGTCACAACGAAGCCTTTGGGATCAGTAAAATAGCTTTGGTAAAACGAAAATATCGTTATGAGCGAATTCGAATAACTTAACAGCTATTGGACAGGGACCTGAAAAACGAATTCTTTGTAATCGAATATTCGTTATACTGTAACTAGATTCGGTATGTCGAAATTATACAGTACTTCTATTCCAAAACGTGTGAAGGAGTAAAAACTTTTTAGAAGGGGGTTTGGAGGGATTTTTTTATTTAACGTCGACTTATTCCGTCAAACTACTGTTTCGAATAAGATTCTCTGAAATTCAAGGTTTTTCATTCCATTTGATGAATCTGCTTCCTCGTTCGAGCAAGTTTATCCGATCAATTGCTTTTTTACATGTACAATACACCAGGTGCCAGCACCTAAGTTTGATGATCAACTACCCTTGATTGTTGGCCTATACCCTATAGGACCTACAAACCAACAATTTCAGTTGTGAACCCGGATAAGTTTCTTCTTCTGAAGAACAATATCTGGCAAATTTTTCTTTTTCGGGTTGGAAGGTGCTTCATTTGTTGTGGTGCTTGTTGTTGGGGCTTGTAATAATGGTGGGAGTTTATTTATGTGGCTTTGTGCAAGCTACTTTTCAGCTATCCGCATGACCCAAATGCTTACATGCTGATGTTTCCGGAAATGCTTTGTGAAAAAAGGTTTAGAAATGTGCGCTTTTGTTGTTGATTAAAGCGAAAGATGAAGAAAACTGTGTATTAAATCGCTCCCTTTTTTCTGTTGTTAAGCCCTCTATTGTTTTCAGTTCATGAAAAGCTTTTGTTTGTGGACAATGGTATGATCCTTTCGCAAAAGGAAGTCAGATCTCCATCATCAGTGTTCTAGAAATATTTTGATTCTGAAACTAATAAGGTTTGAGATTTTCTGTTGTTTTCTGTTTCTGCTCGAATTTGCTTTCTACATTTTTAGAAATGTGTCCTAGATATTTTATCTAGAGAAAAAGTCATTAACAAAACATGACTCAACTTGAATATATATATATAAAGCGAGAAAATATTCATGTGAAACTTGTACAACGAGAATAATCGGAGAGTTGGGCTCGTCATCGTTTCGAGTCATTAAAAAAATCGTTTTGCGTCATTCAAAAATTTCAGGAGTCAATCGAGCGATGCTGGTAACTGGAAGAAGATGGAAAATTCTCGTTCGGAAGCAAAGGGACGCGTCAAGTACAGAAATATGATGTCCATGGAAGACAAACCCGAACTCTTTGCGTCGTTCGACAGTCAGTTTATGATTACTGAACCTTGCTTGTGTGCTTCCCGATACGACTTTCACAACATAGCTTACTGAAAAGTCTTAACCAAGGCTTATTCAGTTACTGAACCTCACAACTTGGCGGCGAAATAAAAGCGAATGCTTACCCTTTTAGGTTCTGGTTTTTCTAGGGAAGGTGGTGGCCCGTGATATCGTATGGTGTGCGCAAAATCATGCCGGAGTATTGGTTTCTCGTTCCGCAATCCAGGTACGTCTTGCTTACAAACTTATAATTTGCGTCGGGAATCGGATCGCGGCAAACGTGATCTCAGTTGCAAGCTGCATGAATTTTACGCGTTATGATTCTGTATATGAGACGAAAATTTCGTATTTCTTCCAGGGTCAAGGATTTGTATCAATTTCTTCTGATTTGGATGCCCGATTCGTACGGTGAAATCAACCATGAGTATTTATTTGAACGTGAGATGGATTTGGCTGAAGAGGAGCTTATTTATACGGAAGGGTCGATGGGATCTAATGGAGGTGTTGACGATGAATCTGGTGAATTTTCGAAGCTGCACATGGGAGATCTGAAAGAGTCTTGGGAGGTTCGTGTTTCACCGTACAACATTTTATTTTTCCGTTGATTTCAATCGCATTACTATACAGTAATATCCTTTACGCTTGTGATGCGTACGCGCAATTTTGCGTCGCATCAGTGTACCGCATTTGAGGCCTCTTCAGCGATGCATTCTCGAACTGGTTCCAGATTTTGGTTTGAAAGGCTTGTTTCTTCTAGACGAGTTGACGAATGTCAATCTCAAAATTGTTTTTGTCTTCTGAAGTATTAACGAACCTATTCAAATCATGTTCATATTTTCTTCTTTAATGAGTGATAATATCCTCTGATGTTTGTTTTCGATATCTTATAACCTCTGAAAAAAATGTTATGCGTAATTACCGTATGTTCTTGGGATTTTTAAAAGTTAAAGGGTAAAAAAACAACTGAACTTCGGGGAAGCCAATTGTACAAATACACGTATTGCGTCATAGGAGAAAGGGCGTTTAGAAACGTTTCAAGCTGCTAAATTTTTTTTATTCATTTGAAAACACTTCCCCGATTCTGCTTTTCGTCGAATGCGACGTTCTGTGATTCTTTTTCCTCCATCGAGTCTCTGGTTTCGACTATGAAAACAGAGCCTGACGAGAAACTTGAATTTTTTTTTATTCAAAGAGACTGAAATTTTAAAGGTGGCGTTTTTTATACGTTTTCGCGTCGATGTTGCTGCTTATGCGGGGTAAATAATGCTGTTGTTCGATTTCTACTGTACAGTATACGGTGTCATTTTCTGATTGATTCCACGTATTAACTTGAGTACCACCCGCCTTTCCTGAAATTTGAAATTGAAAGAGGGGTGCGCGTCACAGGCGGATATAAAATTTTTTTCAAGTAACTTTAGGTGTGCTTTATAAGTTTATATGATAGTATTGTAATGGGAAATTTTCTATCAAGTTTAACAGAGAATGAAAACGATGGAAAATTAGTTGAATTCAGGCCCAATTCATGTCTGAACACATTAAAACCACAAGAATAAAAACTTTATAACAAATCCGTGCTTTTTACCTTACGCACAGAATGTGTCCCTATTCTAAAGTGGTTTTAAAAGGTGATTTTTTGAGACGACGCGTACAATGAACTCCCGCTTTGGTACTCGAGTGAATATGGTAATTCGAAGTCCAAAAGCATAGGTCACGTCTCAGTTAAAAAAAAAAAACGTGAATGACTTGGGAAATCGGGTCATGTTCAACTTGTGTGGTGCAGATGATGAAGGCGCCGTATGCGCAGCTGTGCAGCCTGATGCGAACGAAGTCGTCAAAATCGAATCTGCTGAAGCACGCGTTTCAGATCGACGCTTATGAGACTAATGTGCTCAGTGGCTGGTCGTCGCAAGTCTGTCGCTTATTCTCGCAATTGTTTTCCTATCCTAGATGAAGGACATGAGTCAACAGTTCCTTGTTGAAATAATTGAAAATTTTAGAACGGTGTGCTTCAACCTGTAGTCCGCGGATGAAAACCGTCCAATTTCTTAGGAATATTAACCTTTTTAGTGGCTCGCTGTTGACTTCAGACCCACGAATTGGTCTTCAAACGTGTATATCCAATTGCATTCGTCTGCAATGCGAAATATTTCCCTCGTTGTCAGCGATCCGCGGATTTAGAAAAGGTTGAGGAACACTTACATTATTTAGAACACTCAATCGTCGAGAGATCGCTTTTTAAATAGGTGAATTCATCGAGACCAAACGTATTGGTATCTTGAATTATCGTAATGTAGTTGGTTCCCCTTTCCCTGAAAAGGTAGAACACCCAAATCACTTCTAGTACATCGTTCGAGAAAGGGATTTTTTATTTTTCATCATCTTTCCTCCCAAAAAATCATAATTTTCTAGTTTCCACGTATCCGAATACTGTATACGCCATAGAGTACGTAGCACCTGCGTACGGAGTTTCGTTCATGGAAACGCTGAACCTTTTAATGTGCTTTTATCGAAATGGTGTGCAGTTTTAGTTGGAACGTGCATAGTGGATGCAGAAGAACCAGTTATTCTCACAATTGAATACAGTATAGTACAGTGGGACTTTGATTATCCGTGCCTTGTTCGAGCGGCAAACATTTTTCCAAGTTTTAGACCCAAAAGCATCTTGGCTGTTTCTGCAATTAACTAATGAGTACCGTATCTTGACATTTTAAAAATCATTTGTTGATGTATTTCTTTAATTTTTGACGTTATGTACCGTATTTACTGGAGTGCCGCGTGCAACTTTTTATTTAAATCAAAATTGAGGGGAAAAACAGGGTTGCGCGTCATAGGCGGGTATGAATTTTTCAAAAAGTTGTAGACGTTCAGGTATGCATTATATTTGATTTTACTTGGAAATTTTGACCAATTCTCAAAGAAAAACTTGTTATAGAAACAATTATAAATTATTTGAATGCAGTTTTAATTCATGACTAAATTCAAAGTTTGGTTATCTTATTTTTGAAATATTGTGGTTTTAGATTTACAGTACAGTATGTGGGTTTCGATCTTATTGAAAAAGAAAGCAGGTCATTGCTCTGGATAATCGAGGTTCCAGTGTGTGCATACCATTTGCATGCCTTCAATGCTATCGGGAGCTCGAATTCTCAATCCGTGTATAGTTCTGTATAGTATCTCACTTCGCTGGCTATTTCGTATTTATTGATGTCATCCAAGCGTTGATCTTTTTTATCAATTAGTTCTACGTTTTTTTCGTGTAGGTCGTTTCCGCGAGCGAAGATGAAGTTCAGCATGCTCTATATGGGTCAAATACGGATGACGACTTCATCCCGGAACTCGTAGGGGAATCTGAAATTTTCAACTCAACCCAACGAAAGCATTTGATCCGTGTAATTCCTGCGAGATGTCAAGGCATGTTTATGTTTTTCTGATTTTTTTTACATTTTTGAATACCTGAACTTCGAGTATGCTGGAAAATTTGGTTTAAAATGCATTTCTTTTCCCGTGACGGAAAGATTATATTCATGAAACGTTTGCAACGATTTTTTCCTACATTTTCGACATTTTACGATGCGATGTTTTAGGGTATCCTTGGAACTTGATCTTCAGCACGTCGGAGAACGGATTTTCCTTGGCGAACTTGTATCGTAAAATGGAAGAAGTTGACTCGTGCGTGCTGCTAATCGTCCAAGATACACATCTCAACGTGAGCATTTTTAATTTTAACTTAAGTTAAAGTTCGTGAGATGACAGATGTGCTCGTCAGGTTTTCGGCGCATTGCTTTCCGACGCGCCTTCAATCCAGGATCATTTCTATGGAACTGGCGAGAGCTTTTTGTTCACCTTTACGCCCTTGAGAACGAATGAAAAGCCTGGTGCATTTATCGGCGATGATGGTGAGTTCAAGCAAGAGCCAATTTTTGAGGTGGACGAGACGGTTGGAGTCAGTGAAATGCTCGAAGAGGAGATCGTGATGAAGAAGGATATGTCTGATGCGTCTGTGTCCGACTGTGCTAAGAGCAAGGAAGAGCATTTCAGAGTATTCAAGTGGTCTGGAGAGAATCAGTTTTTCATTCGATGTCATCCCGATTCTCTCGCTGTTGGAGCTGGAGAGTAAGTAATTTATCTATTTTTTTATCGGTCAGAAAAAAAAAAACCTGATCCTGCGCGTTATTTCTGCTACGCAACAGTAAAGCAAAATTTCATAAACGAATGAGTGCCAATAGTCAGCGGATCTGAGGAATAAGATGTTTAAAATAGGAGAATACAGTTCAGCAAATGCCGTCGTATTTTCAATTGTCTCCAATTTAATTTTGGCCCTCTCCAAAATCTCGTCGTTTTATTGTGTTTTCGAGTTTAATTTACTCTCGGTGAGCTTATTTTTTGACACGTCAGACTTGAAGTTATTGAAATTCATGAAGTTACATCGGAATTGCGGCGTTTCGCTGAACGATTTCTGTATCATTCAGAATTTTTCAAAATTAAAAAGGAATCGCTCGCTCAGTGTTCAACGGATACGTCAATGACTTCTAAAGATTTATAGTCGAGCTTTGCGTGTTTTAATTTCTGCCAATTTCCGTGTTGCAGTTTTTGCTAGTTTTGGCAAAATGAAAGTGTTTCTTGGCTTCGCGGAGACCAGTGAATAAATGCTCAGTTCAAGGATAAGATATCCAAGAAGTTACTGTGCGGTAGAAAGATGCAGTGTATTTTTCTCATATTCTTCATGTGTTGCTAACGGGTGAAATGCACGCTTCAGTGAAACAACATTGGGGGAGAATATGTTCAGTCATGAAGCTTTTGAAGCTGTAAAAATCGGAAATTTTCCGTCATTCTGTTCGAATCAAAACTGGTCCAATGAAAAACAAATCAACCCTCTTGTTATTCTCCCCGCGATCCTTATGTGTGTGCAAGAGAAAGTCAAGAGCATATGAAATTCTAAATTATAGAGTACTGCCGTTGTGACGGACATAGTAGGTAAATAAATAATTTTCTATCACGAATTCCTCAGTCACAGTAACATTTTGGACATCTTATGTTATGTATTTCACCCGATCTCTTTATAAGATGTAATTAATTTTTGGTGAAGCTGTTGAAGAGATTAAAAGTCTATTGGGTTAGTTGACATTTTTCACGATTTTTAACAGCGGTCATTTCGGTCTCCTGCTGGATGGCGACCTGAACAAAGGCAGGACGGACGAATGTATGACGTTCCGTAATAGCATCTTATCATCCGACAATGATTTCGTCATTCGCACGGTTGAGTGTTGGTCATTTGATTGAAGGCCTTATACTAAATGCATCGGATCCTTTGTATGCCTTGATCTGTCGCTTTTAGTTCCGTCTTCCTGATACGTGTAAAAAAAGGGAAAGTTACGATTGCCGAGCTCATTTTTGAGCTCTTGGGATGTCTGTGATCGTGGGAACGCGGCTAATCCCCCGAAAGCGAACTCTGTTCATGCCATCGTTTGTAGCATTCAAAAGAATGACAGTGTTTAAAGTTTCATTTTCACCTCACTCGAGTGATCATCTTTTTGACTGCTTAGGTTTCACAGATGAATTAAGTCCATTGTGTTCTATAGTTCCAGGATTCCTGGGAAAGGTCTAGAAAGTATCCCTTCTAATTTTCTCTGATTGATATCCTTAATTCTCACTGGAACAGGGTCGACATTTGTTCAAAGTTTTTAAAGAAACACTGTTAAGTTGATGATGAACTCACGTCTGTAAATTCCCGTGGTTGTCTTGCACGTGTTATTTTTATCGTTCGAGATAGCCTTATAGTATGGTGTGTATCAAATCCAAAAGAAAAATAAAACTGGTGCAAGATCTAGAAATGAATGTTCGTTATCTAGTCCGGGGCATTGATAATTTAGGAGGTGGGGGTGTTTCCCCGAGATCGTAGTTGCGTTTTGCTGGATGGCTGTTACGAATTTACAATAGGAGTGCAACTTGAGTAGAAAATTTGAAGATGATTTTGGCTGTTCGTGGGGAAAAAAAGATATATTTAAATGCGTTACGGCAAAGGCTTCCTGTCTCGATGGGGCATGTTTTTACGTCGTGAGTTGCTTCCAATGGATCGCTTTGGCCTTGAGATTTTACGCCAGGGTTCGTGATTTTTTGATCTGACTGTTGACCGGTTGATGTTTCTGACGGACTCGCGATTCAAAAATTTTTTCGTGTATTTTTTAGAATTCAGTTGTACGAAACTTGATGGAGGGAAACTAGAATTTTTGATTCGATTTGCGTTATATTTAACGTACTGCACACTTTTCGCAGTTTACCTCTGCTATTCTTTATTTTCAGATTTTTGAATGATGTTCGTTTTGATGCTGCGAGTAAGGTTAAAATTCAAATCGGTGAAGATTTCAGTTTTCTTTTCATGAACTCATTTTCTGTTTTCGGAGTGTTGTTCTTGATCGTATCGTCTTGGTCTTGAGCAACGGATCAGTAAAAGCTATACGCATATCGGCTTTTCCCAGTCATGTATGTGCTGAGCTTCGCAAAGATTTCACGCGGGAAAAAATTGACGGAAAACTGACGAAAAATGAAGATCGCTCGGAAGCCATAATTATAAAGAAATATAGACGAGGTTGGCCATGGCTGCTTTCTTTTGGTTGTAGTGTGGATAAAAAGCTCACCCATGTGTTCTTTCGAATTTGATGTGCAATCGCGATGATTAGCTGGAACCGGCCGCCCAAATTGTCATTCCTATCCTTTTTAATTTCGTTTCGACCATTCCGAGAATGTAGTGCATTCCGTAATTGTCAAATTTCAGCCAAAGACGTCATGAGAATTTTAGTCGCCGAGTCACAAATTTTGTGTTGAATTCGTGACGTGGGTATTGAATCGCTGACGAGGAGGAACGCTCGACAACGTGTGTGACAAGTGCGGTGGACTTTTTTTGTAATCGGATTTTGTTCTATCGTAACGACCTCTTTTTTTTCTGTGTAGTTGATGAGTTATTCTTTCTCGATATTGCTGCAGTGAAAAAGGGAAACTGCGATGAAGAGCTTCAAAGGGAGAAATTTTAGTCTGACCTTGAAATTCAGTGATCGCCTTGTTGAATCCCGAATTTTTCAGCGTTATGTTTTTTTTTCAACTCTTTCAGGTTGTGACTGGAAGCATCAGTGATTTTCAAGTTGGTCTCCGATGGATTCTCTGTGTCCGGATATTTCCAGTAGTAGTATTATTTGAAAATATTGTACTGGTGCAATACGCGATCATATAAATTATGTCGGCCTTGAATGTCGCCGCGCAATTCAGTGACGATGAATGTTCTGCGGACGAAGACAAGGCGGATTCAGTTGATGATGAATCTTGTCCGGATAAAGCTCCTTGGACAGGTCAGTCACCACCTTCACCTCGCATGGCCTGAGGTTTAAAATATTCAGTAAATTCGGATGATACTAACGATGAACAGTTTGAAGATTGTTATGGACTTTTCTTCGAGGAGTCCATGTTGTGCGACTGAAACTGGAAGATTTTTTCCTTCGCTTTTGTGTAATTTTTGCGCATGTTTTCTAGCTAGAGCCACCTTTATTTTGCTGGGATCATTGGGATTTTTCAACGTATACGCCATGCGCGTAAACCTCAGTATCGCGATCATGTCGATGGTCAAAAGTGGCGGCAGCAGTGGGAATTTCACGCCAGTTTGTGGACACCGTAGTAAGGCCAGCGCATTTGTTTCGATGGTGCGTAGTTTTCCAAAATTTTGTATCGTTTTGTGTCCTAGAATCGCATTACGCCGCCATTTACTGATGGTTTACTCTGCTAGAATCTAAAACATCTATTGCTATTCGCTATATATTTTTCCTGATGTTCTGCGAATCTTCAAATTAAACGAATGTACTGTATAAGCTCGTAATCTTTTGAGGTTTGCATTCTTCTTTAAATGCTTTGTAGAAAAATCCGTTATTTCATAAATTCGTAACAAGCTTATTCCTCGTTTCTTTGAAATGGATAAGTATCCTCAGTTTTCCAAAAAGTGACATCCCAAAACATTTGATTGTCCTCAAATTTGTTGCGTCTGGAATCCAAGCTTTAAAATTTTAAATCTAATTACCTCTTACTGTACTGTAATTTATTCTTGAATTTGAAGCGCAGTGGAATATCTTTTAGTCCCTGATGAAGTTTTCTGTTTATCCCATGAATAGGAAAGTGATGGAGAATTCGATTGGGATGAAGCTACGCAAGGATTGGTCTTGGGCTCTTTCTTCTGGGGTTACATAATTACTCAAATTCCGGGAGGTGTGCTTGCGAAGCATTTCGGTGCGAAGTGGTTGCTTGGCCTCGGATGTTTGTTCACTGCCATCTTCACCTTGATGACTCCTATCGCTGCTAGATATTCTGTTTATGCCCTGATGGCGGTTCGAGTCATGGAAGGAATTGGAGAGGTAATCGCTTTTTATGCAAAAATTTAACCCATGCAAAAATTGAAGACAAAATTGCAATAATGAGGCGTATTCGAATTCAGGGTTGTAATAAAATAAAAAGCGTTACAAAATGAACAGGAAAAAACTTGATCGCGGAGTTGTTGGAATTTCGACTCAAAAACTTTGGCACCCGAAGACTACTTTTCATAATACTTAATAAAAAGTTTTTCGAGCTATTCGTGGGTGTCAAGAGAATTATGCGTTGTACTGTGCATAGAATAATGTGCTTGATACGTCATAAGGACGGTTTTTCATCCTTCATTCGTTCGAGGGAAAATCTGACGCAGGTATTATTTTTTTGCAGGGTGTCACCTTTCCTGCGATGCATGCCCTAATAGCGAAATGGGCTCCTCCGTTTCAAAGAAGCCTCTTTTCTTCAATAATTTATGCGGGATCGACAGCTGGACTAGTTGTGTCGATGCCAATCGCTGGTATTTTGGCACAATCTTCTTTTCTCGGCGGTTGGCCGTCTATATTCTATGTTTTCGGTGCCGCTGGCATCGTATGGTTTGCGTTTTGGGCATTTTTGGTGTACGAAGATCCCGATTCTCATCCGTGGATTTCAGTTGCGGAAAAAACGTTAATCAAGCGTTCCCTTGGTCGACAAGTACATCATGGTTCGGTAAGACTTTGCGTAATCGTTTTGAGGTGCAATTCGATTCGAAATTCCAGGTTTCCATTTCCAGAAAGTGAACGTTCCGTATCGAAGAATCCTCACGTCTCCTCCATTTTGGGCAATTCTAATTGCTCACTGCGGGCAAAATTGGGGTTTCTACACACTCTTGACGCAGCTTCCGTCTTACGTGAAAAATGTACTGGGCTTCGATGTACAGCAGGTGATTATATACGAAATGAATGATAATATTATCGATATTGACGTGACAATTCTATGCAGAGTGGATTCATATCCTCTTTGCCTTACCTATGCTTGTATGTGGTGTCAATATTTGGAGGCTTGGCTGCAGACGCCATTCGTGCAAAAGGTCTTTTGAGTACAACGGCGACAAGAAAACTGTACACCGCTTTAGGTGAGTAATTCATGTGGTTACTGAAGTTACTGCCAGCACAATCCTCATATACAGTATTTCCGTTTGTCATCGTTTTTCAGCAAGTTTTTGAATGGGGTCATTTCAGTGATGATTTTAAATTTGCACGTGAGAGTTTGAGATGAATTATTGTTTCGAAGGCATTGGAGGAGCGGGTAATTCAAAGTTTTGGTCGGAAGATGGTTTCCCAGCGTTCTTAGTTTTTTAAATCAAAATTGAGCCAAATTTTTTCAGTTTGCATCGTAGAACATATCCGGAAAAAAGTCCTAGTGAATTCTTAGCGAAAATTTGAGATATGTGGTAGTTAATGAGTGGTATTTCGCGTGCCGTTACATCCACAAAAATGTGAGCACAATTAATTATATCTGGGAGGTATGAACATTCTATGAAATCACGAAATTTGTGCTAAATAACGTTTGAATTGTAGAGAAAGATAAGAAATATCTGGGAATCGTCCGAATAATACAATTCTTATTTGACTTGGAAGTAACCGACCACATTTGGTGCATTTCCGGGCAAATTCTGTGAAGAATGGTCATGCAAGAATAGGTTTTCTAGGAAAAAAAAAAAGTGTCATCCCCTTCATTCACAACTGAGGATAAATAATAATAGCCCTGAAGATGCCAATACAGTCAACTACCCCAAGTGAGCTTTTTTCTGTGAGTCCAGTTAGTATGAGGATAGCCCTGTACAGCATTGATTTCTGATTAAACGTGGCTGCGGAGTTGAATTTTTATTGGGCTGCTGATCCAAAACTAAATACGTGTCCTGTGTTTCCAGCTTTTGGCATTGCAGGAATTTGTTTGCTGACAGTATCCGCTCTTGGATGCAATATTCCCGGTGTTATTGCTGTAATTTCTTTGGCTGGAGCTGCGGATGGACTCGCGTCACCGGGTTTCAATGTCAATCATATTGACATAGCGCCGAATTATGCTGGAGTTTTGCTGGGCTTCACCAACTGTGCAGCCACAATTCCTGGTATCGTAGCACCTTATGTTACCGGATTAATCATTAATGAGGATGTGAGTACACTTTTATATCTATTTTAAAGTTTACTGATCTATTGAAGTTCAGTACAGTATTTTAAATTAAATTTCGCGCATGAAATCGTATTTCAACAGTTTTTTAATCTATTTTCGTTTGCTACCACCTCCAGCAAAGTATTCAGAAGTGGAAAATCGTCTTCATGATTTCTGCTTTCGTCTTCATGTTTGCTGCCGCGGTGTACGCAATTTTCGGGTCCGGAGAAGAACAGGAATGGAACAGACAGCGCACCAATGTTTCAGAAGAAAGCCCAAGAAAAAAGGACGATACCCACGATTCCTTATTTGAGAATCCTTCAGAAGAAGACAGGTGAAAAGGACATTTGCAAGGGTGTGACTATTTGAAAAGTTTTAATTAAGAAGTCCGATGTTTTGAATCGAAGAAACTTCGATCTCAATAGCCGAGGTTGAATAGTCATGCTTTTTAATATTGTTGGCTTACCCATCGCCTTGAAAACTTTGTTGAAGGAATTTTGATTAATTGTGATTTGGAAAATTGGAAAAGGAGAGAATTTTATTTGATGCTTCCTTTGCCGCGAGAGACAAGTTTATATGGCTGCGTTCTTTGTGATTTATGATTACCGTCGTTCAATGAAATACAATTGTGCTTTTCTTTGAATGATTTCGGTCTGGGTAAGTTCCTTCAAAATGCGAAATACAATCCTTTCTCTTGAATATTTCAGGTCTCAGTGTCATTTTGTGTGGTTGAACAGCGTCCGAGATGAGTGTAACTGTTTTCATCGACCTGACCTTGGTGCAACAGGTTTGTATTTTGTAAATTTCGCGAACCAAGTTTTAGTAATACCTGTATCGTGATGTTCCAAATTGGTATACAGTAATTTATTTTTATAAAGAGCTTGATCTCATCCGATTTTGAACTATTTCAATCTCGAAAAGGTCGAGGAACTGCGGTCATATCTGAAGAGCGTCGGAGCTGAAATTTCGGAAGAACTCAGTCCGAAAGGAAACGAAGATGACCTCGCAAAAATCATTGCAGTTTGTGATCACTGCTTCAAAGACGCAACGGAATTAGAAGTCGAAGGTGTGCTGAACTCCATCGTTTCGGGACTCATCATGGTTTGTTTCATTTTGCCGAAACGTATTCGATTCCCTCGCATCATGCTGAAATATTTGCAGGTTCCTGCTGATAAAGCTGAAAATCTTATCCTTGCATTCTGCGAGAAAGTTGTCACCGCCCCTTCGAATAAATTCGGCCAATTGGCTCTGCGTGTGTGAGTTTATTTTAACCTACTTTTTTCATAATTGAAGTTACGTGTAAGTTTATTTCAAGCTAATTTTTTACTCAAAATAAGTCAAGAAAAGCGCAGCTGCGGGCTTAAAAAAGTACATGACGTCGTTAGGAGACCTATTAAGGACATATTAGCACTTATACTGACTTAGAAAATATTGGCCTTTAATTTAGAATGGGTTGACTTGGGTAAGAAAACCTTTAAAAAATCAAGATTCAATTCCCTGTGTATTCTAGAGAAAATCCCATTTTTATTGTTCGGAGAAGTCGTCCATTAAGGTCAACAAAATCCATTATTCAGTACCTCTTGAGTGCTGATTCAAATTTCCAGTTCTGAAAAAAAATTATCGAAATTTAGTTCCTTCACTTTTCCGCGTCAAAATCATTATGAATTCAGCTGATGATAGTTCTGAAATCGCGGAATTTTCTCGCCGAATGAACCTGCTTGGTATTTTTTTAATGCGAGGGTGTATAACGCAGATTGAAGCTGTTGTTTTTCGGGCTAAACCGTCAATATGCAGCGCGGTACCATGTTTATTATAATTTGGTACGCGCTGCCTTTCAATTGGGAGACGACGCAGAAATCGGTCATATTTTCAAGGATATCAATTCGTTGAAAGAAGAATTCATTTCCGCCCCACCCACTACGGAACAGCTGCAGAAACTCTATCGATTGCTTCACGAATGTTTGGTGAAGTCAAACAAGAGGTGATTATATTTCTTCAACGAAAAAGTTCGCCAATTCCACCCGTTTTGGCAAAACGGACGTAGGAGGGGTCTGTAAATTTCGTAGCNCTTCAGAAGAAGACAGGTGAAAAGGACATTTGCAAGGGTGTGACTATTTGAAAAGTTTTAATTAAGAAGTCCGATGTTTTGAATCGAAGAAACTTCGATCTCAATAGCCGAGGTTGAATAGTCATGCTTTTTAATATTGTTGGCTTACCCATCGCCTTGAAAACTTTGTTGAAGGAATTTTGATTAATTGTGATTTGGAAAATTGGAAAAGGAGAGAATTTTATTTGATGCTTCCTTTGCCGCGAGAGACAAGTTTATATGGCTGCGTTCTTTGTGATTTATGATTACCGTCGTTCAATGAAATACAATTGTGCTTTTCTTTGAATGATTTCGGTCTGGGTAAGTTCCTTCAAAATGCGAAATACAATCCTTTCTCTTGAATATTTCAGGTCTCAGTGTCATTTTGTGTGGTTGAACAGCGTCCGAGATGAGTGTAACTGTTTTCATCGACCTGACCTTGGTGCAACAGGTTTGTATTTTGTAAATTTCGCGAACCAAGTTTTAGTAATACCTGTATCGTGATGTTCCAAATTGGTATACAGTAATTTATTTTTATAAAGAGCTTGATCTCATCCGATTTTGAACTATTTCAATCTCGAAAAGGTCGAGGAACTGCGGTCATATCTGAAGAGCGTCGGAGCTGAAATTTCGGAAGAACTCAGTCCGAAAGGAAACGAAGATGACCTCGCAAAAATCATTGCAGTTTGTGATCACTGCTTCAAAGACGCAACGGAATTAGAAGTCGAAGGTGTGCTGAACTCCATCGTTTCGGGACTCATCATGGTTTGTTTCATTTTGCCGAAACGTATTCGATTCCCTCGCATCATGCTGAAATATTTGCAGGTTCCTGCTGATAAAGCTGAAAATCTTATCCTTGCATTCTGCGAGAAAGTTGTCACCGCCCCTTCGAATAAATTCGGCCAATTGGCTCTGCGTGTGTGAGTTTATTTTAACCTACTTTTTTCATAATTGAAGTTACGTGTAAGTTTATTTCAAGCTAATTTTTTACTCAAAAATTCAGTTCTTTTCGCGTCGACGCCCGAATTTTTTCATGTACTGCAGCAATCCTCTGGATAATTCCTGTATAATCGTGAATATGACTGAATCTTTTATAACCGGAAATTAAATCTTACCCAACTGAAAACCTTTCAACGTAAGAAAACCTTTAAAAAAAATCAAGATGCAATTCCCTGTGTATTCTAGAGAAAATCCCATTTTTATTGTTCGGAGAAGTCGTCCATTAAGGTCAACAAAATCCATTATTCAGTACCTCTTGAGTGCTGATTCAAATTTCCAGTTCTGAAGAAAAAATTATCGAAATTTAGTTCCTTCACTTTTCCGCGTCAAAATCATTATGAATTCAGCTGATTATAGTTCTGAAATCGCGGAATTTTCTCGCCGAATGAACCTGCTTGGTATTAAAAAAATTACGCTCCCACATATTGCGTCTAACTTCGACAACAAAAAGCCCGATTTGGCAGTTATACGTCGCGCCATGGTACAAATAATATTAAACCATGCGCGACGGAAAGTTAACCCTCTGCTGCCAGAAATCGGTCATATTTTCAAGGATATCAATTCGTTGAAAGAAGAATTCATTTCCGCCCCACCCACTACGGAACAGCTGCAGAAACTCTATCGATTGCTTCACGAATGTTTGGTGAAGTCAAACAAGAGGTGATTATATTTCTTCAACGAAAAAGTTCGCCAATTCCACCCGTTTTGGCAAAACGGACGTAGGAGGGGTCTGTAAATTTCGTAGCATATCGATTGCTTCACGAATGTTTGGTGAAGTCAAACAAGAGGTGATTATATTTCTTCAACGAAAAAGTTCGCCAATTCCACCCGTTTTGGCAAAACGGACGTAGGAGGGGTCTGTAAATTTCGTAGCCATCATCCGATGTTAGTTCGACCGACGCCATTGTGATTAAAAGCGTAAAATATCCCCTTTTTAGCCTTAGTAGCTTAAAATATTTCCCGTTTAAAATTGCCGCTGTTTAAATTTGACGAGGAAAAATTAAATTATAATTCAAACTGATGTAACTTTTATGAGTCATAAAAGTTACTCCAGTTCCTACTCGAGCAGAAGTTGAGGTTTACTTCAAATTGTTTTTATTGTTTAGTTTTCAGTGGCTGATCTCATCATATTAGTGTAGTTTTTCATACGACGAGCTTCTTTCGAGTTAATATACAAAAAAAAAAATCGCGAGTTCGTAGCTTCCACTACCAGCTTGAAGAGTCGTGAATAAGTTGACTTTGACGACGCGTTCGGGCTCTTCTACGATTTTTGACGTAGTAGCGGAGAGACCGTGATCCAAACATGTTCCTTTTGGATCACCTGTTGACATTGAAGGTATAAGTTGTGATCAATCTTCGTGAAGTTGATGATTCTGGAAATTCTTCTTTTGTTTCGCAGCCCGTGAAGTTTCTAGAAGGCGATCTGATCCACGATTTGCTACTGATCTTCGTGCGCGAAAAACTCTCCGCGTATATGAAATTTTACGAGAACCACAAAGAATTCATTCAGTCAGTCAGTGAGTATAGTATTGTCAACATTCCTCGTCCGAGAAGTAGTTTTTATGGAGTGCATACTTGTCAGAATTGGATCACGATACACTTGTGAAAAAGATTCGGATGCTGACGTTCATGGGGTTGGCTGGAGAAAACCCACAGATGTCATTCGAAACCATCAGAAAGGAATTAAACCTTGGACCTGGTGATGAAGCCGTTGAAGAATTCATAATTGAAGGTGTTATTTGCGTCTTTTTTATATGTGAAAAACGTGAAGTGGATTTTTAAAAGTAATTTTTTATCTCTCAGGATTTTTTGCTAGAGAGAATATTGCCGCTTACAGTGCCCTTTTTCAGAGACAGCGATTTGTATGCTCTTAAACGCGGTATTTTCAACTTTCTGGTTTAGTTTCGCATCGGAGAACCCAACTGAAGATTGTCAAGTTTTGCCTCTGTTCTAGCAGCACTTGCCCCGAAACCATTTTTGAGTTTTCCTTGAAGTCGTTCGCTGAAAATAGGCGCAGCCCTAAACTTTCGTCAATGGGGGATTTTTTTCTCCAGAATAATTTATTTATTAAAATTTGCGAGACTTTATATGTAGATAAGATAATTTTTATTTCGCTGTCAAAAGTGTATTTCGCAATTCCTAACTTGCTAAAGTGGCTAACGTGAATTCGTTGCACATGCAGTCTTTTTTTAGGTCTTGGGTTATGTTCTCTTATTTTATGCCAGGAGTGCTTAAATCAAACTTAGCTTTAATTATTTTTTTAGTCGTTTTAGTGATTCAACTGCCTGGTAAACCAGATAGTGAAGTGAAAGCGTCTTATGATGCTTTGAAAGCTAAACAGATGCCTTTTTTCCAGTTCTCAAGACACAATTAGTTCGTGGACGAATGGATCAGCAAGCAAAGAAGGTCATGATTAACAATACTGTTCAGCGCACCTTCGGGATTGAACAGTGGAAACAATTGCAGACGATTTTGTACAACTGGAGAGATAGTATCAACCGGGTGGAGAAAAATTTGAAAAACCTGGACGAGCTCGTACCGCAAATGGCTTAAGATTCTCGATATTCTTTCTATCATCCGAAGTTCCAAATATATCGGGTGTTAGCCGTTTGTTCGGTCGAACTCATCGTCTCGTATTTCTTCAATGACGTCATATTCTTTTCCTGAATAGATTTTCAGGTCATGAAGCTAGGCTTCAAGAGGAATTCGTCAACATGTCTGGAGAGAAAGTCATTTCCTGGTCATCGGATGTTATTCCGAAATACTCGAGGTTTGTGGGAAAACAAGCCCGAGGTTTAAAAAAAATAATAAACAAGGGCGCCATTATTCGGGATATTTTGTGATAGGGAAGCAAATGTAAAACATGTCATTATTCGTGTTGGATTTACTGACTGAATTAACTTATACTGTATGTGGAAGAAATTTTTAGTCCATCAGCTCGGGAAGCTGAGGCTTCCCGCAAATTCCACCTGTTTCGAGCCTACCGCACGACCGATTGATTTTTGCGTTTGAAGTCTACTGGAAGATGTGTGGATGCTTTTGCCGATTCTCCCTTCGTATGCTTTTGCTTGGAAGAAAGGGATTGGCAGTGATGGGTATCGGAAGTCTGAGGGGTGAGCGGTGTTGAAAACGTGGAAGATCGATGGTCGGATATCAGATTCGAATGATGAGGAGGCCTTGACCTTGGCTAACGTCCGAAACTCCGGCAGAGAATCAAAACGTGAGGGCGATTTTTTTTACAGGACACAGTTCCTCTTGATTTGTTGATGGGTTCGACGTTTCTCGGGATTCTTCCCTGCAGCGAACTTTTTTTTTTCTTCATAGTCTCGAAAAAAATCGCATATGTTCCTGATTCCAGCATATTCGCCCAAAAAACAAACTGTTCATAACTAAATAAATTTTTCAGTCTTCATTTTGAGACTTATCTTAAAATTCCAAGAGCATCCGCAAAGACGACCTCCCGTTAGCTAAATCAAGCAATTTTGTGGAAAAGATTCTAGAATATTTTTCACAAATGAATTCTTGTGGCTTATTGATGCTATAAGAAGCGTCAAAAACTCGATTAGTGAAAAGGAGTAAAACCTCCAGCTAAATCGTGCATTTGGATAAAGGGATGTGCTGCTTTGTTTTTCGTGCTGTTTTGCTGATCAGATTAGAAACAAATAAGCTTTCAATATTAAAGTGTTTATGGGACCTTAGTTTCGATCACCTGAAGGAAAAATTTTTCAACAGTACTCTTTCAAGCATGAATGTCACTGTCATTGTTAACCTTTGTCTCTAGGGTTATTTTTATTTTACTCTCATCAGGACAATAAATGTACTGGTTGCCAAAAAAAAGTCGGTGTTTATTTTTCTCACTACCCTATGATTTGAACTACAGTGAAAGTGGGCAGTTTCAAAAGTTGAGAAAAGACGTTCTGATGGGTATGGTTCTTCAAACTTGACTTAAACTGTATATGAACAAGGAGCAGCTCCAAATATTTGAGAAGGGTCATATTTTGCTATGCAGTGCCGAATCCGTATATTGAATTGAAAAGTGAATCGACGGTGGTGAACATAATTTTGTGGAGGACTAACGTTGCAATGTGGACAATTCACTTTGAAGTACTGGTACTGTATAAGTATTGTAATTCTAAAAGTTTCACAGGTCCTTTCTTCGTAGCTTCAAGACTTCTTGAAACCGCCTTTTGTACATTGTAAGTGTGAGCTATATGTCCCGGGGTTTCTATCGATTAAATCTTCACTATTGGAATTTTAGAGCGACGTGTTGTTTCAGTGAGTTAAAATTCAGGGCATATCTTTGAACGAACAGTTCAATGCTTAGCTGAAATTTTTGCTGCTCAGCTTTCTATATATTTTGGATTAAAATCAATGCCATATATATGTATATGTACTGGGTATATTGCATTAATGGAATAAAGCTGTAATCTTTACATCTGAGTAAGAATGCATTATCTTTTGCTCATCGCGTCCGAAATCCGTCGTTATTTCACCTCGATAATTTTAATATGCTGATGCCGTGTTGAAAGCTGATTTTTCTTTTATTTTCCCTTTGTTTCCGACTTTGTTGCTTTACTTTCCAAGTGGTACGCTGTATTATCGGGATGGAAGGACCTGACGAAAATCCTTCAGATGAAAGAGATGTACACACACCCAGAAGTGAAGTTCCCGAAGTGACCGACACCAACGAAAAACCAAGAAAGCCAGGATGTTCAGGTGCGTATGGCAATAAATTACCTCGAATATTCATTTTGTGGAAATATTTTACTGAAATACTGTACCGCTCTCAAGAGCACTAAGCGTGTACACAGGAAATTTCATCATTGATATACCTAAGAAAACTATTTTTGTTTCTTTTCCATATTAAGGAAGTGAACCCGTGCCTTTTCATCGAGGTTTTTTTTTTCGAAAAAGGAGGAATTATATGAACGAAACTATTTGGCAGCAGTGAAAAGATTTTAATTTCAAACGAAAAAACGCTGCTTCGAGAAAACTACTGCAACAATTTTACAGCATTATATATTTTTACAAAAATTGCCCATTATGGAAAGAGAAAATAAAAGTATACTTCTGAGAAAACGCTTTTCATGAGAAAGAATAACAAAATTTTGTAGCCTTCTTTCTTATTATAGTGTATCTGTTTTCTTATGTAAAGACATGACAAAATTCTTCGTTTAATTCCACAATGCTGGTGCTATTTTGTGTATTTCGCTTTTCTGAAAGAAACTTGGAAGCGTTATTTTCAAGTAAATTGGTTTTTTTTTTTGTTATCGACTGCAGGTTATTCTTAAAGCGTGGGGCTTTTCTATAGGTTTACCATCACAGAAATGTTTCGTTTTATCATTTTTTGAAAATTTTCAGCGGTGGCATCTGCTGCACTGTACTGTATTATGTATGTGCGTATGATTGTTAAAAACCTGGACTTACTTTCTTCAGTACATAGTGCACTAAAAAATGACGCATGCGGTTATTGCTTTTTGCAGCTCGCATAACATTCATTACCATGGCCTCACTGGGATTTTTCAACGTGTATGCCATGAGGGCGAACCTGAGTATCGCCATAATTTCAATGGTTCAGCCAAGAGGAGCTGCAGAAAACCACACAGCAGTCTGCAGCTTCGGAAAACTGCGAAATAAGTCGGACGAAGTAGACGTGAGTTTTTATTTTTCTGAATATTCGTCTCATTTTCACAAGTTTCAGATTCCGCACGGAATGTGCACAAAACGATTTTTGCCTGTAACGTAATAGACTGAATCCGTTCCCGCAGTTCGACGTTATGAAGTTATCAATATTAGAAGAGTGGACGAATTACTCATCTGTGTCAGATCCCGTGGCCTCGGAAAACTTCTGTATAAATTTTCGAATGAGCTGAAGAAATTGGTAAAATATAGCAAAAACAGAAACGCGGGAAACAGTTCTCAACTGAATAAGAATAAGAAGTAAAAGCATCCATCCTCATTTTCTACTGATGCGATTTCAATTTTTTCAAGGTTCATTTCTTTTCGTAACGTACGGTATATTATTCGAATCTGAGCTGTCCATCGCGAGAAAAAGTACATTACAGTGCAAGCTAGGCGTGTACATATACAGTACTGTATTATCTCCTGATGAATATTGACACATATACAGTACTGTATTATCTCCTGATGAATATTGAACACCGCTTTGTTCTTCCATGTATTGTATAGGTGAAGGCAGCCGAGGGGGAATTCGATTGGGATGAAGTAACGCAAGGTTTGATTCTGGGCTCCTTTTTCTGGGGCTACATGATCACGCAAATACCCGGAGGGATTCTTGTCAAAAGGTATGGATCAAAATGGGTGCTTGGGATCGGATGTTTACTGGCTGCTGTTGTCTCCGTGTTGACTCCGACTGCTGCTCGACATTCAGTGTTCATGCTCATGGCAGCCCGAGTATGCGAAGGATTGGCCGAAGTGAGTTCTCGGGTTATTTCACATACAGTATTCGAAATCGAGTGCTGGAAAGTAAGTTTTTTATTTTTATTTTGCATAATTTTAGCAAAAGAAATGGAACAAGAGAGAATTCGTTTCTGTAAGTTTTTCAACATATGCGAGTAGCGTCATCTATTCTATACGATATTTTTGTTGCAAAAAAAATTCCTTCAGAACGTCAGTTCTTGACCTTTGACGAGAATAAGTGCTGCTGGTTTATAGTTTTGTGTGGATTGGAGGATTGCGTCTGAAAAAGGAAGGGGACACGAATTTAAATAATGCTTCGTATTAGACAGAAATTTCATTTTTCAATCCCGATTGGCTCACGGCATGCAATTCTTTCCAACTGCTTTCGAAAGGTCTTACGATTCTAAGATATGCTTACTCTTCGCATGCTGATTGATGCTGATGCGACCCTTTTCGACGATGATGAAAGTCTTACCTCTGAAAAAGCTGCCAAGCTTAAGACAATTTCACTTCAATTTGTTGAAAGCTATCAAAATGTTGGTAGGTTATATTTTGGCTCGAGGAAATTCGTGCTTGAAACCTTCACGAATGATGCATGTACTTTTCTAGATTTAAACTCGTCACCAATGAAAAATGTTCCCCGCGAAAATTCCGAAGAAATCAAATTTCAAAATTATTTTTGGCGAATTAATCACTCATGGGGATAAAGACACGATGTTTTCTTTAAAACCATCAAACACGCCATATTTTCTTCCTCAATGTGAGTAGTGCGTATACAGTACAGCAGCAGTTATTACTATCCTTCGCCTTATATATATACTGTATATACTGTACAGTATATAGAGCAGGGCTTACTATATCACTGCTACTGAAAGCACGCTATCTACAGTTTTTTAGTAGCTCAAACGTGATGCAATTTTTTTTGTTTTCTACTGAATTCTGTATGTAGGGTGTGACCTTTCCTGCGATGCATAGTCTCATTGCGAAATGGGCGCCACCAGCGCAACGGAGCACATTTTCTGCGATAATTTACGGCGGAGCAACGGGTGGTTTGGTGTTTTCTATGCCAGTTTCGGGTTTACTGGCGAGTTCCAGTGTGTTGGGCGGTTGGCCGTCGATCTTCTATGTCTTCGGACTCCTCGGAGTGACGTGGTTCATATTCTGGACCATTTTGGTGTATGAGGATCCGGAATCGCATCCGTGGATATCTTCCTCGGAACGAAACTACATCAAGGATTCCATCGGGACGCAAATGCGGACTCATAGCGAGGTAGCGTAATATAATTCAGTTCTTCGCATTCACGCGAGAAAAAAAAAAAAAAAGTCGGTGCCTTTTTGGGCTTTTATAGAATGAATTTCGGTGAGATTTTTAAACTATATTATGCTTTAAGCACATGCTGGGCGTGTATGTTGACAAGCTAACTTCGGGCTACAATCAAATGCTGTGGATACTTTGAAATAGATAGTTTCCTTTCGTTTTACAGCTGTATTACCGTCTCCCGAAATTGTGGTCTCTGTGTATATGCTGGACATATGTTCTTTATTTTAATACTGGAGGAAAGTATACTAGATAAAGGATTACAGTGTATGCAAAAAAGCTTTTAAATAACAAACGACCTCTGTATAATAAAGCATTGGATACTTACTCTGTAACTGCTGATGGTGGTTCATTTCAGTGTTGTATTTGTGAAATGTGTGGCCATGAAATGCACGCCTTTGCAATTAAAATCTTAATTCTGATGAGAGTGGAAAGAACATCTGCTGATTCGACTTTATACGAATGTACCATAACTTGATCTTATAAAGTTTTTATCCGGGATGATCGAGATGACATAGTTATTTGATAAAAACCCGTCTTCGTTTTTTTTTGTCTCCCCTGCTGTGTTCGTAAACTTTTTCAGGGATAACTTTAACTTTTTTTTCAATTACCAAGTCGACCTCGTTCCAATGCAACATGAAAGACACGAAAAAGGAGAATGATTTTGAAATAATTGATTTCTTTTTTAGGCCCCACTTCAACGTCGATCCTATTTTTAAAGCCCAATAATATTGTTGTTTCAAGATCAAAACCTATTTTTTATTTATACTTTAGGATGGGTGCATTATTCGCCTGGTTTATTCGCGTTTCTTATTATATATTTCCTGTATAGATGAAAAAACACGCTGTTCCGTATCGTCGGATATTCACCTCAATGCCGTTTTGGGCCATTGTTGTGGGACACAGTGGTCAGAACTGGGGGTTCTACACGATTCTAACTCAGCTGCCGAATTACCTGAAGAACGTCATGGGTTACGACGTCAGAACAGTGAGATTCGGGTGCATTATTCCGTGATTTCGTTTGCTCGCTCACTTAAAATTTTTTTTTTTTCAGAGTGGGATAATTTCAGCGGTTCCCTACCTCACGATGTACATCACGGGGATAGTTGGAAGTTTCGTGGCCGATGGTGCGAGGAAAAGAAAATTACTGAGTACATCTTCTATCCGAAAACTGTCCACTTGTGGTGGTATGTTGAGATTGACAACATTGTTTCTCCGGTTTTCTTCTCGGCTTGAATGGCACAACGTTCCCGACACCGCTATTTTTTCATTACGTTGATGTCGCCTGAATGCGGTTATTTATTTTTTGGCATTCAGTTTCATAATTTTTCAGTTGCTTAGTTGAGGCTGGACTTGAATACGCTAGACATAATGTACAGTACAGTAGGATCAGGTTGGATCAGGAGCTATTGTTCAATTGAATTGTTTCTTGTCGGGTTTATGGTGCAGGCGACATCTGCGGAAATTCCAGAGAGTATAACGTTGGCCGGTGTAAGTGACGAGGTTTTTCCTTCACTTTTGCGTAGGATTCACGATTTCCGGATTGAGTTTGTTGACGATTGCTCACATTGGATGTCACTTGTGGGCTACTGTGGTTTTCTTCACCATCGGAGTTGGAGCAATTGGAATGAAGCACAGTGGTTACGGAGTCAACCACATCGACATTTCTCCTAATTTCGCTGGAATTCTAATAGGATTCACAAATTTTGCCGCAACGATACCTGGATTCGTTGCGCCATACGTCACTGGCATAATCACAGAGGATGATGTAAGTTTCTTTTTCTTGAATCGAATTCAGTATTTCAAAACTTTCTCGGACTGCTGTTGAATCAAAAGCTCTATCGAATCGCCCTCAAAAGTTTTTTCTTTCCAGAATTAAAACATACTTCTTTACATCGTTTCCCCATGCGTTTTATTTGGTTTTTTAACCGTCTTTAAGTATTTCTGAAGTTTATATGAATCCATATGTGTATACGATTAGATTGATGGAATAATACTTCTTAATTTTGTTCGCTCTTTATTTAATCGGCGGCTCCTTTTTCACACGGCAAGAAAAACTTTTTTTCGAACAGTAAAAAACTCGCTTTAAGGTTATCTTTTTGCGATAAACTCGAGGACAGCTTTTGAATTTCGAGAACTTCCGAAATCCCCGGCGTGTAAATGTGACGCGTTCTCTGTTGGCGGACTCCTTTCATTTTTTTCAGGAAACCATCGAAAACTGGGCCACGGTATTCCTGATCTGTGCTGCCGTATTCATTTTGAGTGCGTTGTTCTATGGTATCTTCGCTTCTGGAGAGGAACAGGAATGGAATCGTTGTGGTACTGATGTGCATGAGGGTGCTGTTATTGTGGACTCGACCAAAAGGCAGGAATCTGAAGAAAAAACAGGCGCGTGTTCTCTCGAATGACGTTTATGCGGATGGAATCAAATGAGCGTCTGTTCTTAATGTTGGAAATGCATTTACGGAGCAGAAGCCATGTTTGAGTTGTTCAGTTTCATTTCTTGCTGTATGAGTCATATTTTTACAGTAATTCTCAATAATTGATGGGAGTGCTTTATAACACACACACTGTCTAGCATGAATGTGCTATATGTATACAGTACAGTACTGTATTTCTTATGGCAAATATGATCGCAGTTTTATCTTTCGAACTGATTTCTGCTTATGTTACTTATTATGCATCAAGAAAATAAAAATCCAATGAAAACGAAGCTTATAATAGTAGAGGGATGGGTATATATTCCTGCGCGTGTTCTGTGCAACAGAAGAAGAGTCAGCCAGCATATAAGCAAGATCAATCTATACAGTGCATGCTAAAAATTATGTAATACTGTAAATCTAAGCTGCACACTAAGAGCGTGCACAGGATCACAGCACTGTACATTATATAGTACCATAGAAACTTTAGAAAGAATGCAAAACTACAGGTCAAGTTAAATGTGTCGTGACGAATCTGATGGTTACTTCACATCCACGTTATCTACCTTAATTGATTGCGTATAGGCTCGTAAGGTAATAAGTCAGCTATAAATGATCGCTGAACATATTTAATCTTAACCCTACACAACGAAATAACCTGACTATATATCAATGACCCAGGTAGGGTTATGTTAATTAGCCTATTTTAGTAGATTACATCTGTTGATTTTAGATTTGGTCAATTTGCTGGGTATATAAGTTATATGCTGTTCAAACTCATGTTAATTTGCTTTCCTTTTTTGCGCTTAATATATTGTACTCTATTTAGCACTAATCATATTTTGAAGCTTCTGTGATGGTGCTTGTTGTTGTGTACACTTACCATTCTGTTCACTGGTTCTTTTCCATTAATTGCCGTTTTTGATCTGCTGCTATACTGTACAAAGACCGTTAATAAAGATTGTCGTACATTTCGGATGCTAGTGACACCTAACCTGTAAAAGTCTCACAAGAAAATATTCATTTTGCCTTTCCTGGTAGGGTGTTACTGGCGACTGGAGAGGCTCTCGTCGTAAATCTCATGGAATTGCGCATGCCGGATAGTTCTGTTTTTGTGAGCGACCGCGGCGTTCGATATCGTGAAATGTGTGAATGTTTCTTACTTTCATTTTTTCAAGCCGTTCTGATGGAATTACTGCCGCAAACCTGTGCATCGTGTTGCGTGTGATTGAACCTCATTGTTTCTGTGGAATGAATCAGGTGCAAAAAATGGAGCCGGAAGAAGTATTCCATATGACGGATGAAACGTTGGGACGCCCGGCGTTTTATCGTATACCGAAGACTATCGGAAATCCGAAGTCAAAACGAGACTCGAAGAATGCTAAGAAGGACCCCTTTACTGGCAGAGCTCCAGTCTCAAAACATTTGCTTGAAAAGCATAAGAAGCCGACGGTTGAAATGCGAGGACTCCATGTGCCAGGACGGGTTCGTAAAGCGAAGATAGCCCAGAATCAGAAGAAGATCAAATTCGTTTCTGAACAAGCAGCTCGTTCAGAGCTGCTGCTGACTGAAACTGCAGGGTTAGTAAGCGATTCTGGATTTTTTTTCTCAATGGACAAAGTATTGATGCGTTAGCTTCTGATAAATTTGGAATTCTAAGAATTTCTTCTGCTTTTTAGGTCTGTGGATGTCGATAGTGATGAAGAGAGCTTCACGGTGCATCAATCTGACATAAAGAAGGCTGTGGATATCACCTCGGCAAAGAAGGCTTTCGATCTCGATTTAACGCACTTCGGCCCGTACAGGATGTGCTTCTCTCGTAATGGAAGATACTTGTTACTAGGGGGCCGGAAAGCCCATGTCGCGGCACTTGATTGGGTTACCAAGGAGCTGAAATGTGAGATAAACGTCATGGAGACAGTTCATGACGTCCGGTGAGATTTACTTCTATTAATTTTATCCTTGAAGGAAGCCTACATGCGGTGATCAAACTGATTTTATCGTTTTCTAGGTGGTTGCATAATGAAACCATGTTCGCTGTTGCGCAGAAGGATCACGTTTATATGTACGATAATGTTGGAGTAGAGTTGCATTGCGTCAAACGCCTACACCGTGTATCACGCATGGAATTTTTACCATATCATTTTCTTCTCGCTACTGGGGTACGAAACCATTGTTTCCCGAGCACCTTCAACTATTGATGCATTCTTCGTTTTTGTAGAGTGAGAGCGGATTTTTAAGCTGGCTTGATGTTTCAATTGGAAAAATTGTTGGCCAATACCCTGCGAAACGAATTCCTCGGATTGAGACGATGGTTCAAAACCCATGGAACGCATGCTTGGCTGTAGGATCAGTGAATGGTCTTGCTATTAATTTGTCATTCTTGTGAACTATAATTGATTTTTAAGCCTTTTTCTAGGTTGTGTTTCGTTCTGGAGTCCGTGCGTGAACGAAGCTTTGGCAGTTGTGCTGGTGAGTCCGCAGCCTATCAAGGACATCGCAATCGACCACACTGGGACTTACTTGGCAACGAGCTCGTCTGACAATATTATGCGGATCTGGGACGTGAGAACGTTCGGCATTTTGCATTCTTACAAACTTCCAGTCGCGCCGCGGAACTTGGCCTTTTCTCAGAAAGGCTTGTTGGCCTGCTCTGCGGGAAACGTAGTGGACGTAAGTTGAAAATTCATTTGCTTCTCGGATCGATTAGCATCAAAATTTTGGTTTCGGAAATTGATTGATGTGGTTCCTTCCTCCTTCAGCTTACCTTTGATAGATTTTTTGCTTGTGTTGCGGAAAAATCTTGAGGAACAATTTTTGTAGCCTTTCAGATTTTCTAACGTTTTTTCAGTCACTGAGACTCTCGAATTCAGAATGAAAACATTAATTTCCGAATGAAAAAAATTACTGTGCTGTGTTCGATGACGGTAAATGAACATATTGAAAATTAATTGCAGTACATGTTTTCATGGGAAATGGCTCACATGGACGAGAGAATATCCACTTGATTTATTAGGCATTTCTTGGAAAAAACAAGGTATTTCACATGAACTTGAAATTATTTGACACGCATTGTGCTTTTATTCAAGCCTGATTTCAGTATCATCTCTAAATCCTGAATTCAGGTCAGAAATACGGGGTAAAGGATACATGGGATGCTTATCGCATATGTTGACATTTTTTTTATTAAATTCGTAATGCTGTACAGTGGGGCTCCGACGTATGGATGATTAGGTTGGGGACACTTGAAGCTTTAAAAGTCTGCCCGAACGTCCAGACAATGTCTCAAAATATGGACACTGCCAAAATTTATGAAAAAATTTGATAATTTAATTTTTCCAAATTTTGATTTTGTTTGAAAAAGAGGGCTATAGTATTCGTATCTCAAGCATTCAAAATATCGTATTATGAATTAACTCTTAATGCATAATAAATATGCTTCTTTTTTTTTCAAGTTTCTTCCCGTCATCTGTGCAAAGTAAAGCAAGTAGTTTTTCATTTTTTTTGGGCTCTTTTTCAATTTCAAAAGGGCAGACCCTGAGTGATTTTCTTCATTTCAGTTACATTTTTTAAATTGAAGGGGAGAAAAAATCTGCTCAATTTTTGGTGGGACTTTCTCCAAATTTTTGACAAAGGGGAGAATCAATTAAATATGTTCCCATTTAAGTATGCGGGAAAATGTGAATCGATTAAGTCCTCATCTTGCGACCCTACTATATTGTAGTATGATTCCGGATCCCTCCGAATGTTGAGTGTAAGATAATTTGAGTTTTCCGATTAAGGGGCAAATTGAAACGATTAATTTCTTGAGTCTTTTTTTTTCTAAGTTCATGGCATGATTTTGGAAATACAACAACGCAACCTTTTTTCACTCGTTCCGTAGATATACAAAGACTGTTGCACAGAAAAGGCTGAAACGCCGTATTTGCGGCATCGAGTACACCGAACCATAAATCAACTGGAGTTTCCGCCGTTCGAAGACGTGCTCGGTATTACTCACTTCGGGGGATTTTCAAGCATTTTAGTCCCAGGCGCCGGAGAGGCCAATTTCGATGCCTACGAAAACAATCCGTTCCAGAGCAAGAAGCAGCGGCAAGAAGCCGAAGTCAAAGCTCTGTTGGAGAAAATACAGCCAGAGCTCATCACTCTGGATCCTGCTCAAGTGATGAAAGTGGACACGGATTCTTTGCGGCAAAACCTGGAGGAAAAACGAAAGATTGCCTACGTGAGGCCTCGTGAAGTCGAGTTTGAACCGAGGAAGAAGGCGAAATCCAAGGGTGGGTCCGCCAAACGGACGAAAGTGAAAAGTGGAGTGAAGGAACAGGATAAACTGATGCTTTTGAAGGAGGCGAAGCGTCTGGAGAAGAAATCCGTCGAAAAGAAGGAAACCGTAGAGAAGAAAAAGCCCATGAGCTTCCTTCTTAAGCTAGGTAACCGTTCTAAATTCGGCTTCTGTGTCTTTGGAACTATTATCGCCAAATATTATTTAACAACTAACAACCACACGCTAAAGTGGAACTCGACACGCCTTGAAAATAAAGCTGAAGCGGTTGCATTTTTTTAAAAAACTTTTAATAACACTACACGACGCTCTATTATGAATATGATACAAGAATGATGCAGAATAATCTTTTTACAACTAACCTCGTAATAACAAATCTTTACTTCCAAAAAATTTGTCAAGATCTGCGATTCAGCTCCTATTTTTTAAATTTTGATATCACGGATTTTTTCATTATTAAGAACTTTTTGGAAGTTAAGAGGGCATTGTCATCATTATCTGCGTGAAATTCAAATCAACTTGTCTGAAAAAGAAATTAGGGAAAATTATAATTCAAGTCCCGACTTGAAAAATGGTTCTTTAGGATAAACTATGAAGAATTGTGGTGATTTACCGCGCTTCGACTGCCACAAAGTCATCATCAGGCGAGGCAGTCAGGAAGCATCCGTTTCAAATGGATGTAAGGTGAGCTGAAGACCATTTTCTGATGTTTCTTAAGGTTAATTTTCCTTCTTATCGAAAGGTGACTTTTCATTTTGTTACTGAACTTTGTGGGGAGCCCGATAAGGACATCCTCGACGACAGCAGAAATTTCACGAAACCGATGGAAATCGTTATTGGGAAGCAATTTAAATTGCCAGTTTGGGAAAGCTGTTTAGCCTCGATGCGGGAAGGTGAAGTGGCACAATTCACTGTCCGAAAAGAGGCATGTTTCAACTTTCTACAATGTTTTTCTAAGGGAAAATGATTCATGTCTCCTTCTTTCCACGTCTCAGGCGGTTGTGGCGTATCCGTTGATTGCAAAAACGCTTAGGGATCATTTTAGTAAAGAGCCCAAAAAGCCGCAGGACACCGGCTGTCACCACAGGTGTGGTATGAGTTTTTTCGCGCAAAAACAGAGCACCGGCTACGATGATCTGGATGAGCTTACTCAGAGTCCGAAGGATTTGAAGTTTACTTTTGGTGAGGATTCTGCATGAATCTATAATTTTCGTCTCTTCGTTTTCCATGAGGGTGGCATACGTAGTATTTTTGACGTCAGGCGTAATGCGACGATTTGTTGCGGTTTTGATCATTCTACGATGTGATCCTCGCCCATTGCAGTTTTATTTTTTTCTTCAGAAATTTTGAAAATTGAAACCGATTTGGATTACGAAAAAGAAGGCTGGATTATGACTGACGAGGAGAAATCCAATAGCATTGCGGGCCTGCGCGATAAGGGCAATACGCTTTACAAAAGCGGTGATATCGGCGGTGCGGCTGCGGTTTATAGTGAAGCTCTCACCAGACTTGATGCCCTGTCGATAAAGTAAGAAATCCTTGTGTGAATTACTGAATTCGAAGAACCCTGAGGTTTACTCGGGTCAGGTTAGAATATCTTATGACAGGTTGGTAGGGCTAAAATGTGGTTCTTTCTTATTGAATATACCCCCGCAGTGGCTCTTCGCTCGTATGCTGCTGATCTGGATCTAAATATTTTCGAGTGGAAGTCAATTTTCATTCAGTTTGGATTGTTTTGTTAGTACAAGTTGCTGGGCGTTAGTTGATCATTCATGTGGACTGAATGATTCCTCTTTCGCGAGATTAAATCCATTCCATTGAGAAGTTTATAGATTCAATAGATTTAAAGCTCTTGGGCATAGCTAGTATGCTTCTTGAAAGATAATCGTCCATGGAAGTCTTCGTAGCGTCTTTGAAAATGGCTTTTCTAATTTGGTATACAATATTTTCCACATCTCTTCTGTTCCAATGAATTTTTTTCTAAGAAAACGTGTTCTACGTAACATGTGAAAAAAATCTGGATAAAAGCTTCAGAAAATCCAGTAATTACAGAATTATTTAAATTCATTAAAACCATTATATTATATTCATCTGCAATCTGAAAACCAAATTTCTGACGTGCTCTGATGACATGAATGTCTGAATAAGCATTTTTCGGTTAGTGGGTTAACTAAAGCGGAAACTTGGATTTTGTGCGGAAAATCGCATTGGTTTAAGATTATGTAGGTTGAGACTTCAGCTCAAGTATAATATAAGATTAGCTTTATGTTAGGATAAGTTGGTTTGTTCATTAATTTTTTAGGTTATTTTATGTAAAGGGCTTGTCGTCATTGTTGTCAGGAATATTCTAAAACGGATTGAGCGATTTGAAGAAGGATGATACTTCAATTCAAATTGAACTGAGCTACGAAATTTCTCAAGAAAAGCCGGATCAGAATTTAAAATGAGGTACTGCTTCGCAGAGAAAAGCCTGGAGATGAAGGTTTTCTAGAGCTGGAGCGCAAGAAGCTTCCATTCCTGCTCAATCTGGCACAGTGCAAACTCATACAGAAGGAATACTATCCAGCCATCGAGCTTTGTGGCATGGCTATCAACATCGATCCGAGTACAGTATTCAGAAATTATTAAACGACTTGTTTTTCTAAATTGTCCTAACATAAGTGAATCATTTTTAAGAAAACGTAAAGGCCCATTTTCGGAGAGGTAAGGCGCACATGGGAGCTTGGAATCTGAAGGAAGCTCGGGACGATTTCCGGAAAGCTGAAGAAATGGATAGTAACATGAGTGCCACCATCAAGCAGTTGCTAGCCCAAACTTCGCAGCTAGAAAAGGAAAAGAATGAGGAAGATCGAAGGAAATTAGGAGGATTGTTTACTAAAACCTGATTTGTGTGATATTCACGCTGTATGTAGTATTAATTGTTGCTCTGACTAGTCGGCGTTGTCTTTTCGCGACGTGTAAGCTGAACACATTCACTGGCGATTTGTCTCCGTGTCGATGTAGCCATAATGCCGTTTTTTTAATTTTTTGTGGTAATTTTTGACACCTTCGAAAGAGTGAGTGCTTATTTCCTTGTGGAGTGCTGGATTCGATTTGGGTTTTTTCGATGGCAATTTTGCATAAACGCCATGTCATCTTGGCAGAGGTCGATTGTGTGTTTATTATTGAAGAGCGTTGGTAGCCTGCGTTAAATCGTGGCTCTAGCGTGTGAAATGCTGTTCTGTGTTTTTCAGCTTGACAAAGAACGTGATTATGGTCGCTTGAATGTTTCCTTGCTGATTTGCGAAAAAATAGTGTTCCTTGATAAATACAGGCGAAGGTTCGACTAATTCCCAGCTGAGGGTTGCGTTTAATTGAATCCTCATTCATGGTTAAGACGAGATTTACTGTATATGCAATTTGTAAACCTGAGGAATACTGTATTGGAATATCATACATGCCGCATTGCATGTGCATTTTTACTAATTAATGAACATTTCTCGGTTTTTTTTATTCGATTTACGGATTTAGTTATTTCATGAATGAACCTTAAATTCTGCTCTATTTACATGAGGTAAAAAGTTTCTTTTTCGGGATACTGTTTTAGACATCTAACTTGAAATCGGTTATTCTTAAGTAAGTACCGGTTTCTAAAAGTCAATCTTGAAATGCAACATGTGGAAATTTTAAGTTTAGAGAGGATATTAATGAATACATACTGTTTAAAATAAAGATGTTAGGTGTATAACGTGATCCTATGCCTTTAAAACATATGTGATAATTTTTCAAGCATGATTAAACTGTGAAATTGGATTACGGTATGAAGAAACTTGATTCAAGACACTCGAAGAGTACGATTGTCGTTGATTATTATCCAGTATATATTGCGTTTTAAGTTGCGTTGCTAATCCTGCAGAGGTCGATCCACGGATATGGTGTGACAAATACATATATGGCTTTACATCCATGCATAAATATTGCGAAGGTCCGAAATATATAATTAAATTCGTGCTAGAATTATAGTTTATTGAAGCAGTGTAACCATGCTTTCCTGAACAAATCAATTCCAATGACAATTTTGGAAAATCTAGTGAACCCAGCACCGAAGAAGTAGAGTACTGTATTAATTATCTCCACGCTTCTCTGACGCGAAATTTCTCCGAAATACAGTACAGGATATCCAGAGTACTGTACTCCTTTAATAATATTTGCCGACTCTTCGCCAACTTCGCAGTGACTGACTCATTAACAGCAATCTCGAGTTCCGGATTCCGCTGCTCGGCACCTGCGAGGTAGCTGTGCACTATGTCTGTGAGTCAAATCCTCATATGTTACATGGCCGCGTCCTCGTTGCATTTTCTCCGTGTGACGTGATCGCATGCAAAGAATGTTATGCGCTATGCTGTTCGTGATCTGAGATGATGAAGCCGGAATTGTATATCGGAAAAGTGCGTCAGGTAATAAGACTAAACTTTACGAAGCGTACTCCTATAGGCACTCTCGATCTCGAAGAAAGATGGTAGTAAACTTTGCGTATGTAACGAACGTTCGAAAGGCCTACATTACGCAAGAAGGGGAATTTTTATGATGCCCTTTAATTCCTGTGTGATCATGAGACTCTTCGTTCGGTTGAGCGCCGCTGTTTCTGTTGTACCTCAGTGAACGCTTCTAGTGGGAAGCTTATTTTTCATGATTTCGAGCTTATCAATTGCTGGACGGTGTTGCTGGTACTGTATTGGTAACTTGAGAATCTTGCTTTCATTTTCTATGCAGGAGTACGATGAAGGTGCACATTCTATGAATCCGTCGAAGCAAATTCGCGGTCTCTCCTCTTCTCGCAGCAATTTGACTCTTTCGATCTGATTTCCCATCTACCTCCGCCTTAACTGTGAAACGACTCGAATTGTCACTGCCTCCCCGCAGCTGGTATGACATCGAACGTGATACCAATTCCACATCCCATGGTAAAGCGTTTGCTGGGGTGGAAAAAAGGAGAAGGTGAAGACAAGTGGAGCGAAAAGGCTGTCAAGAGCTTAGTGAAGAAGTTGCGAAAAAGTGGTAATCTTGATGAACTTGAACGAGCAATAACTACTCAGAAAGCGGACACGAAGTGCATAACGATTGCAAGGTGACTTTTCACATTCTTAAATTCTATGGTATGTTGGCTCACGTTTTGCTTTTCGCAGATCTCTCGACGGCCGCCTTCAAGTTTCACATCGCAAGGGCTTACCTCACGTAATATATTGCCGCCTGTGGCGGTGGCCGGATCTTCAGTCACACCACCAATTGAAAGCCATTGAGGGCTGTCACTATGCTTTTCAACTCAAAAGGGAAGAAGTGTGTGTCAATCCGTATCATTACGAACGTGTGGAAGCGCCAGGTAAATATTGTCAACTGTGGTGAAAACTTCGGAACTGTATAAATTTTTGCGCAGATTTGCCTGCCATATACGTCCCTATTACACCGAGTGTTACCAGCGGAACTGGTACGGGTGGTGTAGTACAGTCGGAATTTCCTTCGCCGTCAGCACTGGCGGGATTCAATTCACCGCCTGGAAGTGGTACGGGAAGTGGCGGTGGTCATCGGCCTGGCTTTCAAGACAAAAACGTACTCGACTCTTCCGGTGCGTTTCCTCTCGCGGAATCTCCACCTCCTGGTTATATGTCAGAAGACGCCGACGCTGAAACCGGTGACAGTGCTCAAGGAGAAATGAGTGAGTTCATCAGCTCTTCTCATCTGCTTCCGTATCAAAGTTCAGATTTTAGAATATCCGAGCCTTTGAGCCGAGTTACGATGGGGATCATTTATCCCGCATGCGATCATATGTTACGCCACGCATGTAGGAGGCTATTTGAAAGACTTTTTCTGTAAAGAAATTGTTTATTATTTTTTAGGGAGAAATCTAACAATATACGCATGCCACAATACTGTTTTGAATCTGTGTGTTTTATTTTGTAGTGAATTACAATATTTTTACAATAACGGACCTAGTCTATAATGTATGCCGTATCAAAATGAACGAACGAAACTCCAGAGAAACATGTGAGAAGAAGATTTCTTGGGTGCTTTCCCCATAGATGGATGTTTGTCTGCCATATTTTCCCAATATTTGATATCTTTTCAAAAGTACGAACCTCGGCATAGACCGCACCCTAATTTTTAAGGCCTTTTTTTGTGGAGAAAGAAATGTACGACCTAAATTCGCGAAAATTTAGCATGATTCAGAAGCTACGAAGAACTTGCTCTCTAGTTGAAAGTGTATCCGCCAATAACGAAGCTTGATCCCGCCCCTTACATTTAGAATAATTTCGTCGAGGTATATTCAATTGGGATAGTTTTTGCACGAATCAATCCTTTTGACCTCAGTCGATTTGCGATTTCGCTCCAGTATTTTGTGGAAGACCGGTAATTTTTAGAAACAAGTTTGGAATTGAAGAATATAGAGAAAATGAATATTGCGAAATTATCCCAGGGATGTACAGGATTTGAAGTTATTTAAGTGCTGTCGTTGAGTTGTTTTTCACATTCAGCTTATTTTACCGCACTAAATCTGTCTTTCTGATCGTGACTGAACGTCCCCTGTTCAATCGTACCGTCAGATTTCCTCCGTATTCTCGCAAAATTGCCATCATCATTGCGGATCCGTGATTGTTACCATGAGCAAGTCAGCGAAAGAATCATCTGATGTCACTGGTCTGCGTGTGTAATAGAAAAGCTTTTTTAGTACTGAACCGGAAGAAGGTGATTGAATCCGAAAGTTTGTTTCGAGTTTAAATGCACTGTTCGATTTTTTATCCGCAGACATAATTCCGTCTCCGTGCCCATCGAGTGAGTACCAGCCGGTTACGTACTCGGAGCCGGCATTCTGGTGCTCGATCAGCTACTATGAACTCAACACAAGAGTTGGAGAAACCTTTCATGCGTCGCAGCCATCTCTGACAGTTGATGGATTTACTGGTAGGTTATATCTTTTCGAATTTTCGCTCCTAAAGCGCTTCGTAATTTTGAGTGTTTTCGGTTGACAGATCCAAGTAACTCGGAACGCTTCTGTTTGGGTCTGTTGTCGAATGTAAATCGTAACGCTGTTGTGGAACAAACCCGGAGGCATATAGGCAAAGGCGTAAGGCTGTATTACATTGGAGGCGAAGTTTTTGCGGAGTGCTTATCGGACTCCGCAATTTTCGTGCAGTCTCCGAACTGTAACCAGCGCTACGGTTGGCATCCAGCTACCGTCTGCAAGATACCTCCAGGTATTATCGTTTTCTATTCCTATCAAAATCTTGGAGAATTGAGAAAAAGTAAAAATCCTAATATTTTCCGATGCGCATGCTTTCTTCTCAAAAATTTTCGGACTTCGTTCGGCGTATTAATTCCATCATTTTTTTTTTTTCTTTCGAATCCCTGGATTTCATTTTGCTGCATGAGGTTGTTGAAAGAAATCTTAACGTAACCTTTCGTCGATCCCTGCCGAAAGATCTAGGAATATTCCTCTTGTGTGAGCGTTTATTACCGTAATAGGTGTTCCTTTAATGAAAGACGATCGTAAATTGCTTTTTATAGTTTCTTGGATATTTTCGCGAGTATTTCCCCGCCTTCTACAGTACAGTACTTCCGTAAATCGGGCAGATGTCGCATCAATATAAACCTCAACGACAAATGGCCCTGTCTATATGGGTCAAAAACGAAACTCCATTAAATTTAGACGACACCTGTGTGGTAAGCACCGAAATCCGAAAGGATGGTCTCGGGATATCGCTGTTTTTTTTTTTTTCCAAAATGAAGTGATACTTGGTTTCGCGGACGATTTGACCGGACATTTTCTGAAATGTGCGATCGGCACTGTTGTTTTTGAAGGGTGCAACCTCAAGATTTTCAAAAATCAAGAATTTGCTGATCTGTTGACACAAAGTGTTAGCCAAGGGTTTGAAGCTGTCTACCAGTTGACGCGTATGTGCACGATTCGGATGAGTTTCGTTAAAGGCTGGGGAGCTGAATACAGGTAATTTTTAAACATCGATTCACTTCCTTTCTTTTCCTTTTTACTGATTAAGCGCATTGATTTTACAGGCGGCAGACGATAACTTCTACGCCGTGTTGGATTGAGCTGCATCTCAATGGACCTCTGCAATGGCTTGACAGAGTTTTGAGCCAGATGGGCTCTCCTCCGGTTCCATGCTCGTCAATTTCATAAGACGAGGACGTTTTTCTTTTCTGGTTTTTCTAAGCCAGGTATCCTCGTTTTGATTGAACGGGATTTGATCTGATCGCTGGGCGAAAAGTGCGGGACGAAAAGTCGAGTCAAAGGTATTCTTCATCGCGTCTCATGAAAAATTTTTTCTTGCTTTCGGCAGCTTTTTTTTCCGTGGTGAATGAATTGCCGTCTAGCTTGGCAGTCGATATTTGGGGCGTGTAAAGTTTGCTTGATATGCCTTGTAATTCGGTGGCAGTGTGTGAGCGGTTGCTCGATTTAGCTTTACGATGGGTACGACGCGGTGAATGGGTCCCTGTGTTTGGATGCCGCGTTTTTTTTTTTTTTTCAAAAGCCCATGAAAAAATTTAGTTGGTGCTGTCAGCATCTGAGTCGGATGTCATTTTACTTCTTATCGAACCCGGTGAGCGATTGAGCTGGAAAAAATGTCGAAATGAATGACCGGGATTTTTGACTCCTTTCTCAATGGGGTTTGTAAGATTTGTACGATAGAGCGTGAGTTAGTAAGATACGGTTTTCCTACTTCGTTTTTCCTCCTTTCACTCACTTGATCCCCGAACTCATCCTTATACATTTCTCATTATTCAATTTGTAAACGAACTAGAGTAACAAGTAAGACATAATGAACGTCTCCTACTTGGAAATCATAAAGAGGAGATCGTATTACCGTATTTACCTGGATATTTGACGCCGCTTCGGTTGCTGGCCCTCTGGCAGAAACTTTTTTTCAGCGAATCTATGAGCTATTTTTACGTGTAACGCAATGCGCTGGGTACTCTTCATTTTGGTTGAAGCCAAAATTCTACCGATTGTGTTGGACGATATACAGTTTATTCGAATTATTGAATTGTACGAGGAACAACCACGCCTAAGAACTCACTGCAATTTTTTACCGAATAAAATAAAATTTGACATGCAGCCCCCCCTCCCGGATTTTTTCGACTCCATATGCAAGTAATTTTGTCTGCAAATCCAAGATGATAATTATATAGAAGTCTCCTGATTTTCACGGTGGAATTATAATTGCTTAAATTGCGCCCTGTCTTCAGGTTAATACGGTATTTGCCCCACGCATGTCAGTTTATCCTCCAATCAAACAATTTTACCGTATATGTTATTCTTGCATTAAAAAGACTTTTTGGTTTATTGCCACGCGAAAATTCTGTTGGCATTTTCATATTTTCTCTCGCATTGCTATTTTCTTCTCATGCGACGATCCCGTACGGTCAAGAACCCGTTGTACGCTTATTTTTGTTTATTTATGCCAAATTATGTTTTTCAAAAACTCGTTGACATTTTTCATGAGAAAAGAAACCAATTTATTTTTATCCACGCGAGAACCCGGGGTGTGGCAGCGGATGATTTTGATTGCTTTTAAACGGTTCCTGTTGGTCCACGTACTATTTGCTTTCATGTAGCGCATGTAATGTGCAATGCTTACCGAAACTTTCCTTTGATTTATGTTGTCACTGCCGCGTTATTGAGTTCTGATATTTTGCGCTAGGCTTCTCATTTTGTGGAGTTCTTGCTTGCTTCATTTATTGGAGTTCGGTTTTCTCTCTATTTTTCTGTGTGTTTGAATCGAGATGTGATTGTGAACTTTTCTCTTGGTGCCCTTTCGACTTCTGTTTTTATTTGTGATTCACTGCCAAAACGTTCTCGGGTTTCTTGCGATGATTTGTTGGGCACGTGACCTTGAGGTGTTTCCGCTGCCCCGGACAGGAACGTCGACGGTGCTTTGAGAATTGAAGGGAAATCAAGTTGGCGGGACTGAGTAATCCGTGCGCTGATCATTACCTCATTGAACGATACCTCAGACGAGTGGAAAATGAGTTGTTACTCAGGCAGTATTGAGTTCTTCCCTTTCCCTTTCTCGCTTGGATTTGCAATTTCAATCCCTGAGTCAAACAGTTTCATCTGATAGATGCGCGGTCAACCGACCTCTACTTCGTCGGATTTCAAGACCCACGTGGATCTGAATAAACCTCTATCACGGTACAGGTCGAGTTTTCATTTTGAATTTGGTTTTAGTGTAATATTCTGACCGGTGCAGGATAAAATCCCGTGGGAGAAAAAATCCTGTGTGGCCGAAAATCCCGTAGGCCCAAAAATCTCGAAAGGCCTGAAAATCCTGTTGGTACAAAAATCCCGAAAAAGGAATTTTCATATCAGAAAAACCTAGTTTGAAAACTACAGAAGATAATGGTATTTAAACAATTCATAAATATCAAAGAAGTCTAAATGCAGTTAGATATAGTGATATTTCAATCTTAATATTCAATATACAGTACATAAAGTGAAGGTGAGATTATATTGAGAAAGATGATCTTTAAACCTCCCAAACCCTTGGAAGGAATTAAAACCCTTGCACTTTCACAATTTCATAATCCACCAGATTTTTATTCCTTCCAGACATTTGGAAGGGTAACCCATAGAGACAATATTACAATTTTGTAGTACTCATTGGGATTTTGTACCTACAGGATTTTTGGACCATGGGAGATTTTCCAGCCTACGGAATTTTTGCTCCTACGGGATTTCATCATGGAGCCATTCTGACATATACAGGTACCTGTTCATGTGAGAACTCAACTCTAAATCATGTGTTCCAGCGAAATCGCTCTCCACAGGAAGTTCCATACTAACCGTTACGGCTCGTGGATGTCAAAAATTCGCGCATTTTTTCACAGAATAAAATAATTCTTAAATAATATAACTGAAGTTGGAGTATATTTCCTTTTTTCGTCTCTTTGATGAATTTGTATCAATGTTGAAAGCAACTACTGTATTTAACGATGAAGCTGAAATTAGGTCTGCTGGTTTCATTTTGTTATACATACGTACTGTATTTGGATATTTCTAATACAGCTCGTAATGCTGGTATATAGCAGCTGGAGTTTTTGGTCTAACCTAAACATGCCGCCAGGAAGATAGGACAATATTCCACCGGTTTCAGAGAAGAGAAGCCTGCGGTGTTGTTGTGATGGAAAGTTAAAAAAACACATTTTTTTACCCTCTCCCCCATCTGTGTGTGCGCCAGTGTTGAGTAATGTACTATCATTCGCCTCTTTTTCATAATTACAATTGTACTAATTCCTTCAGAGCGATCATATGCCGTATTCAATATGCAGACATAATTGTTGTGTGTCCAGGGATTTTCATTTTGAAGCGAGAGTATTATTCTTGCAGGTGATGAAAATGGCATACAGTCATGCATTAGTTAGAAGTAAACTGTGGAATACCCGAAAAATCTATTTCCGCGTACAGTATACTGTACAGTGCAAATTTTGCTCAAGCCGCAGCATAACGAAGGTAATATGAAGTAGTGCGGTAATACGTACTAGATGTCTCGCCTACCGCATATGTTCGTCAGTATCGGACAACACTGTGATGTTCACCGGCCGGCGCGCAATGGCCGCAATCATAATTCGTAACATCGCGCCAATTGTGCACGTGAAAAGACTTGCGTGATTCTCTCTGGAACGGCGCGCGTACTCGTGATGTGGAAACATCTTGTGAGCCAAAAATGATGTTCCTTGTGATGATATTTAGGACTCGCTGTTCAGCCTTCATGGATTAGGCGGAGAGCAAGATCATATGCCGCGACTCCGCCGATGTGTGTTTAGAAAATTTTTCAATTGCAAATGATGACAATGACGGCGAATGCCGCCCGCACCTTTCCGAAACATTCCCCGTATGGAAAATCCGAGCTCAAAACCTATGGGAAAGGTCGTCCAGCAAGTTATAAGTATTCCCGCGGTCGTCAGATGATTGAAGCTGTCGAGAAGAAAACTCGTAGCTCTGGGTGAGCAATACCACTTTTTGGAATTCTCCTGTTGAGTTATTGCACTGTTTATGTTGTTCGAAGGCCTGTTGATCGCAAGCAATGGTCCAGTTATAGTCCACGAAATTTTCCATCCACCCCTGAAGACCGACGTCATCCACGGAGTCCTGAGCAGAGTAGACATTATAATCTGCAGAAAAAGCGATATGCGTCGTGAGTCGAATTTGCAATTGTTCGCTCGTTCTGAAATAATACTGTCTGATTCCAGGGAAGGAATCAATCGCCAGGGAGGAACTCGATTCCCGTCCAATTCGAAATCATATCACCGGAAAGATGATCGCATGCAGTACTCGTCAAAGCCGCTTTCACTCACGCGTCCACTTCAAAAAACCTTGCGGATCCGCCGCTCTCGATCCAAGTCGCGCTCCCCGCGTAGAAATGCGAGCCCAACTCCAAGGAGTCTCTTTGCGTCTCATTTGACTCCGGAAAAAGCCAGATTGGAGGAAGAAAACAAGGAAAATAAGGGATGGCTCTCGTATAGAGATAGCTCATCGAAGTGGTTGGATTCTCCTCCCGGCTTCCCGAATGATCAGACGCAGTGCTATCGAAATGCTGCGCTGCAAGCCCTTTTTGGATTGGAACCCTTTGTTCAAGATCTATGTCGGGCGCGGAAGAATCTTCCTAGTGGCGAGGATGCGTGCGCCGATGAACGTGTTCTCGCAGAACTAGTGAATGTGTTCCTTGCGCGGGAAGCGAAAGATAAGGAGAAGCTTGATGTCGCCCTTCGTCGTTTGAATTCGTGTGTCTCGAGAAAGTCGTGCGGAAATTTTTGCGTGGATCGCATGAACGACGCAAACGAATACCTTCATTTACTACTGAGCTGCTTATCCGACTTGGCCGATAAGAACAAGCGTCTGGGGGATCCAGAGAAGGAAGCCAAGGCTACTCCCCCGCCTCCTCCGAATTCTCCGGAACCCGTTTCTCCCCTTGAGATCAACCCAATCATGTCAAACTTCGGCTTCAAAGTTACGAAAACCCTGAAGTGCGAGTCGTGCGGGAAAGAAACAAAGAAGGAGCAGGAGGAAGAGAAAGAGCTTTTCTTGAACATGGGAGACTCTCATGGGAAGCGGGGAAACTTACGAGATTTTTTGAATACCTGCTTCCATGACGAGGTGGTCGACCGAAAGTGTGACAACGATGGTTGCGACGGAAGGAGAACGACTGTGCGCACTAGACTCAGCCAGCTACCGCGAATTCTGTTTCTGAATTTGAAACGCTATGAATACCGCGACAACGAAGCGCATAAAACCATTGCGAAAGTTGTCATTCCGAAGTTTTTATCGGTCGAGAGCATCATTCCAGAAAGTGGGGTCGAGACGCCCATGTGGGAACGAGTACCAGTCAGGTATGTCTTTTAAAAAATCTATAACGTTGGAGTAATCCCCGAATTTAGCATTTTATAACTTTAAAGGAAAATACAATAGTTGACTAGTAACTGTATACAGTATTTACGAATGTCTATGTGTCTACGATGCTATGGTTTCTTGGATTTGTTCGTGAATTAATCAATTGCTTCAGGCATACAAATTGTTTTAAGAAAAATAATTATCGGAATTGAATTCAGCATCTTTTCTACCCATTGGTTTTTGGCAGAAAGTGTATATTCCTGACTTCCTTATAATTTTAGTCAATTTGACAATTACTGGGTCATGAGCATGAACACTGAACCTCATCATTTTGGACAACTTTAAAGTGCGTTCTTTATTCACGAGTAAGATTTTCAATTTTTAATCGACAAAAATTGAGGTACGTTTCTATGCACAGTACTGTTGATAACGTAAGAACATACAGCATCTGCCTAACTCTATGAATTTCGGTCAGTTTTTCTCCGTGAGGTAGAGCATCGTAAGACCAGCACGGTATTCGATGAATTTTGTATGTTTTCCAGGTAAATGGCGAGTCTTCGTGTTATTCACGGGATAAGTTTTCTTTTCAGCCCAATGAAACCGCGAGACGTGATCAGTTCAAGCGCACATACGCCTGATTCTCAGCAAACTGCGCCAGGACCTTCGACTCCAACGGCAAATTCCGTGGTTGACCTAGCCTGTCATGATTCTGGTTATTCTTCTATTGAAGAGGATGCCGATTTACAAGTAATGTTGTTAATGGTATTGAGAGGAACTTCTGCTGACCGGGGGAACAATTTTTAGCGCGCCGTGCAGGAAAGTTTGAGGTACATGAAGACTCCGGTTCATGATGCTGACGAGTCTCCTGATATGGAGGTGGACAAAACTGAGGATGAGTTGAAGTGTGATGCTGAGGTCAACGTGGAATCGGATTATGACGACGCAGTCAGCGGTGTCAATTCAGGTCTTCGTTATCGTCTCGTTGGTGTAATTTCACATGTGGGAGAGAGAACGGCTTCTGGTAAGCTTGTTTTCTATGATACGTGCTTCCAAGTTGAAGCTGTTTTTTTTCTTCCCGAATGTTCTTTCATTTTTTTAAACCACGAAAACCTGAATACTGTAATCTAGCACTTCATTGAGTATAGACTACCGTACCAACCAATTAATTCAGCCTATTAAATGTTTCAACTAACTGAACGTATTGTCTGCTGCTTCACTCACTAAATACTGTACTTCAACTTGCCTGGCATGAAATCTGATCAAGTCAACTTCGAGCTGACCAAATCTTACGAAATGCACACATTTAATCAAATCTTCGAACCTAGCCGAAGACTTCCGAATTCGTAACTCGACGACGCTGAAATTAAAATATTTGATATCCCGAGCACAACTTGACAACTTTAACCGTAAGTCATGAGAAACTTGAAACCGAATTGATGCAAAACTTGACCAAGTGTATATACCGTGAATGCTAGTCATAAGAAATGTTGTTAGAAAAATACTTCACTGTTATCGGAAGTCGGCCTCGAAAGCAATTTCAATGGAGAACGATAAAAAACGAAACCCGGTAGAATCTCGTCACGACGAAGCATTTGGGGCTTGAAAAAAGCTTCGTTAGAAACAAAAATTCTTCGAAAAAATTTGAAATACTGTACAGTAATATTGTTGCCATTAAAAAGGGACCGGAAAATCAAATTCCTTGTAAACAATGATTTGCTTGAACAAGAATCCTGTGTATGTGGAAATGTTATTTGCATGCGTTGAAGGTTCTTCGTCACTTGTTCTTGAAGAAAAACGTAATCATCACTTCTGTTTACTCAGGTCACTACACAGCGGACGTGTATAAAGCGTCGGAAGACGCGTGGTATCACTGCGATGACATGTCAGTCAGCAAGAAGAATGAGCACACTGTATTGAATGGTCGAAATCTCAGCCAAGGATACATTTTTTTCTACATGAATCAGTGAGTGATGTCCTCATTTCATGGTTCGAACGCATTCTTGATAATACAGTATTTTCTTTTTTTTTCTCCTAGGAATGTTTTGGAAGTTGCGAGCGGGAAAAATTGTCTCGAGCGATTATTGGAAGCTGCGGAGCCCATGTCGCCGTGAAGAAATTCCCGTTCATTGCGAGTGTGAAAGATGTTCTAGAACTCGAGTCTTGCGGAGGTGTGTGTGAAACCGCGTTGCACGTATCTGGGAATCCTCAATACCGATTGACCAAATCGTGTCGGTTTTGCCGTGCGTGATCCTCTTCTGCGGACAGAAATCACGTACTTCTGAGTCCCTTTTCCACGCATTCATTCAGATCTCGCACCGTTGCGGCGAGATCGAGTGGTCGAGTCAGAACTTCGATATCCCCGCAACTTTTTTCGCATATTGCTGTTTTTTGGCCTAACTTCGAACAGGCTACGCTGTATGGAGAGGAAAGACCAGGGGGATACTGTCTATTGATGTTATCTGTTTTAATTGTGGAGAAAGTACATCGAGTAATTGTAATTAATGCCAATTGAGGGGATATGCGATTTTTTGTGTGTTAGGGTTCTACTGCGCTGAAGTGTTTTCGTTCGTATTTGAGGAATTATTCCCGGAGCAAATGTCTGTTTCTGACGCTGCCTCGTTTTGATGAATGGGGTGAAATAAGTAGAACTTAGACGGTGAAGTGAATTTTTCGACGAAAAATTTCAATCACGCAGGTGAATCAATTGTGCGAGAGTTGACAGCACTGTTTTCAGTACAAGGTTTTCGGTGAGAAGGTGGATCAATCCTCAGGGTCATTCTGTTCTCGATGAGCTCGGCGAACTGCTGTTCGTCGTTTTTTTGTTGTTGTCCCGGGATCGAAGGAATGATGACTTTTTGTATCGTGTACCGTGCAAATGCCAAGGATTCTTCCGACTGTCTCGTCCCATTCCCAAAAAAAAAATGAAGGGAAATACAAGCACTGAAGCTGGAATTTTTAATCTTTGCGTCTTTCAAGCTTCTTCCACTTGGATAACCTCCTTGTTCTGGTTTTGGGCTTTGGGAAATTTTATAGAAATCCGTCACTTTTTTATCCGTTTAGCTGCTGCTTCTTCGAAGGATGAGTGAATTGCTCGAAGATGCTGCTGCATGTAACGTGGTGTGAGTGATGAATTACTTGTGGGGGTTGAAAAAATGTGGGAGCTCGGTACTATAATTGGTTGGTAATTGCAGAAACTTGAACAACGGTAAGCAGTTACTTTCCGTAGGTAGCAATGATCTCGTGGACAGGCGTCGGACCAGTTTACCCCCTTTTTGGCGTACATTCGGAATTGGCTCCAGGAGTGAATCTAAGAAAACGGATAGTAAGTAAACATTTTGATCCGATTCAAGTTGATGGGTCTTTTTTATTGGGTGATAGAATGGAAACAGGGGAATTTTCCCGCGTGGGAGTATAACGTATTTACTTGAGTACAGTACCACGTGCATTCTCTTTCTCAAATTTTAGAGGCAAAAAGGCAGGGCGCGTCATAAGCGGGTACAAATTTTTAGAAAAGTTTTAGATATGTAGGTGTGTGTAATGCATACTTGATTCGAATCGGAAATTTTGGACCAAGTTTAACCGAAAAAGTTATTTCAATAGAAACACTTGAGAATCAGTCAAATTCATGTCTGAATTGAAATTTCGATGTTCTTATTTTTATCATTAAAATTTAGTCATGACAGGGTTGGTTTCATGACTTCATTTATAGTACGGTAATTGAAAATGGGCTCTGGATTTTACTGAGAGAGGATTTCATTTTTCCGGGTGCTCATATTACTTGAGTGAGGTACTCGAGTAAATATTACATTAAATCGTTCAATTATCGATGAACTTTGATATGGATGGATGAGTTTACACTATCCTTCTGTTGAAATTACGAATTGATGTTTGAAGAGTCGTAATTTTTGTTTTATTGGTCCAAAATACAGGTGGACTAGCTCTAGAACGATTTTGTCTACAACGATTTTCTCTGTATAAAGAATAATATTTTGGCCCCATGGTATAAGGATTGCCTGCAACAACATTCTTTCTATAATGATTTTTTTGTTCCCTCGAATTTGGTCTATACAGTAATTGATCCCTTGAAATTCTTTACATTCTGTAAATAATATTTTCTGGTCCCTTAGAATATGTTGTGGAGAGAGTCGCTTGTAGTATACAGCCTCAATTATCTGTACGTTTGATCAACTGAGTCCCAATAAAGGAAAAGTCCTGTTGACGTCCTCTGAATAAAAATTCTTTGACGTTTCTTAGCTATTATTTTCGTCACCCCGAGAATTTGTTTCAGCTAAAAATTTGTTAAAACCTGGTTTACAATAATGATCTTGATTAACTTTTGTCGAATTTATATTTAATGTGCAGTATTTATAAACGCATATTTTATGTCCTTGAATTGAACCAATGCGTTGAATTGGCGTCCCTCCTTTTTTGACGTTGGCATTCTTCAAGAAAAATTGCGTCAAATTTTTAGCATGCTGAGTAAAGATCCCGAAAAAAAACCTGAGAGAAAGTGTCCTATAAGTTTGTTGTAAGTAAAGGTGTGACACGACGTAATAAAATCGCTTCAGGACAGTCAAGGATAGAATAAGGTACTTTTTCGAGGTCGCCCAAGGGGATGCGTTGCATCAGAGCACCAAGTTCTCCCTGGCGGTCGTGGTCGTCCTCTAAGGCCGAGCAATGAAATATCGACCGCGAGGAACAGCGGGGCGTCCGTGCCGCCACCGGACGGCGGCGCCGCATGGCTCGTCGTCGTATTCGGCTTTTTCGCACACGCAGTGATCGACGGGATCATCGTGAGCTACGGGATACTGATGGTTGAACTGATGAAGGAGTTTGATGGTTACGGACGCGCAGTCGTGGCTGGGATCGGTTCCCTGATGGTCGGGATTTCTCTGTCGATCGGTGAGTTTTTAAATCGTCGAATTTCTGTGGAGATTTCTTGTAAAGTTTCTCTTTTTTGTTGTGAGAAATCTTGAAGGTCCCGTTTCTGCTGCTGCGGTGAATCGTTTCGGGCTTCGAAGCTGCGCTCTGTTCGGGTGTTTGACAGGGGCCTTGGGCATATTGCTGAGTTCGTATGCTCAGCACGTTGCGCTCCTGTTTATTTTCTACGGAATCATGTCTGGTTTGTTCTCACACTTGCCTTTTTATTTTTCACTTGCGTTTTACTCACCCTTCCAATCTTTCTGAGCTGTCGATGTACATTCGGACCTCTCCGAATCGAATTTGAAGGGACAAAAAAAAACATAATTCGACTCAAAGAGGTTTCGAGTTATGGAGGTTATGGAAACTAGGTCTGGAGAGGATTGCTGTAAATTTTGAAAGCTGTAAATTGGGCTCAAATGTTTGCTGCAAGTGTGTGTTGTGTGTCCGAAAGCATTTCCTTGATTATTCTGACTACATTAAAAAGGCAAACCGAAGGAAACTGAAGTATAAATGAGCCCGTAGCATGCAGAGCCTATCAAGCCAGGAATTTAGTGACCAATTAAAGTTGCTTATTTTCCTTTCCAGAAACAGTGCCATTTGAATTTCCTGTCACCCCTTGCCTTCAGAAATTTCGAGTGAGGTTTAAAGTTGTACATTTTGAGTTGAGGAAATTTTAGAGGAACTTCGGTCTGGGACAGGAAAAAATTTGAGTTCGAGAGGTTTTTGAATTACGGTGGTTCGAATTGAAGAGGTCCGACTGTACATGAGGGTTGGGTCATAAGTTTTGAGACTTTTTGAAATACAGTAGATCCAACAGATTTTCAAAAATTCGAAAGAAAAATTTACGCGCATAACCCCATCATTTGTCAACGCGTCAGTGCTGTTCAACATACTGTTCATTGATTTCGATGCATTTTTTCAAGCTAAAAATCCAAAAATAAAAACAGTGCCGGAAATCGAGTTCCTTTACTTGGTCAAGCTGCTCTTCAACCGCGGAAATGAGGCTGTCCCTGCTCCTCAAAATCAGGTCGTTCTTCTCTGTCGGAAACAGCCAGAAGTCACAGGGTACCTAATCAACTAACAGAACTCGATTTTCGGCACTGTTTTGATGGTTGGATTTATTGCATGAGAAAAAAATGCATTGAAACCGGCGGACTAAATGTAAAAAAAAAATTGGGAATTGTTGAAACTCTGTTGGATCTACTGTATTTCAGAAAGTATCAAAACTGAAGAACCAACCCTCATACACGGCTGTACCTCTTCAACTCGAACCAACCTTATTCAAAAATCTCTCGAGCTTAAAAATGTTCCAGTCCCTGTCCAAAGTCACGTTAAAACGCGTAACCTGAACCTCCTCAACGCAAAATAACCAGAGGTTCAACTTTGAACCTCTCTCGAAATTTTCGAACCATTGAGGGCAGGAAATTCTAATGGTACTGTTTTTTGGAAAATAAAATGAGTAACTTTAATTGTCCTATAAAATCCTGGCTTGAGGCAGTCCATCCNCTGCGGTGAATCGTTTCGGGCTTCGAAGCTGCGCTCTGTTCGGGTGTTTGACAGGGGCCTTGGGCATATTGCTGAGTTCGTATGCTCAGCACGTTGCGCTCCTGTTTATTTTCTACGGAATCATGTCGGGTTTGTTCTCACACTTGCCTTTTTATTTTTCACTTGCGTTTTACTCACCCTTCCAATCTTTCTGAGCTGTCGATGTACATTCGGACCTCTCCAAATCGAATTTGAAGGGACAAAAAAAAAACATAATTCGACTCAAAGAGGTTTCGAGTTATGGAGGTTATGGAAACTAGGTCTGGAGAGGATTGCTGTAAATTTTGAAAGCGGTAAATTGGGCTCAAATGTTTGCTGCAAGTGTGTGTTGTGTGTCCTAAAGTATTTCCTTGATTATTCTGACTACATTAAAAAGGCAAACCGAAGGAAACTGAAGTATAAATGAGCCCGTAGCATGCGGAGCCTATCAAGCCAGGAATTTAGGGACCAATTAAAGTTGCTTATTTTCCTTTCCAGAAACAGTGTCATTTGAATTTCCTGTCACCCCTTGCCTTCAGAAATTTCGAGTGAGGTTTAAAGTTGTACATTTTGAGTTGAGGAAATTTTAGAGGAACTTCGGTCTGGGACTGGAAAAAATTTGAGTTCGAGAGGTTTTTGAATTACGGTGGTTCGAATTGAAGAGGTCCGACTGTGCATGAGGGTTGGGTCATAAGTTTTGAGACTTTTTGAAATAGATCCAACAGATTTTCAACAATTCGAAAGAAAAATTTACGCGCATAACCCCATCATTTGTCAACGCGTCAGTGCTGTTCAACATACTGTTCATTGATTTCGATGCATTTTTTCAAGCTAAAAATCCAAAAATAAAAACAGTGCCTTAAATCGAGTTCCTTTACTTGGTCAAGCTGCTCTTCAACGGTGGAAATGAGGCTGTCCCTGCTCCTCAAAATCAGGTCGTTCTTCGCTGTCGGAAACAGCCAGAAGTCACAGCTGGTGCCTAATCAACTAACAGAACTCGATTTTTGGCACTGTTTTGATGGTTGGATTTTTTGCATGAGAAAAAATGCATTGAAATCGGCGGACTAAATGTAAAAAAAAAATTGGGAATTGTTGAAACTCTGTTGGATCTACTGTATTTCAGAAAGTATCAAAACTGAAGAACCAACCCTCATACACGGCTGTACCTCTTCAACTCGAACCAACCTTATTCAAAAATCTCTCGAGCTTAAAAATGTTCCAGTCCCTGTCCAAAGTCACGTTAAAACGCGTAACCTGAACCTCCTCAACGCAAAATAACTAGAGAGGGGTTCAACTTTGAACCTCTCTCGAAATTTTCGAACCATTGAGGGCAGGAAATTCTAATGGTACTGTTTTTTGGAAAATAAAATGAGTAACTTTAATTGTCCTATAAAATCCTGGCTTGAGGCAGTCCATCCTATAATCTAATTTATACTATAGTTACGTGTGGTACGCCTTCTTTTTGTAGTGGGAATAATCAAGGAAGTGCTTTTGGACACACTACACACAGTGGCAGCAAACCTTTTAGCCCCAATTACCTCTTTTAAAATTTCAAAACTTGAGAACCAACTCTCGTACAAAGTTGGACCTCTTCAACTCGAATCACCCTAATTCGAAAACCTCTCGAACTCAAAATGTTTTTCTAGACCCGTGTATATAAATTTCTAATATTCCAGGTGCCAGTGTGGGCATGGTCATTATGACAGCCGTCGTCGCACCGAGTTTCTACTTTGAAAAGCGTCGCGCTTTGGCCACGGGCCTGGCCACGTGTGGTTCCGGGATCGGCATGCTCGTCTTCCCACCGTTGCAACAAATGCTCTTCCAAAGCATTGGCTGGCGGTACGCACTCATGATCGACGCGGCACTTGTGGCCACTGTGTCGCCGTTGTGCGTCTCGATGCGTCCATTGAACCTTGTGAAGCCATTGCCGATCACCGAGTCCATCATGAGCGTTTTTCCCGCGGATGGACGAGATGGTGTTACGACTGACGTGAAAAGTGACTCGGCGCATCAGAAAGCCGGCGATCGAGCCAAAGAAATGACCAGCTCGAATATTTTCGAGCATTGTTTGACGGGTATGTTTTTTTTGAGTGTGAGACAATTTCTTGGTGGAGTATACGAGGGTTGTCCCAATTGGACGCGGCCTTTCACATTTTTTGGAGTACGTGTGATTGTGCAAAAAATTGCCGACATCAGATTTTGTTTTCGGATTTATAACAAATATTTCAATTCACGGTATGATGATAAGTGAAAACTTTCCAGTCACTGTCAAAGTTCTCCGCCCATGTCACAGGGTGCTAAACATTTGCCAGGCCAACTAAAAAATTTAAATTTCTTCATTGTTTTAATCCTGATTTAAAATTTAGAAAATACAATCGTTAAAACAAAGATAAAATTGCTTGATTTGTTCCTCTCGTGCTGTACAGCAATGGTACATGAATGAAAAGAATAAAGTTTACCTCAAGGTTAGATTGATCAATATTTTATTTTTGCGTGCATATGAATAAATGAGTAACATCCTTGGATTCAGTGCTGATTCTCTTGGTTGGATTGTTGGTGTTTCACCAGCATGTTGGTGACACCTATGTAGAAATGCTAATCTCCTTATTCGGTGTTCGCTTCAGATTTCCGCAGGAGGTCGCTAAAAGCAAAGAGAAACTTGGGGAAAATGACGCGCGAAGTTGAAATATTGTATTGTTACAACTTATACAGATTGACTCTTGCGACGAAATGCAGGGACCTATAAGACATTTTTCGAGAGAAAAAAAAACAGCTCTTGAGGATGTTGGGCTCTTCTCTTGGGTTACATAGTCCCGAAAAGTTGGCCACCACAGGCATCTGAACGGCTCCCAGTATGTTGATAATATGTTGGTCCATAACGGGTACCAATAGATCACATCCGCGTGGGCATACCAAAACTTTGTTGGCATGTAGTACACCTCCACAGTTGAACCTTTATAACTTGATGAATACGCCATTCATTGAAGCGCGTTTGTTAATTTTGAAATTTTCTTTCAAATTGCCCAGGAGATGACGAAATCTGCAAGGCATTAGGAGCGAAAGAGTCGCTCAAAACTCTTTATCGTCGCACATCGACGCCTCACTTATTGGAAAACAAGCTGAATGTTAGCGGCGGAACAAGTACACTTGCTGCTGCTGATTCTCAACGGGTCTCCGAAATATCAAAAGCAATGGATTCAGAAAGAAAAGTAAGTTTCTGGTATTTTTTTTCAATTTCATTGTGAGAATTGTATATACAGTACAGTATATATTTTCCCGTATTGGTTGTCTGTCAGGATTTTATCGCCTTTCCGACGGATTTTACCTCCTGCAAGTTGAGATCACCCACCGGAGCCGAAATTACTTGCCAGGTAATTGACCCTTACCACTGGAATCTCAAGCTTTGAAGGAGGCCTTTTATTTTATTATGTTTATTACATGTTATTTTTTTCAGAAAGTTGATGAATTGGCTGCTTCAGTTTCTGTTCATGAAACAGAAAGGTTTGAGGAGAGCATAGCTTCGGATATAAAAGCTCCAAACCTGAAGAAAGGCGACGATTCGGAACCATCAATCGCCAATCCACGACTGGGAGAATACATCTTGGAAAGTGGCACCAAGCCCTTGTAATATTTTTATTACCTATGATTTTCTACTACTGTATTTATCAACTGTATCTAAAATGCTCTTCAAATAATGAAAATTTTAATGTTCTGTCATCTAGCTCATCCCGGAAATTGCAATAGCCCTCAGATTATCTGGACTGAAGATTGTCTTTGTGTGGATTATAAAATATCACGGATACTACTTGATAATCTTAATAAATCGGTTAGATGAAAAAAATACTGTATTTGGCAATAAAAAAATGAATAATACTGTATTGCAATCAGTATCCGAAAATGTTGGATGACATAGCCCGGATAAGTAATTGTTGCTATATCATTGCTGATAAAAATCAATATTTGAAAAATGGGAATGGGACATCGTTCAAAATTCGACGATGAGGACAAAATGTATTTGGAAATTCGTGTCAATCAAATTTAGGCAGTTAAAATTCATAACAATTAATTTGGTTATTTTCCAATTAAAACTTGCCCCTTGAAGCTCAAATAATTTAAGTTATAATGCTTAACTTGCCTTGGATGCGTCTCAAAGTCTGAAAATTTTCATTAGAAAGTTGAAGAACAGTACTTCATTAATTTTGAAATATTTATCATGGGAAACCCACGAGGAAAATGAAATGAAGTTGAATGAAAACCTTGAGAATAGACTCGCTGTATTTTTGATAAAAAGTATACTTGAATTAAAAAATTGAAATAAAATTTGGTCGAATTTTATTCGATTTTGGATAGTAATCTGAAATTTTTCTCAATCTCGCTTTTCACTATCAAAAATGAAACCGTGGGGACACAAATTTTAAAGGAGAACCCGACGCACTTAGTCTGGAGTTATTTCCGCAGTGTGAGCCTTGAGGTTCTGTACTTGTAAATATATAAAGTAGAATTTTCCGTTTGAAATTTTTCAGTACATTATTCGAATCTTGCTTATGTATGGGCTGAGAACTCCGAATGTTTAATTTTATTTAAAGTGTCATGAAAATACAGTCGAACCTGTTGAAGTCAAACTTCAAGGAACCAGCAAAAAAATTGACTTGTTAGGGAGGTTCCAAGTTAATGAAACAAGCATTTTTGTTGGAAAAAAAAGAAGAATTGAATGAAATTGTAATCAATGATACTATGGGCCTTAAAGGGCTCCTTGAATTAGTTGGCAGGATGCTGAACTTGGAGGCAAGAGTTCATTTGCTAAATTAGTCTTTAATTTTCTTTCAAAACACATTAAATTACATTTCTATTGATTTTGTCTCTCTTGCGTCAATAAGAAAAGTAGACGAAAGGTACCCAGGAAATTCGAGTTTGGGAGGTTTGAGATCAAAGGTCCTCTAGTTGGGGAGCTTTTTAATGCATTGTTTCTAAAAGGGAATTCGTACAGGAATAACATTAAAAAAATTGACATAGGCAGGCATTCCACTCGGGCAGGTTCAAGTTATCGAAATTAAACTGCATTAATTTTATTTTTGGTTCAAGGACTCAAGGAACCATCCTGAAAGAGCTGATGTCGAGATATCGGGCTCAGACAGTTCCTGGTATGACCAATACGGGATTATCGACACCAGCTGCGAGCAAGGGAGAAACTTCTCAGTTGTCTCCCAATGCTTTTGAAGTTGGGCGACGAAATCGGTCCATGATTTCTAATGTGACGAACTTCAGCACCAAGATCTCCAAGCCCTTGTTCCGGAAAGATATTTTTTATACTGGCAGCATTCAACATTTGGCCGAATTCCAGGAAAAGGTTTCCTTTTTTTTATGTTTGTTTTTAGAGTGCCTAAAATGTTTTGTCTGCTATATGTTCTCTGAAATACGGCAACATTTGATGGACAAGACGAAAAACATTTAATGTGGAATCCCACCGTATTTATTTGAGTATCATTCGTCCGTGAGTAATTAAGACGATTTGAACCACTCATTGTCTGCTTAAAATTGTTATAAAAACCTACAGCTGGGAGTAAAAACGCTCACCCCATTTTTCCAAAAATATGCTATACTGTACTGTATTTAAAAATTGAAATCTTTTAAAATTTGAATTTTGGATCAAGGTGAACAAAAACTGCTGAATGACAAGATTTTTAACTTTTTTGAAGTTCAGGTGAACCTCATCCTTGAGTGACTTGTGGAAAATTGTAAAAAAAATTAAAACAAGAAAATTTGAAAAAAAGAATTCAATTTAAAGCATCGAAATTCAAAATGTCCTTAAAGAGTAAAATTCAATTTGAAGCAACTGTAGAGTCAATATACAGATGAAGGTTTCCAAAAAAATTTTGAAGTCGGTGCAACTCATCATGCTTGAGTCGCTTGTGGAAAATGTCAAAATTTTAAAATAACATTATTCAAGAAACTGAATTACATTGAAAAGCAGTTTCGGTTTAAAGGAGTCCAATATTTTCCACAAGGAAGTGACTGAAGTACTGTATATATGAGGTGCATCTAAACTTAAAAACATTTCTGGAAACCCCTACATATACAGTATATATATATATATATATATATATACAGTATATAGTAATGTATACCGTACCCGCCTGTTATGCTCGCCTTTTTTCTCTTTATTAAAAAAAAAGGTGTGTATATATATATGTTGTGCAATTGAATATTTCAAGTATAAATTGTTTTTAGGAAGTCTCTGCATCGATTTTGCGTTGCACGCGGATGCAAAAAATCATTGAAGTTAAATTATAGTCAATTGCACCGTTTTTCTTTCCCTCTGCACTGTTTGTGATCCAAATTTTTTTTAGCAAACGTTTGTTTGTTATTGCCTTCTGTTGCATCATGAGTAGATAAAAAGGAACTTTTACTTCAAATTGGCTAGACTGAATAGAGCTAAGAATGCAAGAAGTAAATTTTCTCATGTTGAAAATCTGACTACAATGATTGATATGGAGTGCGACTTGCGAAAGAATCTGTAGAAAGACGTGCACCACCTCTGCAGATTAGTTTATTAGTCAGTACAGTATTCGTATATCTTTCAGATTTTCTCTGAAAAAAAAACGAATATCAATTTGTTATCGAACCTTTTTTTTAGGGTTCAATGACTGCTTACCGGGATTCGGTGATAGAAGTTCCGGACGCAGCGTTGAAGGAGTTGATCCAAGCTGAAGTGGTGCTGGACGTGGAACAAACGGGAAAACCGATGCGATTTGTTGCGAAATCGAGGAGGCGGTATTTTCCCGAGTACTTGCGGACAACGTTGACGAATCTATTGAGATTCAGCTTGCTGAAAAATTTGGCATTTCGCTATTTTTGCCTGTCTGGATTCCTGGCCTGTCTTGGTTTCGTCGTTGCCCCTTGTTATCTCGCGGGTATGTCATATATATACTGTATATATATTTATTGTAGTGTGAACCAGAAAAAAAGTATGGAAGCATTTTGAAACTTTTTAATAATATCTCTGGAATATAGACTCGAGTGTTGAACCTTCTTTTACGCATCTTAACTTCAAATGAACTGAAAGCTTATGAGAGAGACTATAACATTAAAGGTACACGAAAGTGCGTAATATGTTATGTCATGTCATAAAATTAAGATTTGTTTTTCAAAAATTATATAGGTGCAGATTGTTTGTGAAATTAATTTGTGAGATTTTGCCAACAGCTCTTTTCTTCAATAAATTGCTCATTGCTGCATTACAATTCCATATTCAATTTCATTTATGGAGAAACTTGAGAATGGAAGACATAATTGACACCTTTTCTAGTGTTACAGATAATTACAGTATAAGAGTACTGTATACTTTTTAGAACGAAATTTCAACTTGTTGTCCCATTGTCAGTCAATTTAAACAACTTGAAGTTTACAAATAATATATTATGTAAATGTATATTTCATATACACAATAAAATAAGGCAAGTCAATTTCTTTGGGGACAGAGAGAAACTTCCAAAATATACGTGAGGAAGTTTCTCTGAGAATGCATAATGCAATAGCCCACAAGATTCTGATTCTTCCAAGAATATTTTTGGGGCTTTTATAATTTTTGTGTGAGTATACTGTCAAACAATATGCAAAATAATTTCTAGAGGTGGAAATGATTCCTGAGATATAATTTTGATGGTATAGTCATTCCTGAGAGAATATCTTCGGGCAAAACAGGATTTAGCAAATTACTCAAGGCTATGGATCTGAGCTCACAACTTGGAAGAAAATGCGTAGAATTGAAGTTTACTTGACTTTCGAATACTCTCTCTGATATTGTAATTTCCATGTGCTTTCACGCATTATACAATACAGTACAGTATTTTAATTCTGTTGGTTTTCAAAAATTATAGAGGTGCAGATTGTTTGTGAAATTAATTTGTGAGATTTTGCCAACAGCTCTTTTCTTCAATAAATAGCTCATTGCTGCTTTAAAATTCCATATTCAATTTCATTAATGGAGAAACTTAAGAATGGAAGACATAATTGACACCTTTTCTTGTGTTACAGATAATTACAGTATTAGAGTACTGTATACTTTTTAGAACGCAATTTCAACTTGTTATCCCATTGTCAGTCAATTTAAACAACTTGAAGTTTACAAAATAATATATTATGTAAATGTATATTTCATATACACAATAAAATAAGGCAAGTCAATTTCTTTGGAGACAGAGAGAAACTTCCAAAATATACGTGAGGAAGTTTCTCTGACTCTGAGAATGCATAATGCAATAGCCCACAAGATTCTGATTCTTCCAAGAATATTTTTGGGGCTTTTATAATTTTTGTGTGAGTATACTTTCAAACAATATGCAAAATAATTTCTAGAGGTGGAAATGATTCCTGAGATATAATTTTGATGGTATAGTCATTCCTGAGAGAATATCTTCGGGCAAAACAGGATTTAGCAAATTACTCAAGGCTATGGAGCCTGGCAAACATGCTTATTGGTATATATGAAAATTGGTTGGCAATTTTTGTGAAGAGAAACATATCTAGGTAAATTGCTCCTGCAATTTAAGAGGAGATTTGGTCTTACCTGGCTCAGAAATTTTGTTTTGTCATGGATCTTTCCGAGCATTGCATTTTACTGTTGAGAGTAAAAATGTTTCAAGAGGAAGTCCCTGTAAGAATATTGGATAAAAAAAAACTGCTTAATATTAGGAGAGGCATTAAAAATGAAAACATGTTGCATCTTCATTTATAGGTACAGTACAGTGTTTTTTAAATGTCTGTCAAAATGTCATGCAAAAGTAGCAGGAGCAATAGGAAATTTGAAATTCTTGAAATTTTATTTGCACGTTATTCACCACAGGTATCAGACTGTCTATACAAAAATATTGTTTACACCGATTTTATTTTTTTAGTTCATTTTATTTTGGTCCTTTAGGGTACACTGCAATAAAATTCTCTGTATAACGAATTTCACCACAGGTATCAGACTGTCTATACAAAAATATTACAAATATTGTTTACACCGATTTTATCTTTATAGCACATTTTATTTTGGTCCTTTTGGGGTACACTGCAATAAAATTCTCTGTATAACGAATTTTTTATGGTTTCCTTAAATTTCATTTTAGAGCGAGTACTGCTGTTTGTATATAGAGAAACCGTATTTTTTATGGAAGCTCCGATAACTTTTTGGAAAATATCTGTCTCTCTCGAAGTCGGTCTACCTTTTTCTAGTCCACCCTACGTATTACCTTCACTTGTTTATTTGACGAGTTATTATTCACGATTTAAAAAAATGGAAATTTCAGATTTGATGATGTCGAGAGGCTACACGCTGCAACAGGGTGCATTGGGACTATCTATTATCGGTGGCTTCAATACCATCGGAAGGATCATTTGCGGATGTTTAGCTGACAGTCCGAGAACTAAACCACTGGGCTTGTACATTGGAGCATTCGCCGTTTGTGGGATTTCAACTGCGGCTTTGCCTTTTGCGACGAACTCAATGATCACCATGTTGCCGTTTTTCATTCTCTATGGTCTCGGGTTTGGTGAGCACTATATCTTTGGTTCTTATATGCATTATAGTGCAGTGAGTTTTGTACTGGTTGTGTATTATCATTGTGCAGCGACTGCGGTCATGCTGAGGTCGATCTTGTTGGTCAAATATGTGGGGCTGGAGAATTTGACGAGCGCCTTTGGTCTTTACTTGCTGTTCACTGGCGTCGCCACCGCAATAGCACCTCCTTTGGCTGGTACGTGCGTGACTAGAAAAGAAAAGAAAATTGATATTCTCAAAAATATAAAATACTGTATTTATCAATCAGACCCTATAGATTTTTGTTATAAATTTAATTTGATACAAGTACAGTGGCCCCCCGCCAGGGCCGGGTACCATGGTTTGAGGAACCCTGATGCATACTACTATATATATACAGTCAACCCCCGTATAACGGACTTGATTCGTGCAAGGGACGAGTCAGTTAGACAAAAAGTCCTTTACACGAATTCAATTACATAAAAAATTAAAAATTNTGAAAATTGAAATTTTTAATTTTTTATGTAATTGAATTCGTGTAAAGGACTTTTTGTCTAACTGACTCGTCCCTTGCACGAATCAAGTCCGTTATACGGGGGTTGACTGTATATATATAGTAGTATGCATCAGGGTTCCTCAAACCATGGTACCCGGCCCTGGCCCGCAGGAAATTTTGTGCTGCATAATCAATTTATTGAAAAGTAGCAATTAAGCCTGTTATCGTTATCTGAATTTTTGGAAAGACAATGGCAGTTGAAATCATCTGATGAAAAAATAAAAGTTGGCTTTTCTCCTAAGAAAATTTGAAAATTTCACCTGCTGAAATAAATTATTTTAATTTTTTTATTCCAAGAAAACCATTCTCAAAGCCCATCTTATTTCTAATTTTTTGAGGACATTCCACTATACAGTATATAGCTGCTTTGTTATTAATTGATTCATAATCCAAAATGTTGTCAGACCAGCTAAAAATATGTGTTTTTTTGTTTTTTAACCATCATATCATTTCTATGTGTTTTAGAATTAGATAATGATGTTAAAAAATTGTGCTAGTCTGAAATTTTTTTAGCGTCTTCTGACATGGGGGCTGGAGAACTCCGGCTGTATCTTGAAAGTTTTCACTCATGCAGTAAGTTGAAAAACTTTTTCTTCTAGATAAAAAAGAATCCCAAAACCTTATAGAACATCATCATGGTTTATTTTATGATTTTTTACACCCACAATACCTACGCTAAAAATATGAGAGGCCGCGTCTAACTGGGACAACCCTCGTATGTAGCTACTGCTTCGTGTTTGGGTCGCACGACGCATGCCTTATTACATATCTCCCCTTATGCAAGAACTTGAGTTTATATATCAGCTGCAGCAAGGGTGTGAAGGATCTCAAATTGAGATATACTGAGAAATATAATCTTCAAGGCATGATGTGCATTAATGATAATGTACAGACATTATAATCATTCGTTTGCAGGTGTGATCCACACTTACGCTGGCGACTTCACGTACGTGTTCATGGTCGCTGGCATTGCCATGTTCATTGGCGCGCTAACATTGATTCCTCTCAAATTTATTGACCGTTATGCTCCTAACCAACCCACAATGGCGGCGTCGAGCTTGTGATGAAATGGTGCTGTGTTGCATTTATTCAACTCAATTGTTGAATAATGAACTACTCCTGAGTGAAATAAATTTGATCCGGATAATAATCTGCGTGTAAGCCGCTTTTCCTTGCTAAAAGCGCAAATTAAATCTTATTCTCACATGCGGAACTCATATATACGAGTGAAGACAGAGGCGCGCGGCTCTTTATATGTACTGTATATGTGCATAAGTACAGTACAGTGCAGTATATGCCAGCTTTTGGCGGTCCTGTGAAAGACCGTTTTCTGCGCAGCAGCAGCTGCGCTGCGAAATGAGTCAAATGACTGATGGTATGTTATTATATAATCTTTTTATTTAATGCTACAACGCAAAAATTACTCTGGTGCCCTTCACATAATTTAAAAAGGAACTTTCGACATAATATGCATAATACAATTGGTACGTATTATGTACAGTACATTATATAGGATTCCGCGTATGCCGCATATACAGCATTAAGTTCTTCGTCCTCATTTTTAAATAAATATGATCTTATATACTGTGCAAAAATCCGGATGCTCAACAGTAACGCTAATACTGATGGACGCCACGGAATAAAAATGTGGCACAAATAAATACGACACGCGCTCAACAAATACTCAGCTGTACGAACGATGCAAATCGATGTGCTGCACCATACAAATTCCTTAGTAGAATAAAGTAAATACGAACCAGTGGAGTTTTGCGGGCGTGAATTTCTGCTCTGGCGAGAAACTACACCACCTACAGTACTGTACTGATACAGTACTGTACTGTACAGTACTATAATATAGGTGTTATTACTGTAGTACTGTAGATTGATCCACCTCACTCAACCAGAGATCAGCTCTGTGGTAAGTGCGAGCTCAGCCGCTTTCCTTGCGAATCGCCGTTTGATTTGTATACTTGCGGCGTACAAGATTTCTTATTTTGTGCTATTGTTCTCGGGTGATTCACACTGTCGGCTTTTCTTTCAGCTGTTCTGAGTAGTGTACCGTATAAACTAAGATAAGTTCTTTGTCAACATCGAGGGAGAATCTGCGACGGAAGCTGAATTGTCAACCGGTGCTCGGTGCGCGCAAATTTTCCTTGCCGACTGATGTGTGGGCGACTCCGCGGAGGAAATTTTGTGCTGTATTACATCCAAGTGTGCATTATCTTCGTATCTAGAAAAATGGGGAGGCTTGCAGCTGCTATATGTTTGCTGCTTGCCCTATTATTTGTGTGTAAAGCTAGTGAAATTGACGAAGTGGTTGACCATTACGGAAAGAAATATCTAAGAATTAAGCGAGATGCGTCCGAATCAGCTTCGTCACATCGAAATTACAGGAGCAGAAGAGCCACTGCGTCTAGGGGCTTTACGTCGAATGGCGACAAGTCCCCAACTTCGTTTATTGTGAGTCTTCAATATGTTCCGAATGTTTTTCTTTGCAGAATATTAATTGTATTATGCTTGTTGCATTTTAGTATCCGTTGAATGACACCCATAACTCGCTCTTACTGCATTGGGCTGGCGAGGGATCTCCGGTTATTTATTGCCTGGCGACTGATGCGTCACCGAAGGATACTTCAACATCTGCGATTTATATTTCATACGAGTACGGCAAAAGTTTCGCGAATAAGACCGACTCTTTCGTAATCCCTCAACCGGATGGGACTTCCAAGCCCAGCTTGATTACTGCGTACTACGTTCATCCGGTTTTCAGCAGTGTTGTAAGTGAAAGCATGAGGTTTTCGAATTGCAGAAAAGAAAAACAATGAATATTTTTGTTTCAGTCGGTGTTCACGGATCTTCGTGACAAGGTGTTGTTCGTTACGAAGGATCACGGTGAAACTTTATTCATGCGAAACGTGAACTTCACTGCGACAACAATTGTTTTTGACAAATATCGGCCTGAAGTTCTAATTGCTCATGATCGAACAACCAATCCGAAAACGTTGTGGCTTAGTCAGGACTACGGAGAAACATTCGATCTTGCCAAGGATTATGTCTCGAACATCTACGTAGATTTTGTCGACAACCCCATCACGATCTATTTCGTGAGAGAAGAGCCCTCCGGGCTGCATGCCGTATTGGCTACGACGGATTATTTCGAAAACTTCCACGTTGTAGCGCGAAGAGTGAAGGATTTTTCCATCAAGGGTGATATGCTCCTTGCTACCCGTGTGGAGGTAAATCAAGTTTTCAGCGTCTTCAGTCCTAGGCAGGCTTAATGACTTACTGCTTTTTTTCCAGCATAAGCAAAAAGTCGAAGAAGCGGATGGCGAAAAGGAAATTGAAATACTGTCTCTATGGCTGGCTCGGAAAGATCCACGAGCAAACGGGCAATTCGGACCCCTGCAGAAAGCAAAATTTCCTCCGGAACTACAGAATCCTGAACACCTACTTGTGGCGGATGTATCTCAAGGACAAGCGCTTGTTGTTGGGATGCAAGATGGACGAGGGGATCTGTACGTGTCGAAAGTGGTTGGTGCCCCCGCTGGAGATGGTCCTGTTCCCAGTGAAGTGGAATTTTCGCTTTCATTGGCGAATATAATGTTGACGTCCGACAAGAGTGAATATGATAGCGATTCCGATTCGACGCCGTCGTGGAGGAACAAAAATGTCATGGATTTACACAAGGTTGCTGTTCGAATCTGTTTCTATCCCGACTCGTTTCCAGGATGATAGATAATTTTTCTTGTCATTTCAGGTGAACGGTCTGGAAGGGGTTTATATTGCAAACAGGATAAAACCCGGAATACGATCTCGGAACGTGACTTCAAGGTTCCCGCAGAATTTCTCAAAATACATGAATCTTCTGCCTTTCAAAATCGCCGATATCCAAACGGTCATCACTCATGATAAAGGCGGCGAATGGACTCCTTTGATCGCTCCAAAATTTGATGCCGACGGACTTCCACTTCATTGCAGTCTGGTAAGTAAATCATGGATTTTTCAGTGTATTAACGGGATTTTTTTTGTAAATTTTACAAGCATTTACTGTACATTGTTATCATGCATAACCTCTTATCATTTTCAAAGCTGTAAACCTTAAGAATTACAGTCAACATTTTCGAGTAGGCTTTATGCTTATTTTTGTTGCTCTGTTAGCATTTCAGGCCGAGATTCAAGATATCACCTCACAAATAACGTGTCTCCTTGAATAAAGTTGGAAAGATAGCGTAATTTCAAGGTTTACAAAATTTAGTGCAACTTTCATAGCGTCGGCCGTGTAAAAAAAGTTTATTGTCGAGATCAATTGTATTCCTCCTGAATAACCGATTTTTCATGAAATTTTCGTTCGCATTGAGAGATAAATAGTGCATTTATGACGAAAATTTTTTAAAACCTGTCGGAATGCGAAAAAAAGTATTATGCAGACGCTCTAATTGTCCCGAATATTACTCGTTGAGTATAGTTGAAATGGAAGTTAGAATTTTAATGAATATAGATACAAAACTAGAGCAGAAAGAAAATTTATGTTTGAAAATGTGTTTCCTTGCAGGAGCAAAACTGTTCGCTGCATGTTGGCCAGCCCAGAAGCTACATTCTGTCAACATATCTCTTATCGAGAGAGTCAGCCGTTGGATTAGTCATGGGAACTGGAGTTCTTGGTGATTCAATGAAAGGTGGTTTCAGAGATCCGTCGAGTTTTGCTTGGACAAACGCGTTGAACCAGATGTCGAAGCTGTCTACGTATTTGTCTGCCGACGGAGGTGTTTCATGGCACCAAGTTTTGAAAGGATCGTATTTGTACAATATCGGTGACCACGGATCAGTGATTGTAGCAGTTGAGTCGCATCGATCGGGGGAAACCGACAAACTGTACTATTCCTTGGACGAAGGTGCGACCTGGGAAGCTTACTATTTCTACGAAACTCCTGTCAACGTGTACCAGCTGTTGATTGAACCGGGCGAGAACACCACGATTTTCACGATGTATGCGTCTTTGAGAAATGCCCATGAATGGCTGATGATCGGTGTCGACTTCCAAACTGTGTTCGGTACGTTTTCATGAATTTTCGAGACACATTGAGGGGATGAAAGTTCTCGTGCAGTGGAAAAGTTAGCCTTTTCCTGGGTTTCGAAGCTGAAGGTGAAACGCATTGTCAATTTAATATTTGAAACTTCGGTTCAAAATAATTCCTCACTAAACCCAATTTATCATCGTATGCTACTGAAGCAATGCTTGAGGAACCAAAAAACAGTCGGAACTTCGGATTGCCCATACAAAAAATTAAATAAAAAACTATTTTGAAGTCTACATTCTACCACGCTGTCTTTAAGTCCACCTACTACTAATTAAGCAATCTTTCGGGATGGAACAATTAGGAAAATGTATCGTCTGGATTACTGATCTCTCGCTGTGCAGTTTTTGGACATCTTGCGAATGTTGACAGTATTATCAACATTCATAAAGAAGAATATTCATAAATCTACGATTATCAATTTCCTTTCTTTCCAGAGAAAAATTGCACTGAAGCGGACTACAGGGAATGGTCTCCTTACGATTTGCGGAAATCCGGTCGAGGATGTCTCATGGGACAAAAAACAGTGTATCAACGTCGTATACCGCGCACCAAATGCTACAACGGATTATCGTACACGAGACCGAATCGCACCGAAGTTTGCTTGTGTGAGAGATCTGACCATGAATGCGACTTCGGATTTCGAGTTGCGCCCGGAGGGTAATACTTTGAAAAATTTACACACATTTACTCGAGCACCACGCGCCCTCGAATAAGACGCGCACCCCATTTTTAGTGGATTTACAACTGCAATGTTTGGTAAATGAGAACGCCCAAATTTGAATTTAAACACAGATTGATCCGGAATTTAGCTAATTTTAAATTATTCCAATTATAATAAGTTTTTCTGTTGAACTTGGTCCAAAATTTCCCATTAGATTCAAATATAATGCACACCCACACTTTAAAAATGTTCTCTTTTAAATTTATAGTAGCCCTTTACGCAGACCCCCTTTTTTCCTCTCGACCTTGAGAAAAAAAAGGTGCGCCTGATACTCGAGTAAATACGGTGTTATCGTTTTTCGAGTTTCATGACCCTGTGGAATCCAGGAGTTGAAATATTTTTTACTCTTTCCACGGAAAATATGTCAGATGGAAAAAAAATGAAAACAAATTTCGATCAATGCTTCATTCGATCCCGATGAAGTTCTATAAGTGTAAGAAAATTCGCTAATCATGTAAATGCATTTGTTTTACAGTACTTGGCCCGAGTACGGAGTGTTTTTCAACATTTCCACGGTTGTAAGAAATAAGGAAGGGTAGGGACACATTTTCTGGTTTCCTTTTTAATAAATAAGTGTAAATAACTGGTGAATATGCAGTGCAGTACTCGACTGTCCAAGTCAGGGTAACGAGATTAGGATGTTTGCTGTAGATTACTTTTTTATGTTTTCCCGGATATCTCCTGTTCCGGAGAACGTTTTCAACGTTGAACAGAAAATGTGCAAAAAGTACCAGGAATCAGTTTGTGTTGCAAGGTTTTATGTTTTTTTTTTAATATTCTTTGAAGGTCACAAGGATTACAAGATTCTCTGTGGTCAGCCCCGTGTCTGGAGGACATCTCGGATCCCGCGAACCGTGTGAATGTGTACAAGATACCAGACAACTGTCCGCCTGGCTCATTTTACAACAGAACCCGTGGATACCGAAAGATCCCTGGTGACGTTTGCGAAGGTGGCATGGGTCGATTGTACGAGCCTGAAAGAGTTCCCTGTCCTGTGGGCGATGAGAAGGAGTTTATCCTTCTCGCCCGGAGATACAACATTTCTCGGCTCAACATCGATTTCATCCCCGATATGGTGATGAACTATACTCAAGATAACGTGACCTATGAGTTGAACTCGGCGTGGGAAACCCTGCCGGTGGAAGGGTTGAGGAACGTGATAGGGATTGAGTTCGACCATCGGAACAACTGCGTGTACTGGGGAGACATAAACACGGATCACGTTATGGTACGTTTCCTGAGGAATTCTGTGACTGATCTTGAAAGTTATGTGTATGCGAACGATTCGAACGTTGAGGAATCATGCGTCATCGCTGCATGTTCAACCATATTACTAAGATATTTTATAGATCCGATTTTTCCCGAATTCTCGCCGTAGCTTCATTCTGAACACGCTTGAATTTCTCGGATTTATCTTCTCACGGAAAGCTCTATTTTTATCATTTTATTTTCCCCTGGTCTTGAAAAAATGAAGAATGTCACGATCATATTCAGAATTGTCTTCTCAACGATACGAGGAAGCAGCTATGCTTTTCCGTGCTTCTACTATTTCTGAATAATTTTAAACGAAAAGACGGATTGAAACCGGAACTCCGGAGGTTAACCTTTTTTTATACCTAGCTTCAACTTATGGAACGCTAGGGAAGTTCTCTCAATCGAAGTGGAATCATGAATCAGGTGAATGAGCAGAAGCAAAGCTGACCATTTCATTCGATCCAGATAATCTTTAATAAGCTGACGTGAAAATCGTGTTAGAAATCATGATAGACACATAAAACAGACTTGAAATTTTTATTTGAATCATTATGCAGGTGGACTCTGACGACTCTCCTCATGTTGTAGGGGTTCTTCACAACGTTTTTTTTTTTTCCAGTCTCTTGAATTTCGTTGGGGAGAAAGTCCACCTGTGCTGTATTTATGTGTGAAGTACAGTATGTGCCTTCACTCCCAACAATTGTTGAAAATTATTGTTGCACTGTACCTGAATAATATTCAATTCTCGCGTTTAATAATTGTATGCGATTTCAATATTTCAAGTTGTTCGCGTCCACCATAAGTCAATTTCTCAACGTTCATTTTAATTTGTTTTCTTCCAGCGCCTTTGCTTGGATGGAAAATCAGAACCTGAGACTTTGATAAGCAGAGCACTGGATTCCGTTGAAGGATTGGCCTTAGACTGGATTTCCAACAATCTATATGTTGTCGACGGGGGAACCCGAGGGGTCCCCAAAATAGAAGTGGTCAGGATTGACGTGAACCATGCCGGACGAATGCGTAGAACCATTCTCGACCAGAGAGTTGTGAAGAAGCCTCGAGGAATCGCACTGCATCCAGCTGCAGGGTAAGGATTTTCAAAAGTTCTGCTGTCATTTGGACAGGTGAAGAAAATATAAACAATGAACGAATCCGAGACACTTACACTTCATCGAATGATTTTTTCTATATATATTTCTGAACAGGTACATGTTTTGGTCTGACTGGTCGGACACGAAGCCAGCGGTTTCTCGTGCAGATTTGGACGGTGAAAACCGAATAATATTGTTCGACTCGAAGGTCGTCGAGTGGCCCAACGGAATTGCGGTCGATTTGGTGCAAAATCGTATTTTCTTCGTCGATGCTCGTAGAGAATTTTTGGCTTCCGCGAACCTTGATGGGAGTCATTACCGCGTTATAATCGAAGGAAACGCGAAAATACCACATCCTTTCGGAGTTGGCATTTTCAAAGGTTCGTCAACAGCCCGACGTGATCTTTTTTGAACTTCGAAATACAGTAAATTCAAGTGGATACTTCAATGTTAATAATGTAGATACTTTTATTTTTCATTTTTTGGCAAGCATGAATTCAAATTTAGCTCTGGTAAACTCTAAAGAATTCAATGGGTGCCTATCGAACCTCTTCGAAATACACCGGAAACCAACTGAACGCTTCTCGAAACATCACTTGTCCATAAAAAAATAACACGATGAAAAATAGTTCAAGAATTGAAGAACTGTAAGCATGAAACGACGGTGCAGTGTTCTTGAAAATTACACAAAAAATACAAATCTAAAAATTGTTTCAGTTCGAATTATTTAGCTCTCTACCGACCTTATTTCCGGTATTTCATTTTGTTTGTCGGTGAAAGTCCATTTTGTGCGAGGAATGTTTTTTGTGCTTGATACTTGGTGACATTTTAGCATATTGGCACTAGTCGCATATTTGTCCTTCCAATTTTGAGAAGTGGGAACTATTGGCATAAAATTTATGCGTGTTTTTCTCGCCCTGTTAGCAAAAATTTGGTCGAAATGATGCATTTACTGTACTGTTTTTCGTGTGGTTCGACAGAAATGGTGATCTGGGATGACTGGCGCCTCGGTGCAGTGTGCATGGCGAACAAAAACACGGGTAACGGAGTCGTCCGTCTCACGGATCCCGGCGGCATCGTCATGGATCTGAAGGTTGTCGCCGCTGCGCAAACTCGGCAAGCAGACAAGAACGGATGTTCGAACGCCACGTGTCCTTTTCTATGCGTGGGTAAACCGGATGGCGGACATGCATGTCTCTGCCCAGATGGGATGAAGGCGATTCGAGGTTCGGGAACGAACGAAAGCGGAGAAACGTGCGTGTGTCCCGCTGGTCAGGCGCCGTTGGCGAATGGCACATGTCCGTCCATCAACTCCACGTGTTCCACGGGGTATTTCCCGTGTGGGAATGGGCTTTGTATCCCGGTCACGTGGCAGTGCGACGGCGACAATGACTGCGGAGATGGATCCGACGAGAAGGACTGTGGGAAGATGAACTGCGATGAAGGGCAATTCACTTGCACGTGAGTGTCTTATTGTTTTTGCTGGGTTACGCGTCATTTCCAAATCCGTTTCTTCTACATCGACGAAAGTACAGTAGTTGACGCGGTTTCGTTTTTTAATCACGTTTCTAGTATGAACGAGGTTAAAAATACAGGTAGATTCTTGTTGCAAGGATACAAATTATTCGACTTTTGAGAGAATAAGTTGCACTTGAACTACGCAAACATCAGCGTGGGTAGACCCTCCAACAACTTTTTCAGACAACGTTTTTGTCGCGATGGTTTGTTCAACTAATTAAAAATTCTGTAATATTTATCTATAAAGACGTCGTCGGTTTTTTTGAGCATTCCGAGTAGCATATTGCGGGAAAGCCCAGCTGTAGCAGGTCGACGAGGGCTGGAAAAAGAATGTAGCTATCTAAAGATCATCGCTGTACTAAAATGCAGATGGGACTCTCTCTCTCTCTCTCTCTACGACGAAATTTAGTATGCCATTTTTCTGCAAGCTTGCAATTTTTCTTACTTGCATACAAAGAATATTGATATCACAGTTATTTGATGAAGAAGCTGTTCAAACGAGAAACAATTTCGAATAAAGTTTTTTCAAGGTTACGCAGCTTTCATTACCTCGGATTTGTGCATTCGACAGACTGTTTCTTTGAATAGTTTTTTTTTAATTACAATTGACAAAATAATACTGTACCGAGTTTTATTCCTTTTTTTTCGCAGCGATGGCCAGTGTATACCGCCTGGTTGGCAGTGTGACTTTGATCGAGACTGTCGAGACGGTTCCGACGAGGAGAACTGCGGAGATCGCGGTGAATGTCATCACGACGAGTTCAAATGCGGCAACGGCAGGTGTCTCTCGATGAAATGGCGCTGCGATATGGATGATGATTGTCGCGACGGATCCGACGAAGAAAATTGCACCATTACGACGATCGGACCTGACGGAGAGGAAATTGGTGGCGGTGAAGGCGGAGGATCTGGCGGCTCCATTGGAGTTGCTGCTTGCTCACCCGGAGAGCTCATGTGTGGTGACGGGAAATGTTATCCCATCATGTGGAAATGCGACGGTGACAGCGATTGCGTGGATGGAAGTGACGAGAGCAACTGCACCAATCACAAGTGCCAAACTTGGCAATTTTCGGTAAGCGCACCACCCGGTAAAAATTCGGTAGTCTCGCCAACAGCTATGTTCGTTTTCTGTTCAATTTTGCTTAGTCCTGGCAGAAATTCTGTTGCCACAGTAAAATCTCGTTACGACGAAGCGTCTGAGACCTTCAAGAAAGATTATTTGTAAATGAGAATTCGTTAAAAATAAATTGAAATAACATTATGGCTATTCGACCGAAAAATCATATTCTTTGTAAGTTTAATAATCAGTTGTAACTAGAATCGTAGTAACGAGATTCTACTGTATACTATCCGCTTTTTTGTATTGATATGTCCTGTAGAACGATTTAACTTTCCGTCCGCTGAAACTAATTGTAGCTAGAAGCCATCTTCCACTATGATGGACAATGTAAGGTAAAAGTCTTGCGGATCTTATATTTTTTGCTAACCTGTTCATTTTTTGGATGTGCGCCAAGTTGATAACTCCGGAAAGAAACATATTTTTGAGGGCATCTAGTGGTGGGACAAGTCGGAGCACGTTTCAAAGATATTTTTAATACTGTATAAGTGTTCGATCAAGTTCGCAAAGGAAATTGATTTGACTCGAGAATAAACTGGGAAATTTACCAGAAGTTTTGTTGGATTTGGTAAGTTTTATTTGTTTTCGAAGGAAATTATAGTCATTATTAGCACCTCGGTTACGGAAAACTAATCCTGCTTCGGTTGAACGAACTGCGTGAGGAATTATCAACGTTGAAAAAATTTAATCTGCTGTGGCAAGTTTAGCTTTTGGCATAACCTTTCGAGTAAATTTAATTTTTTTACATTTATTATGGTTTGAATGGTAGACATTTTTTGAAGCATAATGACAATCTTGTCTATGAAGTTGTTCTCCTTGAAACAAGAAAGATCATTGAAAAACAAATTTTGACGTGAAAAAGATTAAATTACAGGAAATACTTCGTCTTGTCGTGTGGGATGTTTTGATATTTCATTCAAACGTTTTTCAGTGTCGAGAAGAAGTGAAGTGCATCTACACCAGTTGGGTGTGCGATAATGAAAAAGACTGCTTGAACGGCTCCGACGAAGCGGAAGATGTATGCGGGAAAATGCTGAATGGGACTATCATAGACCGGTTTCCGTTTGACGAAGACGAGACAGTCATCGGCACTGGCCAGTCACCCGGAAATCCAGACGTCACTTCTGCCTTCCCGCAGGGTAAGAAGTGTACGGAATGGATGTTCCATTGCGACAACGGCAACTGCATCCCGTTTTGGTGGAAATGCGACAGCGTGGACGACTGTAACGATAATTCCGACGAGGCCATGTGCGGTACTTTCCCGGACGCTGGCAATGGAAACGAGACGATCCCAGAACTGCGTCCCCCTGGAGAAGCTAATCGTACCGCCACGACGTCATCGTGCTCTGTAATGCGGTTCCAATGCTACTCGGGTCGTTGTATTTGGGCAGCATGGGTTTGCGATGGAGATCGGGATTGCGAAGGCGGCGAGGATGAAAGCAAGTGCGACTTCGGACCTGGCGAGGCCAATAATCACCCGAATCACGTAAGAATTCATTTTCCCGGTCAATTTCAGTTTTCAAATCACTTCACTCATTCCTGCGATTCGAGCGTCGTACTACAGTATAATTATTTCATAACAATGAATATTGAAACACAGTAAGCGTTTCATCGAGAGTGAACTTTTCTAAAAATTGGAACTTACTGAACAATTTTTCGGAGATCGCATTAGTATCAATTAGTACTCAACGCCAAAAATGATTCGTAGTCGATGGAAAAAAATACTGTATCTGGAAAGGTAGGTCATATAAATTAGGCTTGAAATTACGAGCATATTTATTTCATAGTTTTTCGATTTTAAAATCGAGCCGAATCTGCTCAGTTCGCCCTTCAGAACCAAGAAAAATAAAACTAATTACAGTGAATTCATGAAAATTATAAAGCCCTTGTAATTTTTGCGGAAAATGCGTTTTTTTTTCGTTTTACCGCAACAGGTGGCATCCTCGCCAACCGTTCAAAGATATGCGCAAGTTCAAAACGAACTTGCGCATGTTTTGCTAAATCGAACTCGATTTTGCCGGTTTTCCATGTCACACTCGTATGGAGTAAACCCTTGAACTTCTTCGATTCGCAAAAATGCGTTTAGTTTGACTTGTTGAAGTTTCGTCTCGTCAGGAAATTTATCTCAATTCATTTGCCGCAAATTTTGTATGCGAACCGAATTTTATCTCGAGCGTGAATTAGTTGAAATAAAATGCATGAATTTTAGAGGTTCTGGAGAAACTCATAGTCTGAGATAATTTTAGTGCTGGAGATTATATGATTGAAAATTTTCAAATTTAGGTTTTTTAAATTGTTCTAAATCTAATAATCCTTCTCGGGTAAAATCTCGTGATTCTGTATTTTCAAATCTTGATGATACCTTGGAAAAGCTTGGAATTTTTACAAATTTACTTAGGGATGGTTTTTTGGATGTTTTCTTGCATCGGTCGTCAGAAACGAATTTTTACTTTCGTCAGAAACGAACAAATCACACTTGTCTTTTATTTTCTTCAAGGGGGAATGCTTGGGTCACCAGTTCAGCTGTGAAATTTCGGGCGGCTGTATTCCATCGTCTCTTATCTGTGACGGCCGGACAGACTGTCCTGATGGATCAGACGAGCTCGGGTGTATTGACCACCAGTACCCGAGTCGAAAGAACAAGGAGCATTGTGACCCCGTGAAGGAGTTTGTTTGCAAATCGTCCAATACCTGCATACCGAGATTAAGCGTCTGCGATGGGAATTACGACTGCCTGGATGAATCGGATGAGCAAAAATGCGACGAGGGCCCACGAGTGAATACCGTTGATATCGATTCCAAACGCGTTACGGAGTCAAGTGTTGCGATATTCTGGCATGCTGGAAACCTGGATGAAAAAAGCAATGGATCGGCTCGTGTCGAATTCTTGCCTGCTGTTCGTGTCATGGGGCTGAGCAAGTGAGTCATCCTCGAGAAGATAAATAACAGACTGATAGTTTAAAACTCATGATCTAAAAGTTTTCAGAACGTTAGTGAACCGATTAATTTTCTTAATCGATCTTTTCTACTTGAGGAAATGTGCGTCTCGCGGATGTTTCCGCAATCTGTAATCTGACCAGATTTGAGAAACATTATTTCACCAAACATTTATCATGATCTAATTCAAGAGTGATGAAGCGTCAAAGAATTCCGGCGACACCTATGTACTCTAAATTAAATTCAGTAGATTCGGACGCGTGGAAGTAAATCGAGGAAATAAATAATTAAAAAACTTCCGATAGCGTGGACATTCTCAGATTTACGACGTCAATTTTCTGCGATTCTAATATCAAATATTATTTTTATTTAGGTGGATCAACGCATCTGAATGGAAAAATGCACGTACCAATGAATATAAATTTGAGAAGCTCCAGCCCTACACGAATTACGAGTTCACCGTTTTCTCGCGAGAAACCCTGATTGATGCGAATGGGGCATCTGGCGATTCTTCGGTCATTTATGGTGCTCCAGCCCCGATCGCCGTTGGGCAAACTAAAACCGGAGAACCCGAACGTCCAGAAAACTTGCGTGTGCAGCAAGTGAGCCGCCGACAAGTGTATCTCACCTGGGACGAGCCTCGAAAATGGAATGGCAACTCTAAAATATATCACATTTATATGTCAGGTACTTCACAATTGAACTCATTTTGAATTGAAAATGAGATATTCTTGAATGAATATCTTCAAAGGAGGTGTGAAAATAATTTCTGTGCATTGATACCTTTGTGAATAATGGCGTTTCCTACGATCTCCTTCGTCGGCTGAATTCCACTTTTCTGCCACGATTGATTTTAATGCAGTATTACGCTGAGTTAGGAATACTGTATTTACTCGAGTACCACTCGCACCTCTTTTTTTCAAGATTGAGAGGAAAAAAGGGGGTGCGCATTGGTGCGCCTCCTACTTGGATGTAATAGGAAATTTTATTGGATCAAGCAATTAAAAATTAATTGAATTCAGGCTGAATTGGAATTCTGAAATCAAATTGGAACCAGAATTCAAATTGGAATTCTGGTGCCTCGTATTTTCAAAATATTGTAGTTTTTCCGTCACGAAAAATTGGGTGCGCATCTTGGTCGGGAATTAGATTCATAGGATAGGATTCATCAACATTTTAGTGAGAAATTTGGGTGCGTGGCTTACTCAACGGCGGATGATACTCGAGTAGATACAGTATTCGCAAATAAATAACTACTGTAGTGTAATTTCGGAAAAAAAAAAGAAGACTATCTTGAGCCTTTCTCCTGCTTCGAGCATTGCTTTGTGAACATTCTCAACGTTCTTCGCGAAGATCAATCTTCTTTCTGTCGAAGATCGAAACGCCCCGGAAATTGTACCATTATTTCTTGCACAACTTATGAAAGTTAGCGTACAGTATTTGAATTCCCATTTTTCGTCGAAGAGGCTTAATTTTTTTATCATCAAATATTTTTTGTTCATTGAAAGCAACAGAATCATGACCTTCTGACAAATTTTCATGATTTCCAGTTCCGGCCCAAAAACCGATGAAATTCGATGTGATATCACGAAGATCGTATTCCATGTCTTACGATTTCATGGAGAACGTCAAGTATAAATTCTGGGTGATCGCGGACAATGGCGAGAAAGTCGGCGGTCGATCTGCGATTGAGACTTTGGACTACTCTTCCGGAATTTCCCACGAAATGGTTGAAAGCGTGAAAGTGGTGTCGAGGAGTGAAACCTCTTTGACGTTCGAGTGGAAGGAACTGAATGGGGATGGCAAGAAGAGCTACACTGTCCAGTGTTACTCCGAGAATCCTTACGAACCGAAACACGTTGTGAACACAACACTTCCGACTGCTGTTGGTCAGTATGCTCTTGACTATGGACAATTTAAGTGTTCAATGCCATCTTATATCCTCGAGAGTTCTAAAAGTTCGAAGAGAAGCTGAGAAAAATGATGCTATTCCAAGCATATTCTTGCTATAGAGATGTCCCAGGTGAACTCTTTACATTGGACCAGGAAAAAAATATCGTTTTAGGGATAATTTTGTTGTGGAGAACCTCTGTAAGTTGCAACACAGGGAGAAAACCCTATGGGACCAGAAACAAATTTATACAGAGCAAAGTTCTCTAGACAAGATCGTTTTTGTGAGAGTCCACCTGTATTGGGGAAACACTCTCCACCCAACTCAACACTCCCATGGAATAATTACTTGAAGAACTGGGATGCACTAAAAAAATATTAATTATATCGAAGGTTGCATCATTCTTTCTATGATTTTATGGAAACTTTTGAAATGCCATGTACGGTGCTTCAGTGAATACATGCATTCCTGATAGTTCATATCGTGATGAAAATACGGCAATTCTTCCTAGATCTGAATTTTCAAATCTTGCTCTTCAATATTTGTAACATTTCTATGAATAATAGTTGGAGGGCTTGCTCCTGCCACAAACTACACGTGCCACGTGATGGCTCGAATCCCTGTGACTGGAGACCTTTTCACACCGCGAACGAAGGTCATGGATTATACCACAGGCGACAAACTGTTGCCGATCAGGAATCTTCGCGTGAATTGGAAAATTAAGGGAACGACGATGAAACTCACTTGGGAGCCTCCGAAAGATCGCAGGAAAATCAAGTGGAAATACGCGATTTTCTTCGGGGCCAGCGAGCGTGAGCTATTTGCTGAAGGTAAGACGAGCTGGTTTTTAGAAATCGGAACTATTCGTCGCAATTGTTGAATGGAAATTGCCGAGTGGCTAGAATTGTTCCGCCATGCTGGACTAACAAAGTTGAGCAGAGGATTTTATGTTCTAGTTATGTTGGAGACAAACAAGAAAAATGCTGAAGTGAAGAGTTTATCGTATGGTTGCCCTGAAGAGTAAAAGCTCACAAATGATGGAAATGAATCAAATTACTGTATCCTTCTTCTGAGAAACGCATTTATGAACTATCCTCCCTTCATCAGACTTCGATAGTTCAATACCACGAGGTCAAAAAATATCTGCACAAAAGACTCTTCCTTAGCGATTTATGCCAAAACGAGCCCCGCGGGTCAGAAAAAACTTTTTTATTTTTGAGAAACTGATGTTCATCACTGAATTTAAAAATTGTTGAATCATTTTTTAGGAGTGCGCCACGTTACCACCGGTACTTCGTACACAGTACTGAAAGAGCTCAACGCATGCGAGAAGTACTTGTTCTCTGTCGTGGTCATTGAACCCTTGGGCACAGGCCCCGGGCCGTACTCACTCCGTAAAGGCGGACTGGTTGGCACGCTGAACGGTGGAGCATTTGTCCAAGCCTATACCCTCATGGACTCTCTTGCTCCGCCGAAACATCTCCGGGTGGACTACTATCCCACCAACGAGTCGATGGTCGTCATCTCGTGGAATGCGAGTTGCCCGGAATATCCATCCAACGAATCTTACTTGGTGACTGCTTACGAAGAGACAACAAATCACACGTGGATGTTCCAGACTCCCGTCACTGACAAGGGATTCATGGAAGAGCACTACATGATTCATCCTGGTGGGAAATATAGGATTAATGTGCGCGTGAATGTGGAAGGCTCGCACCCGACATCGTGGATCCGTTTTGATGCTCCGTCTTTGCCTCCACCGCATCAGTTGAAGGTGTTCCCGATGAAAAATGACAAGATTTTCAACTTATCGTGGCAGACGACTGCAATGCCGAAGGATGTCAATATCGATGAGTAAGTAGTTTTTTCGCACCCGAACGTAGGGGTAGAATGGTCACGACGACATGAGTAAGTCGTTTTTTCCAACCGAACGTAGGGTTTAAATATTCACGACGATTTTGTCTACTACAGTACACCGATAAGAAATACATTCTTTGAACCGAGCTGATCAAGCAGTTCTTTTTTTCGAAAATATTCTGTTCAGAAAGAATTCCTTTTTTTTTAGAATTTCTGATAATCGTTGAAGAAATATTTCATTTCTCGTTTGAACAAGACGAATGTACGATGTGATCAAAAATTCCGCGAGTATTACTGCGACATGATTAGATTCTTCTTCTTTACAGAATCAAATGCAAAACTTTTTTTTTTCAATTTGAAAAAGGGTCAACGTGTTCTGTTCATCTGCAGCGTTCTCTTGTTTTCGTTTTAGCCTCATTTTCGTCGTTTGGGTTTCCACGGACCCAACCTGGGAGAATGCGAAGAAGTTCGAAGTGAAAGATGAAAATCATTTTGTTCTGACGGAGTTGGAACCCGGAAAGCGATACAGAGCCGCTGTCACACTTCGAGACGTTGATGGCTTTCATTCCAAGTTTTCGGAAATCGTTGCACTCGAACCTCTTGCGTGTAAGTTACTCTTCAACTTTTTGTAAGCAGTACTTGAGGATATGTAGTCCTTCGTTTTTACTGAAAAAATGCTTTTACCCAACGAACGATATCTACTTTAGAAGGGATGTTCTCGCAGAGAAAATTCGCTTAGAATCGGAAGACTTCGATTTATTCTCCCAAGTTTGATAGTTGCTTCAATCATTTCGTTGGCTTCTAGTGCCTGGAGACGAAACTGGATCTAAACAAGTGACCATGTCGTACATTGGAGGCAGGAGCACCGTTGGAATAATCGTCGCTTTATTGATCGTTTTGATCGGATTGTCTGGTGCGCTGGTTTATTACGTGATGAGAAATCCGAGGTTCCGGAGAACATTCCCACCGTTTTCAAACCCTCATTACGACTCGCGGTCTGGGGCTGCCACCATCGCAACCTCAGATGGATTAGGTGAGTCTGTCGGGCTTTTTATCTTGTTCAGAAAATTGTATTACAAATCCTTTTTCCTTTTCGTTTTTAATGCTGCTTGAAGTGTCCCATGTTCCTGGTATGTATTTTTTAATTCTGTGAACATTTTCGAGTTGGCGGAGTTTCGCACACTCGTCAAGGTCAAATTCGAAGTTGAAATTGTCCTCAAACCTTTCTTAGAATGCAACACTGTATCAGTATTTTCACGTTTTGTCGCTGCAGCGTTTGGAACCCAACTAGCGTGTTCATACACGGAACTAACCCAACGCGTAACTTTTCCAATCTTGTACCGGATTATATCAATCGAACCCAGCCTCATTCCGAAGTCATAAATGCGAGTATCGTTAGCCTAATCATAATTGATCATTTTTCTCGAGTCGTTACTGACCTAACCTAATTTGCATTGAAGTCATTACTAGTCATTACTGATTGATGGATATTAAGATGAATGCTGAGATGTTGGAGAAGTAGCTTGAACAAGGGAGAAGTGAGCTTCTTTTTTCTCTTGTTCTGAAAAGTAAAATTAATTCTCTCCTCAAAACTGTGAGTGTGAAGTATTGAAAAAATCTTCAGAATCAGTTTATTTCGGGTACTGAGCATCGTATCTTGTGTATCGGCTGAAAGTGTGAAAATAATATTTTTTTTAATGTTCATTTTTCAGATGAAGACGACACACCGATAATTCGTGGGTTCTCGGACGACGAGCCCCTCGTTTTATCTTAAAATAGCGTCGTTGGCGCTGATCACGTATCATCTGAAGTTTCGTCAGACGGCTTCAAAGGACCCCTTTTTCATTCCTCACATGCCCGCGTACGTGCGGCAACTGATGCATGAGTGGAACAAGTGAACCATTGCGGTTTCAGGTGATGTATTTTTTGTTTTATGAAAGCACCTCTGCTTCAGTCCTGGTTTCCGTGAAGAGGTCAAGTGCAATTCCGGCATTGCCCAAGAACGCATTCGTGCAAGAGGGCATTGTGTTCGACAGATGAGGTCATTCATGTGGGAGGGAAATGGGGGTGCGAAGTGTGAGATCATTCGAAAGGTTAATTCTTTTTTGTACCCTTGAAGTTGCCCCATTTGAAGCCAAATGCAAGAGATTCGCGTCTCTCGATTGAAAAATTCGGCGCGAATCTTTTGACGTTGTCGAATTCTTGCGGAGGGTTAGCTCAATTGAAAGAAGGAAAGAGAATTTTCTGGCTATTCCAGTTTTATTTTTGCCTGGCAAATAATTCGTAATCATTTTTGCGTATTTGTGATATTGCTGACTTCGCGATGTCACCTCTGCATTCGAAGACTTTTTCTCATCCACGAAATACGGCGCTTTTTAAGGAGAAGAGAAAAAGGTCTTTGCTTTTCGTGTTCTCGAAGCGTTGTTTTCTTCGTGTTTTGATTTGGATGGTATGACGTAACGTTGTTATTGTTTTTGAAGAATTGAAACGTACATTAGTTCCTAGTCTGAAAGCTTAGCTCTTGGGGAAATTCTAGAGAGATGAGTTTGCATTGAAAGATTCTTTTCATCATCAGAATTGAGGTTTGTGAATCTAGCGGTGATCATGAAATAGAACGATTAAAATTGTAGAACCAATCAAAACTGAAAATTCCCGATATACTGGGTTACTTGCGTGCTTTATGTGGGCTCCATGAAAATCTCGAACTTTAAAATTTTATTGAAGGGCATATTTGTTGCAGGCTCTTTGATTTGTTGCCTCGTGTTCTCTAGCGATTTTTTTTATTAGATATTTTATGTTGAACCGTACTGTTTTGAGCGTGAAAGAATGGTTCACTATGTGCTGACATCTTTTAATCCTTCGCTTATTTGAAGCATTTGTGGGGAAATAAAGGTGTGTGGAATAACCAGGTATTTTTATTTTTTTGTATAGTACTGTATATGATGTATTGTTGCTGGTTTACTTGGATCAATATATTTTTGGAAGTCAACAAACTTCCTCTTGCCTCACTAGGTGTTCGGAACAGATTATTTTATTCTCTGCTGGTTCTCGTTATTTACAGTGATCTGAATTTTGAATTCTTTACCTTGTCAAGATGTTCTTCAAAGGTTGAAATCTTATCTCTGCATCATGACAGCGGCCCTGTTCATGCCGCTATTATGACAAGTTGATTACCCATTCGGAGATTTAATTGATATCCTCTCATAGTCATATTTACTCATCCCATGTAATGTATTCTATGGTCATATTAGTCATCTGAAACGAATTTATTTTAAGTGTTCCGAAATTTGTTGCCGCCGAATTGAGCGGTTCCAATAGGAATTGATGTCAAATTTTGATACAGGATTGACAGGCATAGACTGTATCGGAAATTCTGTTTCACAGATCTAGAGCGTCGCAGCTTGTGCGAGTACATTCTGTTCCCATTTCCGAGAAGTTCTGAACATTGTCTTCTTCCCTGGTAACAGGATCAGGGTTGGAACTGCCAATGGTAGATTAGATACGGCTGTACTGCATACTTTTCCGGTACGGTAGCCGTCGTACCACCACGATCATGTGGTGTGATGTAAATACTTGTATTGGTGCGCGAGTCGTGCGCAAGAATTGAAAGTTTTCCTCGTGAAAGGAGTTTTCAAGATCACGAAGAAAAAGGAGCAGCTCTCCTGGCATCCCTGGTTTTTATCTCACCTCCGGTGCATCAACCTCGAAGCAGAAGACTTCGAGATTACTGTATTATTCTTGAAAATTCGGTGCAGTACTCCGGGTATAGAAGGATTTTTAGAAGTGCACAACGATGATTTCTGTGATTGCTCAGAAGGAACTGTTGGGTGGATGGTGTTTTTGTCGGCTGGTCATTGGAATCCGAAGACGCGTCTAGCCTTGCTAGGAAGTGATTCATTCTGGGTCGTGTTGGTGCTGGTTGTCATGCTAACGTAAAGTTTTGTAAGATTGCGTCATACTGTATTATTGGGGCACCGGAAACTGCGTTTTTTCCGCCTCGCATTTGTCGTGTGATGTTCTGTCGACTAATTTCCTAACGCTTTTTATGTGTAGAAAATTAGAGGTAAACGATGTTTCATGAGTGAATCGTTCGAAGGAGCACAGATACGTTCGATATGCGACCATTATCGATGCCATCTGATTCAGTGCGGTGGAAAAAACAATAATCTTCGGCGAGTCGTGTTTAAGCTTCATGGATAATTTGCACGAGTTATTCGGTGATTCCAAGGCACCGAAAAAATCGCGAGAGGGGAAGAAGAAATGGAGGCGGAGAGTTTCCAAAGATTTTTCTGCTCAGCAGAAAACAAGAGGAAGCTCTATTGTCGTGTCTCATGAGGAGGTTGTGATAGATTTTCGCATGGATGCAAATCTGATAGAATCTTTGCCGCCAGAGCCCGCTCTTGGAAACATCGAGTACAAGCTGAAGTTGGTCAATCCAACGCGCCAAAGATTCGAGCATCTCGTTACCCAGGTAGATCTCATGTTATGTGGAAAAATCGGGTTTAGGCAGCTGTTAGTATTTCTTGCAGATGAAATGGCGATTGAGGGAAGGCGAGGGTGAAGCGATATACGAAATCGGCATTGAAGATAATGGCCATTTTCTCGGTCTATCTCCTCACGAGTTATCGGCCAGTTTGGAAACGTTGCGCATGATGGCAGCACAGCTGGGTGCGACTGTAAAAATTCTTCGGAAGCAAGTCGTGCAGGAAGGAGAGGATCAGCGACATTCTGCCGAAGTTCTCGTGCGGAAAATACCCGATGATCGAACCAGCATAGAACTGCGAATCGCCGTTCTTGGCAATGCCGATGTCGGGAAATCTACTTTGTTGGGAGTGTTGACCCAAGGAGAGCTGGACAACGGTAGAGGACGAGCAAGATTGATCATGTTTCGTCATTTGCACGAAGTACAAACTGGAAGAACCTCGTCAATCAGCCACGAGATCATGGGTTTTGATGCTGAGGTAAAATTGATGGTATATTCGAATGTGGTGTATTTATTGAGGTACTTAATATATTCGTCAAATTTACCCGATGTCGTGTTTCTTAAACATTTTACAAATGGGAGTTAAAATCAAATTTTTGAATTGCGTTGAATTGACAGGAAATTGCGAACAAACAATAATTTACCTGCTCTTCTCAAATTTAGCGGGCTATATTCTCGAATTGTTTGATCGAAATTCCGAAAATCATGACGTTGTGTTCGATGAAAAGTCTATCGTTTCAAATAAAATTATAGATTGACCTATAGCCAAGTTCAGTTGTTCGTGCATATTTTGTTTATTTCGGAAGATCAGTCGTACATTCTCTGAAACATTGAACGGAATAGACGGATGGCAAAGTTTGAAAGCTGTTTCATGGATTTATTCGAAATAGCCGCACTTCTTACGCGTTTTTTTCCAGCGGACGATTGGATAACTGAGAAAGTATTTCTCTTCCTTCAGGGAAACGTAATGACCTACCAGCAATGTGGAACTGCGGAAGATATAGTTCAATCTTCTGCGAAGCTCATTACTTTTATTGACCTCGCTGGACACTACAAGTATTTGCACACCACTATCAACGGTCTCACCGGATATTGTCCGCATTACATAATGCTTGTCATAAGTGCCAATACCGGCATTGCCGGAACTACGTTGGATCACTTGAACTTGGCTTTGGCGCTGGACGTGCCGTTTTTCATTGTGGTTACAAAAATCGACGTTACCCCGTCGCATGTAGTCGAAAAAACCGTGGCGGAGTTACAGACGTTTTTGCGATCTGAAACGAAACGTGATCCGCTTATGGTTTGTGAGAGTGCTGATTTGTCAAAAGCCCGTGGTGTTCAGAGCATTTTGTGCGCGAGAATAGTTCCTATTTTCTTGTTGTCCTCTGTGACTGGGAAGGGATTGGAATTGTTGAGGGAATTCCTCCATGCGTTGCCGCCGTATTTGAGCGCTGTCGAAAGAGAAGAATTGGAGCAGGTACGAGAAAATTTATTTTTCTCATTCCTTCCTAAAATCGCTAAGAATTTTTTAGAATTGCCGTAGAACCAATAATCTTTCACTAAAGAGCCAGTTGATCTAGCAGCTTTAACCGGATTCAGCAAAATCCGAGCACTTCCTCCCGCGAGTAGATGAAACCTTAAATTCAAATGATCCACCCTGAAATTAGCACTACCCTTTTTCAAAAACCGAGTTCCGTGGAAAAATCGATTGAATTGTGACAAGACATTGAAAAAGTACAGTAAATACAGCAGTTTGTCTACAATGCCGAATTTCTGTATGTACTGTACGTGTTCTACTGTGGAATAGTTTTCAGCGGCTGGAAATTTCAATGAAATTCATATTTCGCTAAGCCGGTTTATATTCTGGTCGGTTTTCAGTGACGACAACTTTTCATAATACAGTACAGTATTTCATATTACAGTTACCTGTTCAGTTTCAAATCGACGAGACTTGGAATATACCTGAAGTTGGTGCAGTTGTTGGTGGATTGCTGACGCGAGGCGTAATAACTGAAAATATTCGACTCCAATTGGGTGAGTTTTTTTGTTTTTTTGTTTTCTCGTGCCTCGGATCGGTCGTTGAATGTGTGAATGGGAAATATGAATTCTTCGGCGCCCCCATGAAAACGATAATCACGTTCGCAGATGAGGATTAAAAAAAATCGATGCATTCATCTGAGAAGGCCGGAACATCCGGTTATAGTTCGGACAATTCCGAGTATCTTCCCTTTCTGTAAGTGTCCTTGCTTTATTCAACAGAAATTTTATACACACATTTCCCTAGTACAGTACTTGGAATATGTAACGTTTTTGTCGTACAGGTAGCGCGTGAGTCACGACGTAATTGGCGTGCGTAATTGAGAAATAATCGGGCGAACGAAGGAAACTGGTGTACCGAAGCGTAAAATGATAAATACTTGTGGGGAAATTTTTCACCGTGAAGGTTGAATGCATTTTTTTTTGCAGGTCCTGTCGAGGGTCGGAAATTCATACCAGTCCTTGTGAAAACAATTCATCGAAACAAGACGCATTGTAGCATTGTGAGAGCTTCTCAGAGTGCATCCTTGAGTCTTTTTCCTGTGGACAACTCTTCGGCAAACTCCATTCCACCGTTGAGGAAAGGCATGGTGTTACTAGATCCTGGTCAAGAGGCTCGTGTTACGAAGCATTTTCTGGTTAGATTTCATTTTTTAACTCCGGAAGAAATCTTGCTTCGGAAACATGCTTCTAATAGTATTGCCTATATTTTAAATCGCAAAATTTTGCTGTCATTTCAATAGGCTAAATTGACGCTTACGGCTCAAGACGACGACTCGCCCATCGTTCTCAAGAAAGGAGGACACGCTGTACTGAACATTGGTAATGTTCGCCAGGGAGCAGTTGTATGCGGCATTTTCGGAGCCTATGACGGAATCCGGAAAATGAGAATCCCTCAGTACCCTGGTGGGGCATTGGAGCCAGTTTCGGTGATGTTCGAATTTCTCCGAGGACCGGAATACTTGGAATGCGGTGCACGCGTTTTGTTTCGACACGGTAATACGAAAGGGCAAGGATATGTATCGCACGTTTACTACTTGGAGTCGTCCGCTGGGTCGTGGGAAGGAAGAGACGATGAATGAGGCTGAATTTTAAAAAAGAACTTGCTGGAAGTTAATTTAGCTTTACCTCGAGATTACCTGAATGCATTTGAAGCGTCAGATCTCAAACTTCAATTGCAAGTTTGAAATTGCCTGATTCACCTGCAGAGTAACGCAGTTTTTGAATGTGTGGTGAAGGATTTTTCAATTGTTTTCTTTTTCACCCTTGGTAACCGGACTTCGTTATTTTCTTTCTGGTGCGATTTGTTTGATTCGGGATGGATTGGAGATTGCGGCGTCATCTATATGTCGTAATCAGTAACCTTCTTGGGGTATGACAGGAGATTTCTCGCTTGATTTAGATGTACTGTAGTTCCGCTGAGAATATTTTGTAAACTTCGAGATTGTGCGAATTTGGCTGGCGATTTTTTTTAATTTTTGGACTGTGGGAGATGTATGACCTGATTCGCAGGAGTTCCGAACTGCACAATTCTAAAAATCGATCCAGGGCTTTTTTTTTTCCAAAGTATTGATCTGCGAATCCTGCGTGTACGCGTTTGTGCAGTTTTGTCACGCATGATAACAACCAATTGTTCATCCGCTGTGTCGTTAAGAATTGATCGTCGTCTGTATTGGTCGGGTTCGTTTTTTTAAAAGTTCGTAACGAATTTCTGTACAGTAGAGGAATCTTGGGTTTTTCTCAACTGCGAGTACAATAACGCGATGAATGATTTGTCGAACGGAGATTTTAGATTTTTTTTACCTGAACATGTAGGAAAGTCCGGGAAATGCTCTCTGTGATCGACCGATATCGAAATGAAAACACGTACCGCATGATAACCGTATAGTATTATTTCACGGATGTAGAAAACCCCATGATTATATAGATTTCCTACTGGGAGCATCTTGAAAAAAAAAAGTAAAAAATATACTGTATTTTCCTTTGCAGACTGACGCGAACGTGCATTACTTCGTCATATATCTGTGATATGACTCCAAACAATGGGGGGTTTCTCAATCATCCTTTGTCCTCACAATCCTGAGCGTTTTTGTCTGTAAATATTTCTTGTCAGTTATCCCGGGTAAGGTTGGAAGCTGGTGCAGTACAATAGTTGCCAAGCAATGGCATCAATACTGAGATGTTTGGCTACATCCTTGACCTTCAAGATTTTGTGAAAGTTTACTCAAATATCTTGCTCATCAATTTTACGTGCTATTGATGAGCGGAATATTTGCGTGTGTTTTCTGATTTGTGTATGAAGTTCTTCTTGCAGGGCTCCATGGATTCAACAACGTTTTAGGTTGTATTTTAGGTTCAATACCATAGATTATGAGTTTTAAAGTGGAAAGTTGCAATAGAGGAAATTCAACATTTGATTAGGAAATTCACGATTGTGGACATTTTTCAGCAATTGATAACGGGCACCTACTTGTTATTAACAGTCATTTATTAGCCGCCATGCCCAGTACAAGGTAGGTAGAGATAAATCATTATTGCTCCAAAATTTTTAGCGACTCCTTTACCAGGTGTCCTTGAAAATGTATGGATTTGCTCAAATTATTTTGCATGCATGTTCGCTCTTTATCATTTTGAGCAGCTCCTGTCAGATTCTAAGCACGGAATAATTTTGGGCAACAGCCGGTGTTACGCATTCCTTATCTGGACCTAGACAAAGGGTATTTCTAGCTCCTTGGCGTGATATATAGAGCATTAACGACATCTGGAGGAAATAATCAAACCACATTGCGAGCGTACGTTGTAAGATGCGATGGTATGGCAAGACGGTGTGCGTTCGCTGTTTGTTCGGCTGCAAACGTTGCGGCAAATTGTTCGTGACCCGCGTCGCTCCTTTTCCGGCGATTGCTGTTCCGTGATTCCGGTGGTTAAGCATACGTTTCCCAGACGATTTGTCGTAAATATGAACCAAGTTCTCAAGTCAACTAATTGAATCTTCCGTGTCATTATAGATGAAACACTCTTTTTCCCGTGGCATTGATAGTGTCGAGGATGATTCTTCGTCTTCGAGCGAACTGTTCGGTCCCCCTTTCGAAAATAGGACGCAGAAGCGAAGCCTTTCGTCGTCGCACTCGATTGAAGGGGTACGTACGCTGTTCATGATGCACGAAGCTATGTCGGAGCTGCGGAACGAAATGTTGAAGAAGGACCAAGAGCTTTTGGCGCTTAGGCGGGATCTTCAAAAAGAACGTGTTCGAGGTGATCACCTTGCTTCAAAGATGGGATCCCTGCAGCAAGCTGTCAATCCGAATGGAAACTATGGAGTGGAGAGAGTGTCTCAGATGGACGGACCAAGTTACCGGCATTCCTGTATGGCTTTATTTGATTTAGATGCCAGTGAATCTTCTGGTGACTCTGATGTGATGTCCGGAGCTTTTCATGATGATGATCGAAAATGTATAAAGAAAGGTGTTTGGGACGTGGCTGCGTTTTCTAGGATGCTACTCACGGGTGGTGAATCCCACTCATTCCGATCGTCGCTCCCGAACATCCCCAGAACAACCACAGACGATGAGGATGAACATTCAACTTGCTCTACGACTTCTTTGTTGGCCGCAGCGGAATCATTTAACGCAATGTCGAACTGGGGATCGAAGAAAATTCGCAACAAAAAGTTGCCCCCGCCATTTTCAACGCATCGGCGTTCAGTAGTCGAGTCCAAGCCGAATTCATCGTACAATGTCCCAGAAAAAAATCGTGGTGCTCCTTGCATGCCAAGAAGATTTGAAGATGTCGTCATGGGGAGTCGCGTGAAATATTTTCATCCGAATGGAAGAGTATTCGCTGGAACCGTTATGCAAAAAGGCGGACGAAATGGATTGCGTGATGATTACGTCTGGTGCACCTGCGATCGTGGAGTTCATTCGCGAAACTTCAAGTAAGAATTTGTTTCTTCTCTAGTGCAGTACTGTGCTTGAAAGAATGTACAGTACAGTATTTCTCTATAGAGTATGAGCACTTACAAGTTTTGTTTTTGATTTCTTGTGTATTAAAACTTTTCAGGAATGAAGAGGATGAATTGGTCGGCATTCCGTGGACAAAAATCATCGTGTGTTTTGGTCGCTGTAAACAGACGAGACAGTGAACGTTTTCATACCAGCGAACGTGCATTTACCGTGTCCCGCATGTTTTTCCAGTATTCGTAGGCTTGTTCGCACACATTTTGCTGATCTGTTTTACGCTAGTCATCATTTTGTGATCTCGTAACCGTGTTTACCCAGAACATTACGGTTTGTTCTTTCCAGTGAGGCCTTCTCGGATGTTCAATAGCACTGAATGAAAATAATGATTATGACTGGTCGCATTCACTTGATTCACTTGCGTAGATCCGAGGTTCTCTTGGTGAACGCCGACACTCAACCGAAAAGGCTTTTCATTCATGTTAAAAAGGTCATGATGACCGTTTTGGCTTTCGAAAAGTAAATTTTAGACGAGTATCTGTGAGAAAAATTGTCAATTTCTACGTTTTCCTGTTGTTTCAGATCAGAATGGCGTCAGTGATTGAAACATCGTTGAATGATCTCGATTTTGCTAAATGCATTCGTGATGAACTGAAATTACTAGATGATCGCAAGAAATTGTCTGTTTGCGGCGAGCATTTTGGAATATCACAGCGAAATGCGTTCTGGTACGATCCCATCTTGCGTCATGTGCATCTGCTCAAGGAACCTCATACTGAAGGAAAAATTGAGAAAATCGTGAGTACTGTACCTTACATAATCATGCTGCATTTTCAAGTCGCATTAAGTTAGGGGTGTTGGAAGTTTCTTGATCAGCAAATGGTTCAGAATTTTCTCTGAAGTAATATCAATGCTTTGTTATATTTAGCTCAACTCAACTTCCTGCAAATTTAAGGAAAATTTAAGCGTGAAAAGTTTGAATCGTCGTACCACCCAAGGATGTCATGCACTTCCAATTCTCATTTTTCTCCCTCTCTTAACTTGAATAAGCTAGAAGCGGAACATCGGTTCAAAATAATCTTCGGTGTGAAAGCAAAAAAGTTCTACGTACTGTATATGAAGCACTTTTCCACCGGGAATGGCAAACATTATCTGCCAGTCACTTCGTAGTTTTTTTAAAGTGAATTACGGCATATCTAAAGCATATCTAAAGTTTCTTCCTCCTGCATTTGTTCGTTGTGAAAACTGACGATTTTATTTCTGTACCGGTTGCGGGGTTTCTACATCACGAGTCTTGGAAGTACGTGAGAAAGTGCAGTAGTTCACGAGTCTTAGAATAGTTGGAAGTACAGTATGTGGATGATGGGAAATGACAACTTTTTCTACTTCTTTCAAGGTACTGGTTCCTCAAGATCCACCACTTTTCGACGTTTCATCCATCAAGTTCAGTCCAAAGGGATCCTTCATTGCTCTGGTGGGTCGTCAAGGTATTTCAGTGCTTGTTTCTCCTGCCGTGGTGTCTCCCGTGCCAGAAAAAGTTTTATGCAGGTAAAATTAAAAAAAAAATTGCGATTGAATTGCGATTTATGCTTTTTGTTGCTCCCGTTTTCTGTAGGACTGTCAAGATCGCTCAGCATCTACTTCTGACCAATCCGAAATTGGAAGTGGTCGAGGCAAAATTCCATCCTGGGTCACCAACGGATTCTCACATAGTGGTGCTTTGTTCGGACAATTACTTACGGTAATCGTACTTTCTGAAATGTTTTTTCGGAGTTATTTTGACTTTTCCCGCTCGAATTTTTTTTTTGGTATTATTTTTATCGATCACACCGAAAAAGCGAAGGTTTCACTATGTGACAGAAACTACCTCTCAGTGTAGACCAAAAAATCGGGCATTATTTTGTAAGTCAATGCTTCATCTTCAGGCGCACTTCTTCGGAATTGAAAACTGCATGTAATCATTCCAATCTTTAAATCAAATCGATAATAGCACGTTTTGAACATTATTTTGATCGCGAGTCCACTGAAGGAAACTACCGAGGGGAAGGAAGTGATCAGAACGCTTTCTCGAAAAGTCACATTTTAAGTTTTATGCGCAGTACAGTACAATACTGTATTAAGTGCCGACCGGGTTTTAAATATTTATCAAATGGCCGCAAATGCTCTTGCCATCTTCTCAAACAAACCTTTTACTTTGAGATGATTATTTTTCTTCTTGTAGTCGAAGGAAAAAAGGATATTATATTTGTACGATACTACATGTGGTATTTTGGAGGCGCCAGATTGGTAATATTTTTGCGATGTCAATCCGACTGCTACCGAAAATGCAAGATCCAAACCTACAAATCTTTGCGGAAGGATTCAAATTTTTCCTCTTTTTTTAATGCAGGATTTTTGAAATGAACGACGGGCTTACCCCGGAACAAGTTATTCCACTCGGTCGCTCGTGTGCTACGATGCTGAGCTCGCTGTCGATGACGAGTATGCAAGCGAGTTTAGGAGAGATTGGGATGGCCTTTGATTTTGCGCCTCCACTGCTTCGGGAGGAGTCGCAGAATGGACCCAAGAATGTTAGTGCTGTGCAGTCAACGGCGTCGGACTTCGCATCCTCGTTTGTTTGGTGGCCTATTTTTGTCTTGCGAGGCGATTGTGAAGTCCTTTATCTTCTCTCTGCAGTTGGTTCGAAACGGTGAGTCGCACGTAAGATTTAATTGATTTACTGCAGGATTATCACCGTTAAAGTTGGTCAAAGGCGATACAATTTTTGCCAGAAACTGAAATTATTTTTTTTATTAAAAACGACCATACTGTACTGTATATGCCTTCATTAGAAAATGTGTGCTCAAACTTTCTTTCTTTCGTATTTGTTCTTTATCTGTTTTGGCATCCGGAGGAAGTTGATTTAGTGTTCGAGGTGTGAAGGTTTCTGTATCTGTTGTTGACAAGTTTTATTTTGTGTTTGCGGATTTAACAACGTATTAAATTTAGGCATTCGTTCCCCAAGATACACCGATTTTCCCGCTTTTCGTCATGAATATTCATTTTTAAATTGTCTCAGTAACTATTTGTCTCTTTCTGTGACAATTTCACAAAAAAATTGTGAGAATGATTTCCATTGGTTACACGAAATGTGAAGGTTGCACTAAAACTTCTGTTAGCGAGAAAAATGATCACCTATTCTTATGGGCGATTCTGTCTCCAAACCTGGAATATTTGAAGAACTTCTTTTTTATTGATTTAGCTCATTTTTCTCATGAAAGTCTTTCAATTTTCATTAAATTTTCTGGAAAATAAAGAACGTGCGACAGGACTACATTTAAAGTTTACTGATGAATAATCTGCATCATTATCTTTCTTTTAACAGCCAAGTAGCCTCACTTGAATCTTCGAAAGTAGTGACAACACTTTTGAACCAAGCCTTGTATCTTTTTGTCATCAGTTCAAGATTTTCAGCAAACTTCGTCTCAAACTCTAGTCTGGGGTTTGAAATGGTTATATTTTCGGAAGAAACCCTCTCTTCTTTTTCCGAAGCATACTGATTTTACAGAAGACATCTCATTTGATTTGCAAACCGACATCGAATTTATGTTTTCCCTCTCAGGCCTCGAAGGACGATGGTTCAGTGTCCAATTTCTGTTCGTCCGGATATAAGAAATTACTCGGTGGAATCGACCAATATTCTCTGCCTGCAGAGCAACCCTCCGATCTTAATTATCATCACTGCCGAAGGTCAATTGATTCATGCCGTCGTACTACCAGCTCAAGGTGCACCCGATATTGTCGAGGTGAGAAGTGAATCTCTGATCAGTTCAACGACTCCAACTCCTGTTATTATCTGAATATTTCGACCGGTGACCCCACCGAAGTTTTACAGTCCAACCTCTATAAGCCGCCGCCATTTGTTCATGAGGTTTGTGGCGGTTTAAAGGGGGTTGGTGGTTTATCCAAAAAGCTAAAATGCAGGAATACAAAAATTGAGTTCCATAGGAAATTCAATTCTTATTTTTCCAGAAAACAATCAGAATAACCCTGGGATGCGTAAATTATACCGTGCCTAGTTATTGTCCCTAAGAAGTAAATTACGTCGTCTTCGTGTGTTTTTTTAATCGGAGACCTCTTTCATAAACTTGAATCTTGGCTGTCCATCGAAGGCAAAAGTAATGGACATGAGCACATTGGTGTTGTCAATAATTTTGGAGGATGGCGTTCAGCTGGGTTTTCAATGCTTTTAACATTATGGAATGGTTTTTTTTTTCATAAAAAAAATAAATTGGCGGATGCCGAGGGTGGCGTTATAACGGGGTTTGACTGTAATATATTTTTGAGGCCCCTTTTTTTTATTTTAGCCTGAAGACCCCTCGGATTTGATGGCTCAGCTATCTGTATCGGACGTTGATCGTGGCGTGGCACCCATGGCTGAAAATTTCCAAGTCGGTGCTCAAATAATCGAAGTGATAGAATTGGACGTTCCGCTGCAGGACGAAGAAACCGCGAAATCGGGCGCCAAGTCGTCGTGGTGTCCCCACAGTGGTACGATTTATGGGTCTCAGTTTTGGAACAGTCACCTCGTTTCTTTGCGAAGCGACGACTTTGCCAAGGATCGTTATTACGTCACGCATGCCACAGGCATTCACAGTGTGCGGTTGCCGAGTCTCAGGCAGTTCAGGGAATTCGTCGCAGACCCCGGTGAGGAATTCTGTTTGCTTGTTTTTTTCTCGTTCTGCCAGCCTACGGACAATTCACGCGCTTCATGACGCACACAAATTTGAATTTTGAGAATACGGATATTACGAAATTTTTCTTCAGAAGAGAGATAATGTAGGAAAAATTATTACTTGGCTTCTGAAGAAAGGAAATGAACAATTCTTTGCTTTTGCAACCAAGAATCAGAAAGACGAGGGGAGCAATTGTGGTATCCTGAGGGGGCTAATTTTTGTCTCCGTGATTTATTGAATGAACTTCCCTGGGATTTGCGAAGGATAAGCGAAAAAATACTTGATCTTTTTACAATCGCCGAGTGCGTAGGGATAATGTTAGAATCCCCGCATTATTTACGTTCTTGGTCCTTCTGCATATTTCTATCGATTTAATGAATTGAACTCCTCTAATTTTATCCTTTCCGGTTTGGTTGATAATAAATCGTCGTGATCTTGTCAAACGAAAGTATGTTGGCAAGAATATTCATCTTTTTCGAAGACTGTGAAGGTTTACTTTGATGAGCTGATTTGGAAGAAATCGCTGTTCATTCATTTAGTTTTATTCTAATTCTATTTCTAGAGATCACACTACGAGGAAATTCGAAGAAAGGCTGGTTCACTTATGAGAGAAGTGTAAATTAGGGTCATTTTGATTTTGTCGAAGAGTTGAAGAAATTAGGAATTTTCAATTATCAGTTGCGGAAGCACTTCACATGATTAATTGTTCATTTGCTCACAAAATTTCACTCCTGTATGTATTAATCCATGGATCTCAATATAACGGATTTCCTGAAGTCCACCGGAGTTAATTGAACTGTATTCAATTTTTTCTGTTTATTAACTACCTGGGGAAGTCCTTTTGAACTATAAATGAAGAATGAATTGGGGAGCCGGATTCCTCCATTTGTGTGGGATAGCAGCACATGTATTCATGAATGTTCGTTTGCAGAAATCAACGTGGAGTTTTCTGGTGATGTCGTCGAGAGTGAAGTGGAGCAGCTGATCTGCACTCGACTTTCTTTCCCGAACAAGGACTGGCGGGCTGAACCGATTGCTGGGTTCGGAATACTGCCTCCGTATATTTTCGTTCTGCTTCCGCCAGCGGATGGTTACAAGATGTGCGTGCAGCGTTATGGTCCCGTGTGGCGATTCTCATCTGATGAAGCTGTTTCGTCGACGAGGAAAGCGGACGGCGAAAGAATAATTGATGTACGAATTCGGAAGAAGCTATGCTCTTTTTTCCCCCCTAATTATGTTGGGTTTGCATTCCATTTTCACGCCTTGTTTCTTCGTTCTCTAGAAGCGATTTTCGGACTCGTTCATTGATCATATTGGCAACATCTTGAAGCGGGATCGTTCCTTACCGATGATGCGGATTTCAGGGGGAATAGGAGACCCTAAGCAGTTGAATGACATGGATACGTGGAACGTGAGTTATCTTTTATTTTGTTCGAGGAAAAAAATTCAGTCGTTGAAAATTGAGTGTTCGACCGACTTACAGTATTTGTTTCATCGGCTTTCTATATATTCCAGTTTTTGAGAATGTCCACCCAGCTCCTGCGAGAGCAGTATTTCATCAAGTTTGACCTTGCCTGTGCTGAAATGGCAAACAGGTACGTGATTCATGGCATTTCTCGGAAAATTGTGTATATTTAATATTTTTATTTTGAATTGCGCGAATTCTATCACTGCGTTTAATTGAAACTAATTTAAGGTGGAGTGTTTTCTTTAGAACAAAAGATAACGTAATTTTTGATGGTCATTTTGGCAATTCAATTGACATGGATGTTTTGGCGTGGCTTTCCAGGCACAAGTCGCTGCGTGGAGTCCTTGATACCACAAAAAGCCACGTTACAGGGTTGTCCAAAGATTTGATGGAAATTCAGGAACGGAACGACAGCCTTTTGGAACGTGGGGCGAAGCTTGTGGATCAACAGAGTGAACTTTTGTGCAGGTGCTTAGAAGCGTTTTGCGTCAGGAAATGATGATAGTGAACGACGCCGTTTGTTCGATAGGGTCGAAAGGTGCTGCGAGAAGCTTATGAAGAAGGTGCCGGTGATAACAGTTGCTGAAAAAAAGATGCTTCGGGAACTGGAGAATATGGAATCAGGGTTGCGAGAGTACGAGGAACAGCTTGCGTTCATACGACGTGTCATGACGGAAGTGGAGGGAAAGGTATTAATGTACCATGTACGAACGATTGTAGGCCGCCGTTTAATAGAAATTAAATGCATCGATTGGAAGAGGGAATTGAAAAGGAAACGAAATGAATGATAAAGCTGAAGTGGAAATTCAATTTCATTATTTGAATTGCTTCAACCATATTCAAGTCGATACCTTAAAATTTCGTCACTGAAACTTGAAAGACGTGCGTTTCTAAAGCTCAAAAAAATATATTGCCGAATTTAAATTTCTACATGTGATATTTACTCGAGGTTTTCAGATTACATATGAGCGCGAAATTTCATATCAGTCTAAATGTATCTTGCTGTGTTTTAGATTTGGTTCATCTGTGAAAGCTGAGCACAATATTTAATCATAACTTGCAATTCAAATGCGTATCAATTTTATTCCAGAGGGTTGAAAAATTGGCAATACCTTTGTCCCAACCGGCGATGCAACGGGCGAAGATGGCTGAGCTTTCCAGTACGCTGAAAACAACGTACGTGAAACAAAATAATTTTATTATTAGATCATTAATATTATGTCCTATTTTTAGGAGCGAATGGTTATTACAATTGACCAATGCAACTACAAGATTGGTGTCCAGAGTATCTAATTTGCATGGCGTTATGTGAAATTTCGATTCCGACGGCTGTTCGACGTTTCCACATTTCTTAAGTAAAATTGATCAATTTTGAACGCATGTTCATTCATTTTTTAAAGCAATAACAAAAGATTCAAACAGGACGTAGATGACGTAGATTCACATGCCGCACGGCTCGATGCGACAGACCTCGATGCTCCAACGACGATCCCTGGAAAAAGTGAAAAATTTGGATGAGGACAGTTCTTGAGATTTTTCGATAGTACTTGTCATACTCGTAACGATTGTTGTGGCGACTGAATACTCCCACGATGAAAATACCGTCTTCCAAAGTGAAGTTTATAGCACCTCTCTGAACGTTCAGATCAGTCTTCAACGTGCAGTTATGACGACAATAGCTGCAAATTAAAATAATAATGGAAGATAATCATGACATAAGTTCGAATTCTAAGTCTGAAATATAAGTAAACTCTCTGAAAAGATTTTCGCTGAAGAATGAATTTCATTTGGTCCCATAGGGCCTTCTCCCCATCTCTACAACGAAATTTAATCGACCAGAAAAAATTCATTGTAGAGATCCCCGTGAGAGCAAAATTCTAACAGCGTTATTCTAAGGAAATACGTTAGTACTTCATTTGTATAGTATACCTTAGTATAGGGGGTTCCAGAGAGTCCACCAGTATATTTTGCTTTGTATAGAAGGCAAAGTCTGAATTGTTTATTTTACTATAGTTCTGCAAAGCCTGCAGTGAATTACTTTGAAATTTGAAAAGGTCAATGAAGTGAACATTCCACAATAATCTGAGAGTTCGAAGCATGTCAGTTGAGACGACAGTTTGTAGCGCAGAAGGCTCTTACGTACTTTATGTGACCACAGCAGTGAAAGGACCACATTCTATCTTCATGTCGGTTGTCATGTTTGCTGGATACTCCAACTAAAACCCCTGTATCAGGACACTGTAAATGGAAGATACTTCAGTTGATCTTACAAATTACTCGAAAACGCGCGAGACTCACCATAAAATCAACAGGACCATCGTATTGGTTCACATAGGATGGCTGTGCATCATCACAACTTGATCCAGCCTTGCCAAAAGGCGTCTTTCTGCACCTGAAGCTCCACATCCGGTCATTCATTCGCCGGAAAAATTCGCTCTTCAAGGAGAGAAAATAAGAGAAATTCATAAATAATGAAAACTATTTTCTCACTTCGTATTTTGAAATTACAAATAACAGTCAAACCTCTAAATCGAATTTCAAGGGACCAGCAAAATATTCTAATGATAGGATTATTGTTGGAATTTAATAAATCAAATTTAAAGAATGAAGATAGCCTAAATTACAATTGCATCGTTCCTGTCTCAACAATTTTTTACTCAATATTAAAAAATTACTCAATTTTTTACCTATTACTGCGTTCCAACATAGATTTGAGGCATTCAAATATCAATATTTATTGCGCACAGGAACTTCTATACGAGGATTTTTCCGTATCCCAAATTTTCACAAAATACAAATTCAAAAAAATGTAACCCGCCCTCACTAAAACTGAAGATGCTGCATTCCGCTTTTTTTTATTCTCTCTTTGGTTGTCCTAAAATTATGCCCTTGGCTAAAGTTGAAGTCGAAGTTACATTAATCAGGAACCTCTCCTTCAGTCTTTAAAGTGGAACAATGCAGAAAATGATTGGTTGGAAAGAATTGCTCTAGAACAGTTCCATTGTAAAAAAACTGACCTCAACGTGATAGATGGCCTCTCCAGGCGGGCAACTGAATTCAAACGCCTCGTCCAACCTGTTGACGGAAGAAGGCAATGCTGCAAATACACCGGCCGCAAGTGCGGCCAACACCACAACACAAGCAATCCACGAGCTGCTCCCCATCTTGGCCAGCGCGAACTTGTGCCAAATATCCGTTTCACAGTCCAACACCGAATGAACCGCTTCAACCAGAACGGATTTAATATATCTCCGCAAAATCCATGGAAATTCGAAAAGAATTCGGGCGACCTCAGGGAACAGTTATCAGGGGTTTCTCAAAAGTCTCGTCATCATCCTCGATGCATTCCCATCGTAAAATACCATAGTAACACAACTATAGAGAAAACGATCATTTTAGGGTAAAACTGTCCAGGACTCCACAGAAAAAAAAAAAAAAGTTGTGTGTGCTATCACCTCCGCCAGATTCCATGGGTAATCTGTTGGTCACACGTAGTCCCCAAAAAGAACTGCCCAGAAGCAACGCCTCACATATCCTGACGGCTGTCAATTGTTCACATCTAAGCATTTGTATGGAATGAATCTTAAAGCAAAATAATTCCCAGAAAATGTAAATGGTTTCTTAAAAAAGCTCAGCGTGAAAGAAACCGTGAAGCAATGGCAATTGAATACTATACAGTTCTGCATTAGAAGAAGAAAAAAAAATGCAGCCAAAAATTCGCGATTAAAAAAAAAAAAAAAGAGGTATTCTCTTTAACTCATTCTGCGCACTCTTCGTGGGCTAAATTTCAGATCCCTGAAATAATTTTCAATCACGCCTCAATTTTATTTGTACGTGATGCATATCATGATTCCCACATCAACAAAAATACTGTACCAAGTAACTGACCACTCGGGTTCCTCCACACTATATGAATATTTGTCACTGACTTGCAGGACTTTTGTGAAATCCTTTTGAACAAACGCCGACAGGATTTCTTCCCAGGGAGATACGGGGGGCAGGGGCTTGTTTACGAAAAACTCGAAAGAGAAACCTTTGCAATTCACGCACAAGGTTTTGTGCTTGCCCCCTTCGTTCTTGGCGCAACAAAGGAAGACGAGGAGAGAAAGGACAAAGAGATGAATTGTGGGGTTGGTGTTTTTCGCACTTGTTTACATCAACTGCAACGCACCACTCGACCCAGAAAAACAGTGTGCGATACTTGGGGCCGTTTTTTCGGCCAATCTTCGTGTTTCTCCTGAAATCTGGGTCATTCCTACCTTTTCTCTTCCGATTTTTTTTTCTTCCTCGCGGCAGAATCGCAACATTTTTGCACAAAAATTCTTAGACTATGCGAATCTTTCAAGGGAGCTAGGTTCAATGTTTGGGATTAATGTCGACGTCATTTTCGCAGTACCGCACGGTATTTACTCAAGCGCCATCGCATACGACACGCACCCCAGCTTTTCACGAAAAATGTATAATGGACAAAATTATCGATTCATGCTCTAGATAGTTCAGAAGGAGAATTTCATTGCATTTAATTTGCATCAACAGTATTTTATACTCGACGCGTATACAGCAGTGTGCACAAGAATTTTATAAAATTCGCGCTTTATTTTTAAATCCAGATTTGTTTGGATGGAAAAGTGCACAGGGTACTTGAGTAAATACGGTAAACGCTGTACCCGGTTCAGATGCTTCGAATCGCAATTTCTCGAATCAGGCTATGACCGGTTTTTGTTTCGAATTGCAGATCCATCTTCGGAAAAAAAAGTATAGTAGTGCAGCAGTAGGAAAAATTGGAGAAGCGTAGAGAATTTCCAACCATGATCAAAATATGAAAATACAGCACAGTACTGCATATGTTCAGGTATATAGTATACACGTGGACCCCTTCCACAAAAAAATTCGGGGGACCAGAAAATTATTTCTAGAGAACCCTTGGGAATTGAAAAAAATGTCGTTATACAGAGAAATTCTTTGCGAACAACGTCACGGTAAAAAGGCTCTACCTGTTAATAGAAACCTGAAAAATATTGTGGAAATTCAACCACGAATAAACGAAGAATCTTACGAAGTACGAAACATTTATACGAATTATTTCTGCACATCGAAATAAACAGGCATTATTATTTATCGGGAGGGCTTTAAATATACGGCTGCCATTGAGTGAAAAGCACCCACACATAAAAGCAGCCGGGAGAAAGCATTTAGCAAAAGGAGCACCCAGCAAAAATAACCTCATCACCAATTGTTCTGCCAGAAACCCATTTAATCTCTTCATTTCTAAAAAATAGGATTATTCGCCATAAGATCAATATTCATCACATATTGTTGAATACTGAGCTTGTCTGCGTGCATTTTGTACAGGATTATTGCAACGCAGCAATTTAATTAATACTTATGCATTGGATGCATTTCGTAACTCGGGTACTGTTACATTTTAAACAGAGGAATCCTTCCTAAAATATTTTTTAGAATACATAAAACTTTCATTGGATGCAAAATATTGATTGAAGAAAACAATTGGCTCACTTTCGCTGAATGCTTTCCATCTGAATACTCTTCTCCCGCCAACGCTAAAAGGCTTCTACTCACATGCGATTTGGAATGAAGCGAAAAGGCGTAAGGTCATGAGCTTTATCGACAGCAGCCACGACCAACAGCTGAAGAGTACGACACAGTCGCGTCACACTTGAATCGCTTGCGACGAAGATCACGAGCCGCTCAAATCACGTACGAAGAAAATTCACACGTGAACCACGGGAACACTTGAATCATTTCTTTCGAAAACTACACTAAACCACTAGTCATTATCTTGCGCGATGAAGAGTTTGCGTCTTTTCCTCAGAGTCCGGGCAAAATCTTCTTCAGTCAAACTGACTCTCGTCGGAGGTATCAAAGCCGCGGCCACTGAACGACCTTCAGCATTGAGGAAGTTGAACGTGGACACGGCTTCCGCAGTCGGCAAGATTTCTGCTCCAACTCGGTGTTCTCTCATCACCTCCATGATCCTCTGAAAAGCCGAAAAGAATTCGTCAGTTCAATTTAAATTCCCCTTTTTTTTCAGTCGAATGAATGGAAAATTAGAAGCCGAATAGAAATCAGAAATTTTCACCATCACAAGAAGGCATCATTTTTATCTTCTAGGTTGAAGTAAAATAATCAATGTTTGTCCACTTTTTCTGTCGTTACATAGGTGTCGCCCAAATGGTGCTACAGCAACAATAGTCATATTCCATAGGCGGAGTTTCCCAAAAAATATCTTGTGGACAATATTCGGTGTAAAAATATTTGTGGGTCCTATTGGGTTCTCTCTCCATGTTATAGGGCAGTGATGCCCAACTGAGATGTGGTCAAGGGCCACGATGTAGAGGAGGAAAGTCCAGTCGGGCGACTAAAAGCAATTTAAGTCCCAAAATGTCCCTTTTTAGAGCAGACGTTTCAAATTTAATTCAGTGCTAGACATTGAATTATAAGCAGAGCCTTACATAATTTCTGGAGAAATATTCTAATAAAATCAAAATCATAAAAGTCATCTTTCCATGTACAGTATACCATATTTAACTAAGTACCACACGCCCATTTTTTTATTAAAAAAAAAAAAACTGTGCAAAAAAGCGAGGCGTGCATCATTGTTGAGTAATCATTTTTAAGTTACACTTATTAAAATTTGAAAGTTGTCTCTCCACTTTCAAATTTTCTCCATTTCAATGATGCTACACTAACTACAGTATTACAGTATTTGCATGACACAAAAATATTGAATTCAATTTTTAATTGGGGTTCAATTTAGATTTTTACCCAACACAGTTTTCCAAAGAGGAATTTTGGCAACTGAAAAAAGTCTTATGCGGTGATAAGATATTCCCCAAAATGTTAACTAACCATCTAAATTCTAAGGTAATTAGCTTACTTGGGAGTGGATGGTACTTGAGTAAATACAGTATTTTGAATAGTGGTGGCTGCCACCTTGAACATTATAAGGATGGGGCAGCAGGATGGATGAAGAGTCTCTGCAGGACATATTTGGCCCAAAGGCCATATGTAGGGCAGCACTGTCATAGGGGTTCTCAGCAACCATTTTTTTCTGGTCCCTTGAACATTTTTTTTTGTAAATTATATAGAGCGAGAGACTCCACCTGTACACCTTAGGCAAGTCAAGTCTACATCAAGTTAGTAATTAAGGTTTTGGTCAGATCAGACATTCAGGCGACACCTGTCTATCATCTCAGGAAGCAAGATCAGGCGTTTAAAGTCAACTGTTCATGAATCTGGAGAAAGAAAGCACTCACCGAATGACACACGCGCACATTGGAAGCATCTCCAACGCCAAACACGAGCAAATCCAGTTTCGGTGCCAGCATGAAAAACAAACTGAGCGTTTCCTTGCGGATATCTTCCGGGGTCCACACATTCCACGACAACACAGATCGCGGAAACAGCGCCATGGAACCCAACACGACGACTCCAGAGTTGAGCTCGAATCCCACTTGACTGTACGAGTCCACCATGAGTCCGGCATCTGACTCCCGGTTCAGAATCGACACCGTCGTCTTCCCGTCACCGTCGTAACCGCTCGAGAACTGGCGACGACATCGCGACACTGCGTATCGGCTCTGGCCAATCGCCCGACGCAGAATCGAATATGACAAGCTCATCGCCTTCGCATTTGAGGCACGGAACAAACGAAATCCTTTCAAGATTTCTGAAGAATCGCGGAGGTACGTGAAGGATACGAGAGCAACATTCACAAATTCTGTCACGGAATGCAGAAGTCGTTTTACGCAACGCATACGTTTCGAGTTGATCACGTTTCAAGTTTCCACATAAAACCAAGATTACTCATTGAAATAGTGGTACCACAATTATAATGGATGCCTATGATGATTAAGCATTTCACCAAATGAAAGGCATCGAGCTAAAAAAAAAACGAACACGAATATTTTATTTTGAAGCGATTTTAACTAAATCGTAACCGTGGGAAATATATCTGTCGGCATCGTTTTCCTTGTTTCTCTTGTTTTCGTCACTTTTGACAATTCTTTTCATGTTGAACATCCAATGATTCGGACGCTTAAATTTCTGATACTTTACAGACCGAAGTTTATGTTCCTTCGTGAATTCCTAGCCTTCTAGGATACACAGTTGTGATGGCGAACTATTTTACTACAGCTTTATTTATGCGTGCCCGGGTTCATCGTCAGAAGTTATGAAAATGACATGGCGTCTATTCAAAGTTTTCTCAAACTTTATCATCACGCAGGAATCTTTCATTGAATCTTCAATTGAAAATTATGTAGCATACTTCATCTTCGGGCAGTTATTACTTCAGATAAAATACACAGATAGATAATCACTTCGAAGAAAAAATGGCCGATACTGTTCAAGCATTTTTTCACCGATCACTAATTTCAAGTAAAAAATAAATTCAAAATCCATCAGGATAATTGGATAAGCGAGGGATTTTTTTCAATTTTCTTTCTCTATTTTTTGCAGTCTTATTTCTATGAAATTTTTTTACGGTCTAAAAATTTTTTTTCATGAGGGAATGATGAAATAATTCCGGAGTTGTCAGTGATGAGACACTGCCTCCAATTTCTTCTAGAATTGACACGGGAAAATTATGTAAACACAACCGTCCTTTTCAATCTTCATCGTGTTGATGCTACAGTATTCACTGACTCAAAAGCCGAAGGCATCTTTTCAGAAAAACCATCAATGTAACATCCGATGAACAGCATTCTAAATAACCCGAACGTAATTTCACAATATCCCGTCACGGACTTTCGACTTGAAACATTCATCGCGCGAAACTCACTGAACCGGCAAACGGAACACCAAGATCACACATTAAATTCGAAAAAAATCTCTGTGGAAGCAAAGCGGCGTTTACTAAAAAAATATAATAATTCCATGGAATAATCCCATTACAACATGAAAACTAAGCCACGCTTCATTCAAAGATCGATTCAAACAAAGCTGTTCAATTTTCTTTCATTTGGCAAACTCGCGACAAATCGATTGTTGCAATGAAGAAGGTATTCCTGGTCCTCAACTCTTCGCAGAGAACGAAACTTCCTTTAAATATTTATCGCAATCCAAGGCACACAATACGCGGTTTCAAGGGCTTTTAGGACACTTCACATAGCGACGAAGCAGCCTTCGAAAATGGACAGCCGGATCTTAAAACATGAATCAATAAATATTCATAAGTAGATACGGTTGAGGCGCGAGTTAAAAATGTATTCAGCCAGTACTCTGAAACCGGGAATCAATCAGCAACAAAGCACAAAAACTGAGCCCTCGTCTGACTTTTGAATGTTGTCACCAGCCCTTGAATTTTCCTGGATTCAAAGTCAGAAAGTTTCAAGTTTTCGGTCAACTTTTCAACCACACTAATACTCACTGTTGTCCGGATAATGGGGGTAAAAAGTGTTCCGCTTCTTGCAGGAAGCGTCTGGAAGCATACGCAAAAACCCGGCGAATGAGTATGAATTTCAAAACACATTCAAAATTAGCAACTCACTTGGCCTCTGTAGACAGTCTCGACTTCAGAGACTCCCGAAACGCGGCAAGATCCACATGAGCTTGCAAAGCACCATCCAGACTGAACTTCGTTACACAGGAAAATAATCGATACAATTCCTCCGCTGCGCTTTCAATCATCTTCCCTATAATTCGATCCAAGAACGGCGGACACAAGGTCATCACCTGTAACCAGAAAAAAGAAAAGATATCTCAACATTTAAAATGAAAAAAATTATAATTATTCATGAACAACGCAACGTCGAATTTGAACAAATTATACCTGGGCATGAATGGAAACAATCGCCAACAAAATTTCCCTCAGATAGAAGCTCACTCCGACTACTCGTCCCTTGAAGTTCCACTGGAATCCGTCTTCGTACATAGCTGATTCTATTCTGCCAAGTGCTGGTTCTCCTTTAGCTTCAAGATAAGCAGCCACTACGGCATCGATTTCTTCTTCCAACACAACACGCATATTCTATAAAAAAAAAAACCTTTACAAAAAGCGAACTTCTACAATAAATCCCCAGAAGTCGAGAATATATTCAATTCAAAGCAGCGTATATATCCCAAATTATAATTTTGAACTAACCTTCGTTGTCTATCATAATGCGATGCGTATAAATTCAAAAATAATTTGGACAACGAAGGTTCGTTCAAAATTATAATTCGGGATATATACTGTACGTGATAATGGTAGAAAATGCAGTTACGAGATTTATTTTAATGCAAACTATTGTAAGTTTTCCCAATGAACTCATGAATGAAAAATACTGACCGTGACCAGGTTAGGTCGGCGAGGCAAGTTCCGGGCTCGTCGACTAGCCTCATCCAGAGCCGGAATCGTGGTGACAGACAAATAATTCAGATTGCTCAAAGCAATCAGCATTCGTTGATCTCTGTCGGACGTAGTGTACATGCCGGCGAACGAGGGATTCGTAGACATCCCTACGCTAATTTTACGCCCGGGTGCTCCGACTGCATTGTTGCTTCCTCCGCCGGGAATATAATTGTTCACCAGATCCATTCCGCGTTCACGCATGATCTCCAAAACGGGGTGCGGTTCTAAAAAGAAAAAGGATTTAGAAAAACCTCTGAACATTTTTAGCAATCAACACTCATGATAATTACATAATGTACTGTCTTCAAGGGAATGTAAGCACTTCAATCGTAAGAAGAAAAAAAATAAAACTCATGGAGATTGCAACGGATTAACCTCATCAAAAGCGCAATTTTTTATCATACGCGATTTATTTCGGAAAATTACTTTCTTCACTGCAAGCAAAATGATTAAAACCATTTTGCTTTTCTTTGCCTCGTGATAGTGTGTCGTCTGCGTTTCTTCTAGTATCGGCAGATCATGGTTATTAAATTTCAATCGGAGAAGTTCACATCAGGTTAGTTAAAGATCAGTCAAGTCAATGTGAAAACGAAAATTGAGAGTTTACCAAAAAAACATGATTTCGTTAAAAAAAAAGAAGCTCAAAACAGACATATTGTGACAGTTCAGTCACGTTGATGTGAAAACAAAAATTGAACATTCACAAAAAGTCACGAGGTAGCAGTGATGAAAATGTAGTACCTGTGCGAGCTGTTAACTCATCCAAAACTTTCACAATTTCTTCCGTCGGCGGAATCGGGTAATTCAGGATGTGACTGATGAAATTACTTCCTCCCGGCCTCACGTAGCAACCTGAATCACAGAGAAGGTACAAATAAATACGGTTGCTCCTAGAAAATCCGAATACAGTGTACGGTGGCTGATTTCCGCGCGCAGTCAAAATTTTTATACAGAACTTCAAGAACAAGAAGGGAAGTTCGGAACTTTATGGATCACATCCTCTCTTTCACATTTCAGACAGATTTTGCTTGCACGAGTGATATGAACATTTTCCACCCCTTTATCGTCCATCACCATTTTCATATATTCATGCTTCCGGTGGAAATTATCTCGCATAATTTCCCACAAGGTCTCAGCGCAAACAAGTTCATTAAAAATTTATCCAAATCTTTACGGAAATCCATAAAATCATGGATGATTTTCATATTATCCAGTGAAGGGTTAGAGGAGTCAATCACAAGTTAAAAGAAGAAAAATAGAAATTAATGGGATGCTGCTACTCTGGAACCAAGAAAGGTGGGAAATATGATTATTTCGACGAAGGATACCTCAAACGAGCGTGAAGAAAATCACATAAATAATTAAATTTTTGAAAAAATTGTGGTACGTCTTTTCTGAAAAGCCCGCGGGAACCAGAAATATCTCAAACGCACAGGGGGACAAAAAGATGCGTCAATGACCCATTAAATAAATTTGAAAAATATCAAATGCATACCGGTGGCAAGGTTAAAACTAGGAGTTTTTTTCGACTGTGACGTTCCTAGCAATGCCTTGAGTCCAGCGAGGAACGGATGATCTAATCGGTCTCTCGGAACAACATTCCAAACCGGAGCTGCAGGATCTCCAGTGGCAGCTATTCCAAGATCTCGCTGGGCCACCGAAAATACTTGAAACACCGCCGTGAACAGAGATTCCATTTCCTCGAGAAATTTCTGATCGACTCCTTGCTCAAGACTCTCGCCTTCTTCCTGGCACAAGACTCTCGTGTCCAACAGCTTCACTAAGGCAAGCATTTCTGATTCAAACAGTTTCGGCTGAGGAGGAAAAAAAGAAAAGGTCGAGGGAAATCACGGGAAAATATAAAATAAATTTCTTCAGAGCTCACAAGTTTGGTAACAGCTCCAGTTCTATCGTCCAAATCTACTTTCCAACGCTCGTATCGAGCCATGCTGTGCACCGTTGCTTTTGTTTGCTGAAGGATCAATCGCACTCCTTGGGCTCTGAAAAAATATTGAAATGGAAATCATAAAAGGAAATATTATTGAAAGAACAAATTCATCAGACGTAAAAAATTTCGAAATACCAACTCTCATTAGATGAAGGGCACAAAATGATGAAATGGCATAAAACCGCGTCGGGAATTTAAACGTTACGTCATACATATTCGCGAATTTCTGCACTCAATCTATTGTTTACGTTTTAAAAAAATAAGCAAAAAATGGTTGTCACACTTTCAAGTGCAAAAAGCAAGCATTATAATAGAACGTCAAAAATTATTTTATTTTTATTGTTACAAATAATGTACAGTACTTGCTTTTTTGAAGTTCTCTTTTGATCTTTGTTCTATTATGGCGTACGGTAAGAGAAAAATAGAAATGAAAAACACGCACGTACAAAATCTATGACTTAGCCTCAAAATTTCTG